ATGGTTTAATATCAGGTAGTAAATATCACACCAATTGAAAGCCAGTGTCAGTTTAACCAACATCAACGAAACCAAAACCTTTTCCTGGATCAGATCCGTTATTCAAGACCAGTATTGATATAGGTGCACATCCTTCCACTAGAATAGCATATTTCTTTTTTAATTCAGTTCATGGAATTCAATGGTCTATGAGAAACACCAATACAAAGTACTGAATACATAAAGTTAAAGGTGCAGTATGCAACCTTTCTGTCTCCTGCTTGTTTCCACATGTCATTGCTTTGCTTAGAATAAACTTCAGTATGGTGTTAAAGACTTCTGATTTTGACTCACCTTTCCACAGACATGACCTTGCACTGTGGAACATTCCAGAAAAACTAAATGTAGATGGACACAACCAAGTCACGGACTCAAGATTGGCACACAGGTTCTACTTGTTCTAATATGGCTACTGGTTCTAATATGGCGCCATAAACATACAAAATAAAGTAATATATAGTTACTGTACTTACTGAAAGATACCTTGCCTTAAAAAAAGAATATGTTTCAGCTTGTTGTTACGCCTGGAGTTATGAGAGCTGGTTAAAGACGTTGGAAATGACTCAGTCCAGATGTAGAGCTTGGAAGCAGCATGGGACTAAGGACAACAAGGAGAAAGAATCAGGTAGAAAATAGTGTCGTGTAAAAAATAATATACATAAGTGTACGTCTCACCTTCCAATAATGTGCTATTAGCGGTTGTAGCTACTTTTGACGTCAATCCCGGGTTCAGAATAATATTAGATGTATAGACGTCATACAGCGTGTGAATGAAATGGTCCTTTCTGCAGCTCAAGTGACAACATTCAGAGAGTGCCGAGCAGACTTAACATTTGGTAAAACAGTTGGTCTATAATAATGGATCGCACCCAATACTTTGTCCTAATTTTAGTAACTGAGTCTGACAAATCAGTAAATAACCTTGAATGGTAAATGCAAACAGCTTTTAAATACCATCCAGCATCAGTTCAATGTTGCATCAGAGATAAAATGTGGGTCAAATCAAGAGACTGCTTAAGTCGGGCATAGAAAATGATACGATATACAGTAATATTGACCTTTCCATGGGTCTCATAATTATCATAGGATTGTTGTCCATACATAAAACAATGTATGGACTTCTTTGACGGATTCCAGTTGCAGCCAGGTTTTTGGGGTGACAGTGGGTCAGAACATTGGTGAACCTAATGGTCAAGAGTTCGAATCCCCCACGACTCATGTCTCCCACCTTCCCATGTGTCCCTATAGGCAAGATACTTAACCCCACTTTGCCCGAAGCCCCGACTGAAAGTACAAAGCTGACGTGGTGGACCATCCTCCCGTGGACAGTGAGGGGCTGGTGCTATGAGAATTGGGTGGTAGCTCGGATTGCCACCACGCCAACCCAAAAATGGACAAAGGGGGAGAAGACGAATGAAAAAAAGTTACAAGTTGCAAAACCGGAAACTGTCTATAACATATTCCTTTTATAAAGTTACTCAGTAGTGTAACTGAATGAAACAATGATTAGTCATTTGATTACAACAGTGATGCAGACTAAAAGTAGTGTAGCAGTAATTTTGTAATAAAATGATGCTCCATGTTCATCCCTGTGAAATTTATTTTAGAGTAACACTGAAAACTACAACATCTCTTTGTCCTGATCTCAAGGTATTCTCAGTCTCCCATCCAATTACCACCCAGCCCATCTCCACTGCTGAGATCTGACTATAGGAGCTCGAACGATTAAGTAAATTAGATTCCCTTGTTCGCCTGCCGTTAGGTACGACAACAAAAAAGATAATTTTGTCACATTTTCTGGCTGTAAACTAAACAATTCAACTTTGTTTTGTGTAGCCCTATGTCTTGGAAGACTTTACAAAGTTGAAGATTTGGCAATAACAGATCAGAGAATCAGGCCGTTCGAACACAACGCAATAGGCACATAATAGGAGCCACTGGTTCATTGGGTACCGGGAAAACTGCAGTCTATAAATGCGATTAAATGTGTATATATGTCCATAAATGACAGATCATTTCATAATTGTCATAACCTGTCATACCTTTACAGTTTATATTGGGCCAAGAAATATTATTGAAGCACTTGATTTCTTTGATTCACTTGATCCTTCTCTGATTTTGCCAATGCTACTCTGCCCACCTCTGTTTATAAGAACATCTCTCCCAGGACAAGACTTATTCCCAGCACCTCCACAACACCAAAGATAGCACAACTTTGATTAAAACTGCACCGTGATGGTCGTCAGAGTTAATTACAGGGTCACTTGTGCTTCTCTTTCACCAATCACGCTATTCCCTAAGCTTCAGGAAGGAACCAGCTTTGGGACTGGGAGCAGCTACAGCAGCCATCTGCCACTGCAACCACCAACACAAAAGACTTAAAATCCACATATCGCCAGATTAAGACAGGATTTTCTGCTCCTTTTAACGCTGGGATATGTAATTATGCGCGACTTCATCAAATTGCAGCGGTCATGTTAGTTAGTATTTTGAGTCTCTATATGTGGTAGATCCCAAACTACTGGTTTATGAACAATTTTGTATTATAATTTCAGGAGAGAGCAGTCTGTATGACATAGACTGAAAATGTGAGACAAATAATATTGAAATCCAGGTTAAAACAGTCACCCTAACCTTAAGGGATTTTATCTTCACTCTTTTTAATGTTGTTTTTTTATGACTGCCTCTATCTTGCTTTGTTCAGCCCTTTGAGTTTCCTTGTGTATGAATTGTGCTATACAGATAAACTTGCCTTGCCATGATTCTGAATTTGACAAAAATAAAAATCTTGAGTGTGGATGTGTTTTAAATGGGCTGCAGATACAAACGTGCCTGCAATTGTCTTCCATTATGAGAGTAAAATATTGACACTTTTACTCCAAAGGCAATCTTTCTTTAATAGGGAAATGAACAAAAATTGCTCATTAACAACAAAAAAACAACAAAAATCTAAGGCCGCCACCACCTTCCATTTTAGTCCCTCCCCTAACCTATGATTGAACCTATTGTCCCAAGATTTTTGCACAAAATTACCAAAAGCAAACAAAATCAAAGGGCCCATACAGCACTTTGCAGAGTAGATATAGATTGATGTAATCTGTCCAAACCATCAATGTGAAAAAATAATTGCCATCGTATCCTCCAGGCGCGTGGCCAAATGCAGGCAGATACTCATGCAGTGAATATGCCGAGCAGAAAGAGAGCAGTGCCATTAAAAGTGGTGGAGAAATCAGGCGTGCACATAGCGGGACGCGCATGCTGTTTGGTGCGCGAGACAGGTGGTGGTAAACGGTTTGCAAATCGAATCCAGTCTGGCATGAGAGAGTGCCCTGCAGGTAAACATCAGGTTTGCTTTATCTGCTGTTCTGGTTCACTCTGAAAAGGATTTTGCTGTGTTCCCAAGGCTGATATGATTTGATTCTAAAAATGGGCATCTAAGTTTATAACAGTCCAAAAGGAAAATGAGATGGAAATAAATATCAAGTTTGAATCATCAAGAGTGTATTTATTTTATAATCTAAAATGCAAAGAACAGGATTTGAGAATAAATCCAGAGTTGAGTGCACAAAAATGTTTTACTGCAAGCAACTATGTACAAGAATAAAATCAGTAAATCTTTACAGAATGCAACAGGTGCTGTGTTGGCATTTTGAGTCAACTTTTTTTTAACCATATTCAATAAAAGATGAATTAGTGTTCAAATGTTTTAACATTTTACATTTAAGTACATTTGATTTTCTGGCCTAAAATTTCACTATTAGTGCATTTAGTCAGCTGTGCGTCAGTTCCATCATTGAATAGTTACAGGACAGTTTTAATGTGCCCTAATTTGTGTTTTCCCAAAGATGCTAAGCACCACTACATCAACATTCACAATTTGATTGTTCCATCATTACATTACATGTACATTTTATATCAACAGCATCAGCTTCTTTTTTGAAACTGTAAAAAACATTTGGTAAGTTTTAGTGGAAAGCAGATTAACAGCATGAGTGGACTTTCAAAATCCGCTTCACTGAGGTTAAGATGAATGAATTAGGTCATCATCACATACCTTGTTTTTCACGGTTTACAGTGCTGTTCTGAGTAGGAACAGTAGTCTGAAAATCAAAACGCAGACAGTAAAATGAACTTATAAAATGTAGTTGATGTTTAAAACAACACAGCTTGAATCGTAGTCTCAGTGCTAAGCTTTGTCCTGTGTAGATATCAATGATTTTTACGGTTGCACATAGAATTATCAATAATCAGTCAATATCATGTTTATTCTAGCTTTTGTTTTATCTTTTATCCTCAAATAAAACAAGAAGTAAATAATGCTTTCTAGACACACCCACAGCTCCATGTTTGAAAACCCTTTCAGATGAATGTTTTCACATTGTCCCACATCGAGTCAAGATGCCCTGTTATTTTGTCCTTTGTCGTTCAAATACAAGAAGGATTATTACAAACCAGTGAGCCCAATCATGTACTGTCTTCAGAAACAAATATTAACATTTTCTGCCCAGGTGAAAATCAGGAAAAGTGCACAATCCACCCAGACATGAATGTGTCATGAGCAATAAACAAGATTTATACATGTCCACGGTCACTTTCTGTGATATCAGGCTCTTTTTCAGTCCATTCTCGAGTCCATTGTTGGAGCATCACATTTGAATACAATGGTTTGAAAGCTATAATTCAGTCATGTGCTTTCGAAGAGAAGCCAAAACATTTACAGAGAAATACAATATGAAACTCTTTTTCTGGAATAGTGTGTGTTTCATTACTTACACAAAGGAACTTTTTTCAACTCTTCAGTTGGGAAGAACGAAAGTGCTTTGATCAAACAAGTAAAAAAATAATATTTATACACAAGCCCACTGTGATGACTGGAAGTTGCAGATGTGTTTTCACTGCTGCTCCTCCTCCCAGTCAGAGTCTTCTTCCCTGACGTCTGGGCCCGACGGTGGGATTAGTTGTCATTTGTTAAAAGGAAGGCAGGCCGGTAGTATGACGGTGGAGCAGGCAGGGCCCGCCAATGGCTCTGCCACCTCTCCTTCTAACTCAGTCCATGAGCCTTTCTCTGGGCTGTAGCAGATGGTAGAAGACTTATAGGCCCCCTGAGAAGAAACAACATTTTTATAATTATGTTATTTACTGTTCCAAAACAGTTGTTTTGTTCAAATTTTGAATTCAATGAAGAAAACACTTTGGGGACATCAGAGATATTGGGTCAATGGAAACTGGAAAGACACTGCAAAAGCATACAAAATAATGTGTATTTGTGAATAGTACCATGCTCCAGCTGTAGCCTCCAACCAGAAAGATGCTGTCGTCCAGAACTGCACAGCCCGGCCCACTGCGGCCCTCCAGGATGGGCGTCTGCAGGATGTTCCATTGGTCGGCTTTGGGGTCATAGCACTCCACAAGCATCACGTCTAAATGAGAGAAACCTGCATGAAAATGAAAAGGACCACTCTCATCAAAAGTGAATATTTAATACATCTAACAAGGCATTTTCATACTGACAAAAACTAGGGCTTTTGACCATGATGCCCAGCTCGACTGTGACAGGGGGTGGCAGGTCAGAATGACTCGAATGGAGAGTCAGCACATGGACAATATCAAAGACTGTTTTATAGCCCATTGCTTATATGTGGGTCAAGGTTTTAAAACTACACAAGAATCATAAAGGAACAAACTGTACATGACAAGGTAATAAGCCGTGTAAAGCACTTGCACACGCAGCTCTTTCTTATCCTGGTAAAAGAAGAAGCTGGAAAGTGTCCATATTGCTTCACAATGGCAAGTTTTTCATCCAAAGTTTCCTTTGATCCTAATTTCTATTGTCTCATGACTTTTAAAGACTTGTTTTTTTTTACGTGTAAAGTTTGTTTTGAGTATTTTTTGTGTGTGATACGTTCCGGGCGACAGTAGCTCAGTTGGTAGAGCATTGGCCTTTGGGCCTGAAGGTCGTGGGTTCGAGCCCACCATAAGACCTACATCATGACTCACACTGATGACTACTGTCGTTGTGTCCTCGGGCAAGACACTTAACCCCACTTTGCCTAAAGCTCCCACTGAAAGATCTCAGCTCCTGTGGACTCACCACCTGCAGGAGGATCAGTGAGGGGCTGGTGCTAAGTGTACTGGGTGCAGCTCTGACTGCCACCCCCCCAACCCAGAAATGGATTAAGGGGAAGAAAATGGATGGATGGACGTTCCTGTCTTCCCTGTGGTGAAAACCAACTCAGGTCCATACAACACGCCTAACTTGTAATTTGGTCCCCGTCTTAAATACCGGGTCTGCAGTATGAAAACGCCTACGGATTACATGACGCCATAACCATTGAGAGAGAGACAGCAAGAAAGAAAATATATTGGCAACACAAATAGCTGTGAATTCACTAACATGAAAATTGAACTATCAAAAGTGTCCCATTTGGAAAAGCAACATAACAATCACTAATACAGGATCAGCCATGACCTTTTACTGTAATGAATGATGCCAAATGGAGAAAGTGGTCTCAACATGGGTCAATGACACTTGCCTTTGAGATGATTTCCACCAATGGCGTAGAGGCGGTCGTTCATCCCGGCCAGTGCGTGGATGGCTCTCTTTGTGTTCATGTCCTGTTTTCGAGCCCACACGTCCATTACAGGGTCGTAACAGTAGAGCCAGGACACATACTCCCCATTGTGGACCCCTCCTACAAAAGAAAAACACTCATCTGAGTCACAATATACACTTTCATAATACTTATGTCAGTCTGAAGTAAAAATTAAGCTTTTTAGTTGATGCTAAATCCAGAGTAAAGCAAGAAAAACACAGCGGTTAAAAATAGGGAATCTGATTATAACTATCAAACCATTTGGCACATACTCACATATATGTTTGTGCAACCATAGAACCACTTTTTCATTATAGAGAATCAATGTGGATTACCCTCAAACCAGCTCTCAGCACAAATCATCACACACACGGCTTTTTAAAGTTTCCATTAGTAAGTAAATAAGTAATCTTTATTTATATAACACATTTTTCCCGACCAAGGTCACCCAAAGCACTTTACAATGTTAAGAGGGCAGATATTATTTCATTCTCTCCACACACGGTGATGACAGAAGCAAGATGCCGAACACACTGGCGCATTGATGCTACACCATCCATCCACTCACTCACTCATTACAATCATACCTATTGTGCATGTTTTTAGTGGTAGGTGAAACCGGAGCACCCGGAGGAAACCTACGCAGATACAGGGAGAACATGCTAACTTCACTCAGAAAGGCCCTGTTCCGACCGGGATTCGAACCGAGGACCTTTTTGCTGAGAAGTGACAGTGCGATCCAGAAAGCCACTGTGTCGCCAATGTTCAAGTGTTTTTTTAATTTGATGGAGGCAAAGTGTAGCTGACTGCTTTATTTTCCCAGTTGAAAATAAAATGTTGTTATACTGTATGAACATGTCATTTTGTGTTTGTGCTTAATGTTTTTTGTAGGACACTGACCAAAAAATTTAAATGAACAAAATTAATAAAGTTGTGTTTTAAATAGTCTTTCTGAAGAATAAGTGTATGGTGTGCTTTAACAGTCTAAATATAACCATCACCTGAAATATAAATCTTTCCATTGTGCACAGCTCCTGCATGGGCGGCCAGGGGCTGAGGGAGAGAGGACAGGTAGTTCCACTCATTAGTCTCCAGGTTGTAGGCCTCGACACTAGAGAGGTATCCCGACTCATTCCTCCCACCGATCACATACAAGTGCTTATCCAGGCGACAGGCAAAAAAACTGGCTCTCCTGCGAAGGATGAGAGGATGACATTAGTACGAAAAAACCCACAATGACTATATACATTTGAATGCACTATTTCTGGATCCACACCACAACTCACCTCTCCTGCATTGGCGGAAGTTGGATCCAGCTGTTAAATCTTGGATCATACCGGCTCACGAAATTGGTGCTGTGTTTCCCTATTGAAAAAAAATTTGTGAAAAGTGAAGCTACAAGTAGAGTAAAATATATGATTGTTGAATATTGTTTAACACTTTTAAATTCAAATGTCTTGTGTTTTCTGTACCATTGGGGTTCCACTGGTCTTCTCCTCCAAGCAGCAGCAGAAAGTTCTCCACCTCCACCACACAGTGATGAGCACTGTTGTAAGGCATTACTGTGGACAAAACACAACACATCCAATTAAATTTATTCTTGTATAGCACTAAATCACAACAGCAGTTCTCTCAGAGGACTTTACACAACCGTTGAATTCGCCAACACAGATCAGAGAATCAAACAGCTCAAACACAAGAAAAAAAACAGAAAACACACAGGTATTGGTCCATAAGGGTCAGATGACAAATGTCCATACATTTATATAAACATATAATACCATAAAAACCAAGCACTGATTTTACAGATTTTTTTTTTAATGGTTGCATGATGACAACACAAAAAATTAAATGGTTCAAATCCCTTCTCATAGCACTTGTTTATTCAAACCTATAGGTGACAAAATACAAAATACATGAGCTCCTTAATCCAGGGCATTTTATAAAACAACATGGCTTTCCATAAAAGTTTTCCTAGATATTTTTGGACATTGCTTTTTGTTTTTGTTTACTGTTATTTATGGTCCGCTTTTTTTCTAACCTTTGTTTCAGATCAAATAATAAATAATGTGAATAATCTCTGGTGCCTACTGGTGGTTAACAAAGAAAACTTTGCCGGGGAAGAAGAGGAGCAATTCCGAACAGGCTTCTGTAGAGGGCATTAGTGAGACTGGTGAGAACTCAAGCTCAAGATGTTATTCTATTTTTGTGATGATAATAACACTACCTAAATGTGCTCTTTGGACTAATAGACAAGACACGATGCTAACTAAAGTAGATATTTAGAATAGAAAAAACACAATTTTTATTTCTGTCTCCTGGCATGAAACTGAACAAAAAGCAAAAGATAGATTTTCCATTTCCCACATGTTCTTGGTAGGACTTTTTTATTTTCCTGGGACCGTGGACAATAAAACATTAGCCTACAGGAGAGATGCTTTGTAGCACATTATAGTAGAATATGCTAATTTACAGCTGTAGTCGCATGTATGCATTGCTTAAATGCCCGGTCTTGCACATAGACCACCTGGGTATAATTTCTTCCTCAAGTATGTTTTTCTGCTCTCTTTCTCCACTATCCTTTGTGTTGAAGTGACCCCATTGAGATGTAGAGAAATGGTCTTAGGTGACAGTCATAATGAACATGATCGTGTTCACTCAATAAATCTCGGCCCGGGTGCTTTTTGAGTACAAATCAGTGGAATGTTAAAACCCACCTGTCTGTCTCCATCAGTCATTTCCACTGTCACCTCCCCACTGCCTGATGGATCACAGTTGCTGCAAAATTAGACAGCCTTGAATCTCATTTCTTTCCAATTGGCCTCTCCCTGCAATCTCACTCTGGCTCGCTGACATGTGCCTCCCCACCCAGGAAGGAGGTCTCCGATAGGATACTAATGCAACATACATACATGCTCTAAACACAGCTTAATCTACAGTGAGGGGAAGAGGCTGCCCGGCTCCAGAGCACCACGAAGACAAGTGCTGTAAGACTATAGCTATTTACATTATCACTCCGTCAGCAGTATATGTGCTATGGATGGGTGCTCTTCTCGATGATGTCTAGTGACTTGCACTAACACTACAAATAATCTTTTGCTTATGTAAAAAGGTTGTTGCTTTACAGTGAGGCTGGGCGATAGGACCTTCCATTATTATCACAATTAGCATTTCACTTTGATTAATTAATGAGTTTTTCAGCTCATCATAGTTCACTGAATACACAGCTAATTAAGCTGGAATATAGCACATATAATGTTTTTGACAGGTTTTATGATTGTAGTGATACGCTCCAGTAATTCATTGTTTAAGAAGTCTTGTATTCAAGTATCAAGTATTGATTCTAAATACTAGTATAATAAAATATAGTTGTACTTGATCATGCATTAAAAAGATTATGAAACAGATAAGACCATAGTTAGTAAATAAGTTAAATCTTGAATAACCTCTGACTTATACTGATTGAATGTGTGTATCCATACATGGTAAGTAAGGTACAGTAAGCCTTCAGGTAGTTGCAGCAGTCATAGGAGGGCATTAGAAGCATGTCTTTATGAGATGGAAGCCATCAGTCGCTGTACTACAGTGAGCTGCAGGGCTCACTAGAGGGAGGCACAAACCTCTGCATAGAGACGCAGTTGGGGCCGCTTGACTGGCTCCTCAGCTAATGCACCATTGCTGCTGAGGTCTGACGTGCCTTCAACACATTACAGCCGCATCCTGCCGAGCTGATTCCTTTGTTCCAGGCCATACAGTGTACACCAGCCTGTGATTTTAATATGGGCCTGTTTTAAATAAGCACAGACAGGGGAGAGAGTCCAGGCTTTGTCTGCTGTTTGCCACGCTACAGCGGGTACACTAGATGGCAAACTTTACACTGGAATCACCAGGCAGAGGATTCTGAAGAGAGGGATCAAATTCTCCCCAAATTGTGTTGATGAATGTCTTAATCAAAGCCTGTCCCTCTCAGGTTTCGCCTCATTGAAAAGTTATGATTGAATGTTAATAATCTTCTATTCCACATCCATTGTGTGGAAGCTACATCAGATGGCCACTGATGTGTTAAGGGGATGATTTTGCAGTTTTGTCCTTCCATTTGGCCACGGACCATTTGAGTGTTAACTTTTTAGTTTTGACTGATGGAAATCCCTATTGACCTTTTGCTTGTTGCAGTTTATACCCATGAGTGTGAGTGTAATGAGAAAATAACAATATAGACACCAGTGAGCTTCAGGCTGTTGTGAACGCACACCTCCTTTAGCAGAATGCCTCCTGATAAATCTGGCCAAACACAAGCTGAAATCCCACTGCCAAGAAGTGTTATGAATTGAGAAACAGTGTCCAACACAGTTACTTTAGTACTTAAGATTAGACCTCTCACAAAATCTAAAAAAAAAATCTAAAACAGAAAGATTAAGGGTATTGACGCAGTGAGGCAGATTACTATGAAGCAACAGTGCTGAGCTATGACTCAAACCAAAACAAGGACAAGAACTCAATAAGTCCAGAGATGAGGATGCAAAGAACAAATATGGTTTTCCATTAGCTGACCTTTGCAATACTACAATAATATAGTAGTGGGCCTTCAAAGGTCATGGATGACAAAGAGAAAAGACCAGCTGGTTTCCTCAGAGATGCTTCTCTAAATATTATAGATGTGGCTTGTTTGGTTTACATTCTATTATTCTAAATATTATCAACCTTCCTACTTTATGAAATCTAAGAAAAGATGTTTTTAATAAATCACCTCATATTATTTACCAATAATACATAACATGAAGATTTTCTAAAATGTAATTATTTCCTGATGTTAATTTTGGGATTGACAGACACTGAATCATTAAGTTATTATTAAAAGATATTGAAAAACTACGTGATTAATTGTTGTTGTAGCTCCACCACAATAGCCCGTTACGTTGAAGTAAATCTCATCATGCATCTTGCAAGCATATTTCAGCAAAAACAAGGGAAACCGTGCATGACGCTCCACAGTGCTGCGAAGTCACGCTCTGATTAAAAACTTATATTAAAAGTGATAGTGATACATTATTACCTGAAGGATTTAGGGAACTCCTTCCCTCATTTTGTGAGAAAATTAACTTGTGTTAAAGTCATTCATAGGAAAAGATAAATCTCATAAAAAGGCACAAACACAGGATGCTCTGGGTACAAAGAAAAGGCCTCCACTCACTTGTGAGGATCTTCCATGTCTTTTTTTCATCGTCATAGTATTGGACCAAATTACTAGGGAGGCGATCAGGTCCAGGAGGCAAACCACCCACCAGTAACAGCATCCTCTTATTGGAACGGATTCTGCAAAGACACAAAGTGTGGGTTTGTGGACAAATGTTCCAAAACAGAATTAAACAAGAGGTGAAAAACAAAATACAAATTCTTTGTTTTCACATAGACATGTATTCTATTGTGAATTCAACTGTCAATATTACATTTGTTAATACTGTACATGTTCTCAGTGAATAGACAAACACACAGTGAAATACTTGATATGTGATGCTAATGAGCATTAAATTTTTTAACCAATAAACCACAAATTGTTTCAATACAAATTGAATAGCACTGAAGTTCCTTGCCGTTTGAATTTATCATAATTTCTTACAAATAGGAATTATGAAGAGTACTTGTGTTTGGGATGTGTTATTGAATGGTTATGGCTCCCTAAAGACAAGCTTTCAATTAGCTGAGAGGTGAGGTCACTCCAGTGGGGTGCCATGCTGGAGGCAAAGAGTGCAATTGGGAGCATAAACCAGTTCATACAATGTCTCCATTTCATTGGCTGCTGTGATTCATGTGACATTTACGAGGCAGTGCTGAGGTATCCCCTGCTGTGCTATATGACACATTTAAGTGAACTTTAGCCACTATTATTTACTATTGAATAGATATTAGAGCAGAACTTCCAATTTGTCCCAATATGTGCTCAAAATTAAGATAACTGGGTTTACATTCAGGCTCGGTCACATTTTACCAATTCATATTTCACTTTTATATGCTTGGATAAACAACCATTGTCTCAGTACATTCGCCCTGCTACTGGCCCACTCGGAAGTGTTTTGGGGTTATTCATATGCAAATGAGCCCCTGGACATAGATAATGGTGATTAATTGAGAGGAGAGAAACAGTGGCATGTGAAACTAATTATGAGGATTCCTTATTCCTTGCTCATTTAAACCCATATGCGGAAATAGAGCTGTACTTGGACTAAGGAAGAAATGACTGCTTTTAGAAAGAATTCATATTCCACATTTAGAGCACGCTTAGAATATCTTTTTCAACAATGCACTAATGGCACAACTGGAATTCATTGTTACTCTTGTAAAAACACCCTCTGTAACTGTCAGATAAACAAACTTGTCTACAGCAGGTCACTCAATCAACTTGTGACAAGCTGCTTGTTCGGCCGATTTTAGACTAGGCTTGATTATATACTATTTTATGTCTTTCCCATAAATTAACATGTTTTTTTGTAGAAGCTGTCAAACAAAAAATGATAACAATTAAGACCATGACCTTAATATTTAGATACATATTTAATCAGTCTCATATCAGATAAGTAGCTTATTCACAAGCTGTTACAAGACTTTTGATTAAATTATAACCATGTCATTTTGGTACCACTATAATTATAGCGTTTCAAATTGTATTTATGAGAGCTGTGAATCAATAGCAGCCTTTATCTGGTTAGCTACATCATGTATTCATTGATAAAGAAGAAATTACACACATGTGGAAAACAAAAAAAGTGTAGTTTGTAATGTGGGATTTGTAACAATGATAAATGTGGTGGAAATAGCTGGTTTGCTAATTATAAATATCCATAATAATTTGGATCAGAGTTACAGTACTTGTTAAGTTTTATTATTTAACTGGTGGTGGGAGACTTTCAATGAACTTTTTCACAATGTAAAAGTCATGAAGAGTGTACAAGCAATATATGAGTCAGTCTCACCTGCTGGCCACGGACTGCCTGCAGTGCTGTCGGAAGGGCATCAAGTGGTAGTTCATGGCATCAAGCAGCAGCTTCTGGCACACTGGGTCACTCCTCATGAACTCAACGGACTGCACCCTCTCCACCAGCTCTGGGGCAGGGATGAGGGCAAAGCGGAGCCTCTTCATGAGGTCTGGGGCGTAGTGCATACGAGTCTCGCGGTCATGCTCCAGCCACAGCACTGACATCTGGAAGAGAGCCAGCTCTGACTCCACAGGGGGTGGCAGAGCATCCAGCATGGCACACATCTCCTCAAAGTTTAGCAGAAGCACATCTTCCACCAAGTATTTGTTGGCCAGCTTCTTTGTCTCGTCCAGTCCATGGAGGGCGGCAATCTTGCAGATTTGCTTGTAATTCTGGACAGAGATCTGGTCATTGAGGAACTGCACACAGAGCTTGGTGATTTGAGGGATGTTCAGAATCTTGCTCACTGACAGCACCTCTTCCACTGTGTCCAGGGAAAGAGTCACATTGGCAGTGTAGAGGTACTCCAACACTAAGCGTAGTCCAATAGAGGAGCATCCTTGTAGTACCAGGTTATTAATGGGCCTGGCAGTGGGGGTTACAAGCTTGTCATCTGGGGAGGATGAGGGGGTCCCACTGCTAGCCTGGTCTCCTTTACTGCCCTCATTGTTGATTACATTGTGAGAGGAGAAGAGAGACCTGAAGTACTGGGAGCAAGACGCAAGCACTGCTTTGTGGCAGTGGAACTGCTGTCCCTGGGCAGTGAGAGTCACATCACAGAAAAGCTGTTTCCTCCACAAAAGATTGAGCCCGTGCAGCAGAGTGTCACTGTGAGTTGGGTCAAAGGTGGATGTTCTATCACCCGATCTGGACATGACTTTATGTGAACGCCACCTAGGCAACAAACAACCAAGCAAGGATGAACTTTAAGTAACTTATTTCAAAAACCCACCTATTTCAAAAGTTAGAGAATAATGCACTCATTCGTCTGATTCAAAACGCACCAGCCAACAGCAGACGGAATGGATGATGTATGTCCAGTAAAGCTTCAGTCTCTTTGAACTTCTGGTCGTATAACAACAAACAAAAACGCAGTAGTTCCCATAGTGTGCCACACTTTCTCATTCTTATGTGGAGAGGCTATAACGCACGCTGAGCTCCGGGGGACGCAGCGCCGTCACATCCAGCGAAGGCGCGGAGATGCTGCAAAGCTATAACCCCTATAACACACGCAAGTTGTCGACTACACGGTGAGGAGACGCGGCCGACGCACCGATGGCTGAAGATGCTGCATCCCTCCTACACCTGCCCCTGATCCCCCCGCTACTCTCATCGGAAAGAGGACGTGGCGCATCTCTAGCCTTTACGGAGTCTTACAAAAGCGATTAGTTTGTCTCCTTCCATCAGTAGCGGCAGAGATCTCCGGGTACGTTTGGCTTTACGCGTGTGGAGTTACGTTAACGCGATTGGTAAAAAAGAAAAAATGCTCGTTGTAGTATTGTTGCGTTCTAGAAAAAAAAAGTTGCAGCTGAAAAAAACACGTCTGTTCTTAAGATCGAAGCGGAATTTTTAACGCGCGTAATGTGCATGAAGTTAACCCGGCGTGCGTAAACGTTGTTTGCCAGATCCAGCATACGCGCCTGTCAACACCAAATGATGAGAACAGCTCACAGAGAAGAAGCCAAACTTACCTGACTTCAGCGCCCGACAAAAAGAAAGTAAGGTCCCAGAAACTTGAAATCCGTTCGTTCCTCTTTCAAAAAGTCTATGCTCTCCAAATAATAATTGATTCCAACTCTTAAGTCCCTATTTCGCGTTATTTGTTGACGTTGATCATTTGTTCTTCTGAATTAACAAGAAGTGTGTGAGTGTGAGAGGGAGCTGTGCTTTCTGCAAGAGAAGAAGAAGAAATATACGTGTGACAAATTATGCTACCAAGAAACAACACATCATTATCCTTGGGCCTGGGGCTCAGTGAGTCGTAACGAGAGTAATAGGAAATCCACGGTTGGGGAGAGAAACGGTCGTGCATGGCCGGTGGAGAGAGACCATGCAGGGGTATGGATGCTGGAGAGACTCGCAAAATTATGGCTCAAGGCTATTGTAAAAACTGTCGAGCGTAAATGACTGCGATTTCAAACATCTATGGAAGAAAGAAAAGAGAAAGGGGGAGAAAAAGCGAGTCTTTGCCTCGCCGTTATAGAGAGAACCGTCAAGTTTTAGTGCGCATTGCTAATTAGTCAATTTCTCTCTGCCTTCACAGCCCGACGACTTTGCTGCTGAGCTGAAACTGCTAATTTCTGGGACCAGCCTTTTTTTTGGCTGTGAACTGGATGGATGAATGGCTTGTCTCGCACAAATGACAAAAAGCCCCTGCCTTAATCTCCATCGCCAAAATAACCCCTCATCTCATTCTGCTCATACTAGTCCTTCAAAAGAAGGTGCATGGCACAAACTAAAGCTTTGCATCTTTATAAAGGCACAACACTTGGATATGTGATGTCAAGAAGTGCAAATGTGAACAGAACAAATGCCCACACTAACAAAGTTCAATAACACAATTCAAGTCTATATTCTAATCATATCCCCTGGACACACTTTGGACCATAGCTCCAGGCCATAGACACAAAGAAGTGAAACCTAATACGGAGCAGTCACCAGTGCAAGTCCAAAATGAACCAATGAATGTTGGCCCGACTTGCAAAATACAGTACACTACAGCACTACAGCATCTACATGTTTAAAACAAAAGCACTATTCAAAAGGATGTTGAATAATATTGGGGCACGTATTTCTCATGAATACTTGTTTGGGCGTATTGAAATTAGCCATAAATAAGATAATAAATATCTGTAAAAGAAAAAGTTTTGTAAAAGTTACAGCATAATTTCCATCCAATTGCAAATAGTTTATACCTCTAAAACATAGGTGTCAAACTGGTTCCAAAGAACTGGTCCAGCTTGGATTGAAAACCTGCAGCTACACCGACCCTTTGAGGACAGGTTTTACATACCTGCTCCAAACCTTTCCCACCCTTTTAAGTTCCTAATCTATCATATCAATGAATATACAGTATAGTCTACATACCCTATAGGCAGTAAAATCTGTAGCATCTAATTAAACATCAGAATGTAGAAAAAGAAGAAAAACAGAACATCCAAGGACTAACATCTGTACATTCAACGTTAGATCAAGCCTTTGGATGCAAATCATCAATAACTCATCATCATCATACGCTACAATAATGGCAAATTGACTGAAGTAGTTAATAAAAACCTTTGTTGACAATGTAACATATTATTTGCACAGCACGTCTGACTAATGTCCACCCCATTTTACTCAATCACATCCAGTCTGGACAAAGTTAATGTTTATGTCAGTGAGACTGCTTTTATATAGCGCTCCTTGTTTTTCAATCAAAAATGGTGGGGAATTACTTATTAGAACAGAGCCTGTCAATTAAATAAAGAGCTCAATTAGGCTAAAAAAGCATACATACAGGACTCCCATGGGACTACAAGTGACAGATACCTCGCCAGTTATGAAATGACAGATAGGGATAAATGGGTTTGTTCATGTACTATGAAATAGAGCAACACCATGCTACCGTAAAGCAGTAACAGGCCCTGCATAGATAGCATTAATAACACAACTTTGTTTGATGTAGTTTATGACAAGAGATATGAAAATACCAAAAACATAGATAGTGGGCGAAGTACAAGATCTGTTAGTGTTCCAACTTTAAAATAGCATCGTTATAGTCATGTAAACATATCGTACTATAGTTATTGTATATTTATGGTTATGAAATAAATGTATAAATACAGTCCGGATGAACCCCTACAGCTGCTACTAGTACTATTACTTCTATTGAATCTTCATTTTTACAACTACTATACTACTACCACTACTGCTACTAATACTACCGTTGCCGCTACTGCTAAAGGTACTACTACTTTCACATGTATATTTCTGAAGTACCAGCACCAGTTCTGTAACACAAGAAATGGTACTGGCACAACTAATATAACCATGACCATACTTGCCATCAAGAATGAAACATACAGTACTCGATTTATAAATAGTATTGAAACAAAAAAAATAATTAATTGAGCAAAAGAACTGCTCTCTGATCATATCCACACAGAGAAAAGCTTCACAGAACAACAGCCTGGTACAGTAGCCCTCGGTAATTTACATAGGAGTCCCATATTGTTATCTTTACCAGCACTACATTACCCAAAGTCTCCAGCGTGCTATTCTAACACAATAAAATGACCATTTCTAACTCTTTCAGCTCTTTGTAGCAACTTGGTCTCCCGAGGCCACTGGTCTTCAGATTGCAGGGCGTTTATGGTTGTAAGTTGTTGCAGTGTGCAGAGGGAGGGGGTCATCAGATAAGAGAAGAATTTCTAGACTAATTAAACCCTCAGAGACAAAGAATCACACTACAGTGATTTACAACTCTCGCTACCAGTTAACCCACCTCATAGTTATCTGTCAAATTACACACATACTGCACTTTTCTGTAAATCACTATAATTTTTACTGTGAACATATAGAAGATACACAAATATTTTTAGTAGTTTTAATGGCTAAATTAATACAACAATGACTATGAACCTATGCACTAAGACCAGATGCTCTTTTCTGTTGGTAAGTATTTTTTGTTTTAAATCATTGCCGTTTCAATTGTCTGATTAAAATGTGAGCTTTTCATCTAATCAGTGAGATGAAACAATATAATGCGCAAGCTCCAAACTTGAGAATAGTAAAAGTGTAGCAGGCATAATTCCTCTTGCTGGCTGCTGCAGAGGGGTATGCTAAGATAGAAAGTATTATTTTCCTAAATGGAAGGTGTCAGATGGTCACGGAAATGTGATCGGCTGTTCAAGATCACTGCTTCCCATCTGCAATTTGTGACGTGTGAAAGATTCAGCCCAAATGTGCTCACCAAGCGTAAATCCTCAGCACTTTCTCTTATCGTGGAAAAGCAAGATAACCAGCTGTTTACAGATCAGAGAACATATCATATTAATATCATGGAGAGGCTGATATAATCTTGTTTGTAAAATATTTTGTTAACTAAGTGTGGTGTGGTATGCCATCATATGAAGTTCAAACGCTTTCACTTTATTTTATTCTTTCATTGTCACCAACCAAGTACAGATTAGGGCTGCATCAATGTTTACTTTGGTCATTGATTTGTTCAGTGATTATTCTTCCATTTAATTAGAATGCAAAAATGATGCTAAATTGTACCCAAATATTGTGGGTTTTCAACAAAAAAGGCTATTTTTAAAAAATTTGTGAGCCCTCGTGTCATTTCATCTCCGCCTGAATCCCAAAACCTATTATCTCAACACTGACCATTATTATTCAATGACTAAATGCGTTGAGTATACATTCATTTATATAATAATACAATTAAATTAAATGGACATTGCAAATGATATATTCTTTGATCTTAGTGTAAATATCAAAACTAATATATAAATCATCATATAATCAAGGCCATAGGTCTTTTTGCAAACTTTAAAACACTGAAACAAAGACTCTTTCATCTTTACAAGGGGCAGTCAGCTGTCCATCTGACCCATCTGGTCTGAGCAGAGAGAGGGTAAGATGGGGAAAAGGAGCATGCTTGTGGGGATGACTGGGGCTGATGCACATGACCCGCATTAACGCACAACAAATAAAGTGTAAATACTGACATTTGTTCCTGGGGGGGCTCAGGGGGTGCTGAGGTCTTCCATGGAGTTGCTCTACTCTTATAAGTGTGGCTGTCCTGCATGTGCCATGGTGAGAGGGCAAATTAATGATTCATAATAAACAGTCTTTGTAATGGCTTGCTTTATAGGCCATTGGGTCATTATTTGGAGAGACAATACCATGCCCTATAGACATTTTGGTTATAAAAAAACAATAACACTCAAAATGAAAAAATATATCAAAATGGGGGTGACCCTAACCCCCAAACACCCCTGACACTGGTGGACACAGAGGGCTGCGCCGCTTGAGCAGCACTGTTGCCCCATGGTCTCTGGGCCTGTCTAGAATAACACTGAAACCAGTGCAACATTTGAGAAGAAAACAAGAGGATGGATTTAATGGATTTGAAAGATTGGCAGAAGAAACTGTAAAGTGAAAGCTAAAGAAAAAAAAAAACTGTAGACTGGGATAGCACATATATTTCTCTGAATGCAGTACTTTCAGCTGTCATTAGGCGGATAGTGGATAGCACTCTCGCTTCTCAGCAAGAAGGTCCTGGGTTTAAATCCCGATCAGAGTCTGAGTAGAGCTTGTTCTCCCCGTGTCTGTGTAGGTTCCTTCCAGGTGCTCCGGTTTTTCCCTGCACAACAGTTAAAATCCTCCAGCTCCGGTAGTCCTGACCAAGCCAAGCATCAACAACTGGAGATGGGTTCCCAGACCACTGCTCCTGAAGTAGGTCAGTCAAGTGGAGGAAGACACTAGTAAATAATGAAAACCAGGATTAAACCATGACCGATAAAGGAGAAAATAGTGATTATGACCTCATGCTTTCACCCTGAGTTCACATTCTCCCGTGTATGGATTAAACAGTGATCACACTCTTGAAAGTAGTGCTCATCCTGGACCAAATGGGGGTTATCTCTGTAACCTAACCGTATCTATATGATCTTGTTGAAGAACTATGTAAGTAGTGCACGAAGGACGCAAGCCTGTTGATGAGGAGAACAAGAAATGGGAAAAGCCTCAGCTGTATTCAATGCATCGTGGATTACTTGCACCATCACTGGTCAAGGTGTAGGTTTGATTATGGATAAATGGGAATCCAAAACGCCAGCATTTCTGGTCTGAACACCACTCAAGGAGCACACCAGAGAGGTCAGGAATACAGTTGTGGAGAAGTTCAAAGCCGTGTTCAGTTTTGTAAAGCTTTTCCAAGATTTGAACACCACAGAACACTGTTCAATCTGTTATTCGGAAATGGAAAGAGTATGGCACCGCTGCTAACCTACCAAGACACAGCTACCTACACTAACAAGCCGAACATGCAGGGCACCGATGAGAAATGCAACTATGTGCTGGGGGAATCTGTATATCACTCAATCATACTCTACACAAGAGTGTTGAAAGAAATCCATTGGAAATCCTGTTTGCAGGAAGTAGAAGTTTGGAGTTACGATGTCCATACTGTGAGTCCATAATTGGAGATTTCTGATTGGATTGGAGATGACCAAGTATAGATTCAGACATGAAAGAGAGAGCTTAAGTTGTTTTGTTATGGATGGGAAAACCTTTCGTCTCTATGTGCAGAGCTTCAGTCACACCTAAAAAGACTTTCTACTGTAATTATAGCAATCACGGGTTTGAGTATGAACTCATATTTTATGAAAGTATTCATAAATACGACATTTCAGTTTTTGATAATTTTTAATAACAAAATCAATGTATCATTTTGCTTTAACTTTTACTTACAGTTGTATGTTATTTTTCTCCATTGTAAACTTTTTGTGTCAGCTCCCAAGTTATTCACTTTTTAGTTATCAGCATTCCAAGGTTAGCTCAATACAAAAAAATGACAATTTGTTAGTCCATAGAAGCTGAATAAAGGATGTATTGTGTTGAAATGTCATACATACAGTGCCTTGCGAAAGTATTTGAAGCTTTCAACATTTCGCCACATTTCAGGCTTCAAACATAAAGATATAAAATTTCAACAACAAGTGGGACACAATCGTGAAGTGGAACGAAATTTATTGGATAATTTAAACTTTTTTAACAAAAAAACTGAAAAGTGGGGCGTGCAATATTATTCGGCCCCTTTACTTTCAGTGCAGCAAACTCACTCCAGAAGTTCAGTGAGGATCTTTGAATGATCCAATGTTGTCCTAAATGACTGATGATGATAAATAGAATGCACCTGTGTGTAATCAAGTCTCCGTATAAATGCACCTGCTCTTTGATAGTCTCAGGGTTCTGTTTAAAGCGCAGAGAGAACCATGAAGACAAAGGAACACGCCAGGCAGGTCCGAGATACTGTTGTGGAGAAGTTTAAAGCCGGATTTGGATACAAAAAGATTTCCCAAGCTTTAAACATCTCAAGGAGCACTGTGCAAGCAATTATATTGAAATGGAAGGAGTCTCAGACCACAGCAAATCTACCAAGACCCGGCCGTCCCTCCGAACTTTCATCAAGAGGCCCATGATCACTCTGGATGAACTGCAGATAACTACAGCTGAGGTGGGAGAGTCTGTCCATAGGACAACAATCAGTCGTGCACTGCACAAATCTGGCCTTTATGGAAGAGTGGCAAGAAGAAAGCCATTTCTCAAAGATATCCATAAAAAGTCTCGTTTAAAGTTTGCCACAAGCCACCTGGGAGACACACCAAACATGTGGAAGAAGGTGCTCTGGTCAGATGAAACCAAAATTCAACTTTTTGGCCACAATGCAAAACGATATGTTTGGCGTAAAAGCAACACAGCTCATCCCCCTGAACACACCATCCCCACTGTCAAACATGGTGGTGGCAGCATCATGGTTTGGGCCTGCTTTTCTTCAGCAGGGACAGGGAAGATGGCTAAAATTAATGGGAAGATGGATGGAGCCAAATACAGGATCTTTCTGGAAGAAAACCTGTTGGAGTCTGCAAAAGACCTGAGACTGGGACGGAGATTTATCTTCCAACAGGACAATGGTCCAAAACATAAAGCCAAATCTACAATGGAATGGTTCACAAATAGACGTATCCAGGTGTTAGAAAGGCCAAGTCAAAGTCCAGACCTGAATCCAATCGAGAATCTGTGGAAAGAGCTGAAGACTGCTGTTCACAAACGCTCTCCATCCAACCTCACTGAGCTCGAGCTGTTTTGCAAGGAAGAATGGGCAAGAATTCCAGTATCTCGATGTGCAAAACTGATAGAGACATACCCCAAGCGACTTGCAGCTGTAATTGCAGCAAAAGGTGGCGCTACAAAGTATTAGCGCAAGGGGGCCGAATAATATTGCACGCCCCACTTTTCAGTTTTTTATTTGTTAAAAAAGTCACAATTTCTGTCCCACTTGTTGTTGATTCTTGACAAAAAAATAATTTTTTATATCTTTATGTTTGAAGCCTGAAATGTGGCGAAATGTTGAAAGGTCCAAGGGGGCCAAATACTTTCGCAAATCACTGTATGCACATCAAGCATTTTATTACTGCAAATTTGTTCTATAAATACAGTATTTACACATGATAGGTATTGTATTGCACATATACTTGTTACTTTGATGAAAGTTTCTCAATTTATAAATCGTCCAGTGTGTAATAAAGTAGAAGTTTGTCTCTTTGCCATTATGGGAGTATGGGAAACCTGCTGTTTGAAGCCCCTAGATCCCCACACATGGCGTAGCCACCACAGACACGGCTCAGAGAGTCGGGCGGCAGCCGGGAGGTGAGTGGAAAGGAACAGGCGGTGTCCCCTCCAGAGTCACTGCAGGAGTGTGTGTCTGAGTGTGTGGCATTCTCAAATGACAAAAGCAGAGCAGTTGTTGGCTTGTGGGAGGGGTGCTTTTTAGAGACACTCACCTGAGGGACAGTGCGGCGACAGAGACCAGGGCTGTAGTGGGGACCCTCAGTGTGTGGGGGCCGCGGGAGGCCACAGTGCCATGGAGGAGGTTGGAGGGTTGAGAGGAGAGGGGGTTTCTGCTGTGTGCTCTCCCCAGCGTGATGCATCTACCTTCAGGGTGGCAGCAGGCGTGGAGTGGGGTGCGATGGAGCGAGCACAGGCTCAGTGGCGCGGTCACCTAGGGACGCTGCAGCCGCTGTAGCAGGACTGATAGCTATTCCTTCAGAGAATTGCAAGATGAGCCCCATTGTATTAGCAAACCCCGTGTCTGCTACAATGTCCTTAAATCATTAAACATTGATAAAGTTAAAGAATATATGCAAGTGAACATTTCAAACTTTTTACACCATATAGACTAGAGCTATTTTCTAGCTTTCCCTGGTAATCCCTTTTTATAATCTAGGATTTACACTTCAACTTTATTTTGACATGACCTATTGAGGTCATGTCTTGCTTTAAATAGTTATCTAGTCCAACATGCATGTTCTTGATATGATTAAATTGTGCCAGATTTTGTTTAATGAGAAGGGGAACAAAATGGAGATTACTTTTGTTGAACTGGTAACTGTATGTATGAACAAACGCTGACAAGAGCCAACAAATTACTTCACACTGATTCAAAATTCTCAGACATTAAGCTTTTAATTTCCGAGCCATACTTTTGTGTTGAAATTGTTTGAGTCGTATCTTCAAAATTCTCTGTGTCTAATATGGTCAGCACTCCCAATTATTCACTCCACTGACAAGTGAAACAAATGGGACCAACCAGTGCATTCTGTATTATCTACACCCCTTGGATTCCCTGACAATAATTAATACAATGGCAAGCTGCTGTTAGCAGCCCTGACGACATGGGCTCAACATAAGCTCTCCCCCCTTTTCCATGAACTCTGGAGGAGAAATGACATCTAATACTGGGGTCACATGGCCACTAACAGGCAGGTCAGCCCAGACAGAGGTCGTAATAGGGGACTGTTAACATCACCACGTTATTACTCACATCATTACACCAAGAATGTAAGGAGCATGGAATATGTCAGAAATAATATGGATATAGCCCTGGTTGGACAAAGGTTTAGAAGTTTCATCCACTATCACATTGGATAGTCTCACCAACAATCATAACATTAAATAATATTTGAACTTATCAAAATAAACATGGTCAAAATTTGGTTTAAAGAAATGAAGGATCATCTTTTCATTTTAACCCCTATTTTTTATTATATGGGCACTTGTTCCCCAAACATCCATTAAAGGAATGCCATGTTATTTTTAAATCCTCACAGCAGGCTTTGGCATCAAATGAATAAAGTGGATGAGTTTCTCTTTAACAGCTGTAATTTGTGTTTTCCAATCACCATGCTGATTTCTGCTCATTATACTCCGGTTTCACACCGGTAAGTGAGCAAAGTTTGGATTGATTGACTCTAATTAACTAAAAAATGTTCCAAGCCACGGATTTATTACCATGCTAGCTAGCCACAAATGTCAGAGAGTTTCACAAATTATTATCCTGTTAAGATAAATATCTTTGAAATCATACAAGTGTGAAAACACAAGGAGCATATTGTTATTGTGATGAATATGTTTGGCATGTTTGGTGCTAAGTATAACTTAAGATGACTTACCTGGGCACGCACTGTTCCAGTGCAGTGTTGCAGTCAGACTGAATGACAGATGCTGGGACAAAACTTTGAAGGAACAGACTATTAATTACATCTAATCCATGGTTAAGCATAGCATTGTGTTTTATTAGTGATCAACAACATGAATAAACATGTATCAGTGTTTATTTTGCAGTACAAAGACTTCCCTTTATTACCAGAAGAGAAAATATAATGGCTGTTCTTATTTTCTCAATATCCAAGTGTCATCTGTCACTTTACTGGTGCCACTCAGTAAAATCTATTTTTTCTTAAGACTTAAGGTAGGTCAAGGTAGAAAAACCTTTTACAAAACCACCTCCTCAAACTTTTTCACACTGTTAACACCTACTTCCCTTGTGTTCAGTAATTCTTGGCAGTATCCCCTTCATTGATATTTTAGACACAGTGGCACCCTTCTCAACTCACATTCTTTCCTTGACTCCAGCAGCTCTGTGGCTCGACTCCCCTCTTGCTCTCACAAACAAAGACAGGGTGGTTTTCAGTTCTACCTTCCGTTTTCCTGGGTGTAGGGAGATCTCAAAAACAGAATTTGGGTTAGATTCGGAAAACAAAATGCCGCTCTGATTCACTTGGCTTCACGTCACCGATCAGAAGGAATCACCCAAGTGCATCCAAACGAAACGGACCCATCGTCTGCATGATGGCGCCGGGCTGAAATTGAGAATCTGGCTGCCTGTAAATCAGATCTTAGCAACATGTCTTATACAAACATATTCCTCCATACAAGACGTGTATGTATATTCAATCTTTGATATATCTTTGAGTATTATGTTTTGTGTGTGTTCTAAAATATTGTGTTTTAAAGCATTGGCATTCAGAGTAGAGGATACTGGTGCACCTTCAAATGAATGTGATCACATAAAGTATGGCGCTCTGAAATTTACTTTCAGATTGATTGGAACAAATAAACTAGATAAATGTGATGAGAGGACACTTTCATATGAGCTATTAGCATCACGCCTTAAGAAATATGCGCCAGACTGGGCATTTTTATCCTCAAGGTGCTTTCGGAAATCTACATGATGATAGCTTTTGGTGATCAAATCTCAATCTCGACATTACTTATGATTGTATTTGCATTCCACACCAATAATGCAGCACAGAACATATATTGGTAGCACATAATAGTAATTCTTCAAAACATAATATTGACTAACCACCATAAAACAAAATGAATTAAAAAAAAAAACGATTGGTAACAAAACAACTATTTGTTTGCTCTGTGTAAAGTTGTAGGTTCACACTGCCCCCTTCTGTCCCACAAGTCAGAGAGGCATCTCACAGCTGCATCACCAGAACCCCTGCTCCTATACTCACAGCTTAGGGTACTACAAATATCCATACAGATACATGAATATAGATAATGGAGAATGCAGATTTTTAGTAGTCTTATTATCTCCATGTTATACAGTTGTAGTACTTTCATTTTAAAGTTGTGTGCAATTGTAAAACTAAATCAAAACTAAAATATGATACAACTGAACAATTGTTTCACAAGCATTCTTTGTCATTTCGTTAAGATTAAATTGAAAACTGAGTTTCCCCTGGGTTCTGAAAAGCCACTGGATAGCGCACACACAACATCCTTTTGCGCACACTATTTACCCCTGGATTGCTTCAGGCTAATGTCTCAATAATTTTCACTCCTTTCTCAGGTCCTTCCCACAAAGGACTTAACTAATGATCCATGGACAAAATGAAGCATTTAAATTTATTCATTAATCATTCATCTCCAGCTCATTGAAAATGCTAAACTTCCACAAAATTAAGATTGAATATTGAAAAGTGATTGAGAGAGACAGCTTTCAGAGAGTGAGGAGAAGGAGTGCATATATGATGATGAAAATAGTGTTTATAAAGAGATACTGGACATGGTCAAGGTGGTGGTAGTGTACTAAGTGCTAGTTAAGGTCACGGGTTTCGCTAGTTGTAATTAGATCTTGGGATCTGGAGAAGCGTAGAATTTCTGTCAACACTGCCTGTAATTATTCTCTTTTCCAATTAATGGTGACATAGATTAATTATCTGATGAGGCAAAGCCAATTGCAATCATTCACCCAGCTAAAATTAGATCAGTCCTGACAGCAGCATGAAAGTCACCTGTTTCATTGTTATGGATGTGCGGCGAGTAAAGAGGGGGATAGTGAAGCGTGCTGTGGTAAGTAAGTTGTCTGGTACAGGTGAATGTCCAATTACACTGATGTTAGAACTCAAGGAATCTACTTAAGTTACTGAGTAGCATCTGAATTTGCTTGTTTGTTCACCCGGACTTCTTCCAAGGAAGTGGAGTCTGCCAAAGACTGAAGGAATGTTGAAATAGCATGGATCTCTTCAGCCAACCACTCCTGTAAGAAGGAAACAATGGCTTGTTTAAAAAGTACAGAATTAAAACAGTGCTTGCTGCAAGACACACACACCTGTGAGAGTTACCATCTTGTTCTTATTTTTGTAAGGAGGAACATAAAGCTCCCGGTGAACCACGTCCAGGTTCAGTGCTCCTCTGTTTTAAAAACCTCAGCATCCAGTTTTTCTTTTAAACTGCCTGGCACTGTCAACCAGCTTGGGAATCTGAACCAGCCTAGCCATGCAGAAATTCTCTGACTAACAATTATATCAGAAACAGGATCTTGGATTACTGTCCCCTGGGAATGGGGCAGTGGGCGTCTGCTCCAATCATTACTGGCCATTCAACAAGGCTGTGCAGTGCTCTCTGCTGTTAGCCATTGTCAATTATGCCATCCCTTGTGTAAACTTGCAGAACACAAAGCTGAACTGCCAGTTCTGGCAGCAGTGTAACAGGATGACAGCCCGCCAGCCCCCACTTCCACATCTCACCCACTCAGCCCACCCTAGGGTTCCCCGGCCTCTTCCCCTCAAACTGGAGTGCAACATACTGCCATTTGGCATTCACCGTGAAACTAACCTGACCTCTCATGCTCGGCTCATGAGGTTAAGTGGATATGATGAATTGGGACAGACCTCATCAGTATTTTGCCTGATTTACTTTGCATGTTTATAATTTTTATCTCATTTGGACATCGCTGGCTGTGTCTACATAATTTCATAATACATTCAATACTTTTAAGTATTATTTGTCCTTTTTGTACTGTTCTTCTCCACATGCACTTTGTAAGATTGTGATCCAAAGTGTTCAAAGTGAGTGCTGCTTGCTCTGATGGACCCTGTGCTGAGCTGTGACGGGTGACGGTGCTGTGCGCTTGAGTACACCAGCTCTTTTGTCCTTCACACTCTGTAGCGCTCTGATAGCTCCTCCCCCTGTGCCCCACTCCTCCCTGCCTTGAGCTGTGATCTGCTGGGGCCTTTTCAGCCTGGGCCGCTGAGACATGCCAGTTGCCTGTAATGTCTGGACCAGGCCTATCAAAAAAACATGTCAGTCGTAAGGGAGCAGGAAGTGAAAAAGAAGAACTAAATGGGATTTTTCGCATCAAACCCCTTTGGAAAACAAAGAATTCCAAACTGTTTCCTAATAATTATAAACTTAATATTTCTATGACTACATAAGGGTGCTGAGTATTAGGACTTCTGCGTTGATCGGGCAGCTTTGCCTCATGAAAGGTAAAACTATGTCATGTGGAATGTGTCCTGAATTAATCATTGTTTGAATACATACAGAATTGGATTTGACTCATTAGGATCTCGTATTGGTTGATTTAATCATGTCTTTCAACATTCATCCTGAGCCATTACAATAAAACTACTGTTTAAAACATACCAAAACCATGTGGTCCGTGCATGGAAATTTGTATTGAATTGTGAGACAACTTGTTGACTTATTTGAAATGTAACATGTTTTAGACTTTAGCTTGTGCTTCTTATATTAATATTGTATAGAAAAGTAATGCATCTGGACAAGACATTTCATAAAGATTCATCACTGTCTCTCCGTCCGCTTTGACCTCATCTCACAGTGCAGCAAAGATTAGAGACCGATTATCCTCTAATTGAAGAGCGTACGTTTCCAACCTTGTAGAATGTGCGCTACTTCTCGCATGCAGCATGTAGATCTAGGGACGTTTGTTTACTTTAATAATTATGACCACAAAATCACAACCTACAAACGGGTGACCAAACAGAATATCTATAGAGTCATCTGTTGAAACAGAGCTAGACTCAGACATGGGGTCACCAGATCAGCGCCCCAGCAGACGCCTCATCCATCACATCACTCATCACATCAGTCACTGAGGGAATGTATTGAGCATAATGTGCGAGTGGTGTCCTGAGCCCCACTGCAGTACCGAGCCATAAAACCCTGGTGGATGTTTTACTTTGGCACTGCCTGGCTTGCCCGTGCTTGGCAAAGAAGACACCAGACAACTGACTAGCCGGATGAGGCTCACACAATGCCAAGCGTAACATGGAGTTACTGTAGTATGCACAAGAATATGCCACCAGCCAGTGGAATACCTAGGCTGCAATAAAAGATGAATTCAACTTCACCAGCCATTTACATTTCTATGTAAATGGCTGGTGAAGTTTTGTGAAGTTTATGTGGTGATTTTCACTTATCTGTATAAATACCTGAGCTGTTTTTATTTTCTGGTCGCTCTCTTGGGAAAGAGCCTGGCACTGATCCAGTTGAGCCTGGCTGTAGAGGCTACGTTGTTTGAAGTATTTCACCAAAGCTTTGTGCATCCTCTTCTGCAACAAAGAGAGCTAGGGGGAGAGAAGGCAGAGAAAGGGAATTGGTAAGGCAGGAGAGGAAATTAATGGCAGTGTTCAAGAAGAATGATGGAGGGGAATAGAGAAAGCAGTCAATAGCCCATTCTGCAGTACACGGGCCTGACAGGAATTTCACAGTCTCTTGGTTTCTCTGCCCACTCGTGTGCACTCATCAGAATCCAGTCACATCTGGCTGCCAGGATGGGGGGTTAATTTTCTCTAAATGCTTCAGCAGTTTTGTTCTAGCCGAGGCAAACTCTGTGACTGCAAAGCTGATGAGTAAAATATTTCTACTTCACCCAGTTTAACTTTATACCAATCCCCTCAAGACATATTTTACACATACACACAGAGTCATGAACCCCCCACTGAAACCAGAAATTATTCCTAGTCTCTTGGAAAGACATGCTGCTTGCTTTATTATTTGAAAACAGTTTCAAGCAAAGAGGTTTAAATTCTGATAGATGCCATTGCTTTTCTTTCCCCTCCATCTCTCTACTCTTCCTGCAAAGCTTATCATTGCTTGGCAATGTGTTCCCCAGTGCATTGAAAACTAAAGCGAATTAGCTCAGTCATCAGCTCCTGAAGGAAAGACAATAACAAGAATGCTCTTTATGGTGTCGCCTGTTAAATTCAAGTGCTGAAAGCTCCCACATAAACAAAGTCATTTCACTACATACAGTACAACAAAGAGGGTTTGAAGAGACAAATACTTAACAGTACACTTTACTTTTTTGTTTGAATTACTAATCCAAGTTACAACTGGAGCACATTACAAAGTTAAGATTAAAAGTGAGATGGACCATTGTATTCATGGGTCGCAGCTTCCTGTCTAATGCAACACTTTATCTTTCATTCAAAATATATAAAAGGTTGTTTCAAAGTGCTAATCACTATAGCAACAATCCTTATTTCAGATCATTCTCAAAGTTATATACAGTAGTTGTAATTACTTGGCCTATTCACATGATACAAAAACTGCAACAAAGTCTCAGAAAGAGTTAACATAAGGGAACATATATTTTGTAAACATTCAGAAGGAAACTGTAAAAATATAATCGCTCTCAGTTTTTATGAATAAATAGTTGTGGTGGCCCTTGGTGTGACAGTTGTAGCCAAAATATGCATGAAAGTTTTATATTAGTTCCAAAGAATAACTTGTCTGTGAAGCATAGAAGTGTCACTCTTCTTTAATACTTGGTTATTCTCTATATAAATAAATAGACAAATAATGTAAATAACACAATTTTTTATGTAGCTTTGGGTTCCTACTACTACTGTAGCCACAGGTGCCCTGTGGTAGATTGACAGAAGCGAGGCAACCAATCTGTGTCATCCGCCCTTCTGACCACCAACGGACATTCACGTACACAAGGATTCAAGCGAGGCAAAGTGTAAAATAACAGTGCAGTCTCCCATCACAGAACTTACCAGGCCCTATTCTGCTTAACTTCAGAGATACACTCTACTCACATTCAGGGCTGCAGGTATGAATGAGCAAAAGGATCACGTCATTCAATCACATACATTTCCCCAATCATAAAAAAAGTTTGAATTTGAGGAAAAGGAGGAAACCTGTAAATACATAACTTTGAAAAGGATCCTCAATGTTGCATGAGAAAGAAAGCTGAAGCCCACAAACAAGTACGAATGTCTTTTTGGGCTGTAGCAAGTCATTTCAAAGTGCATCTCTCTACTGTATTGAGATAATGCTATGTTGTTGTTTGTACCAACCTTTAGAATCATGTGCAGCCCTCAGGTCATAAATGATCCCCTGATGTAACTCTAGGATGCTCTGCACTTTCTCTCAAAGTGCTTCAAAACATCAGTAATGTGCCTAATTGATCAAGATTATGTGTACATTTTATTTCCAGATACTACATCGCTGGTACAAGCTACAGACGCATTCAAAATCTTCTCCAAACAAACAGTATTATATGTATTGGGTATAATTATTGGTACTTGTTCAACAGAGTAGCCAAAGATGCCACACATATTCCCTCTGTCAACTAGGCCGGGAATCTTTTCTGTTTTGTCAGGAAATTAACTGAATCTTGTGTCAAACCTAAATCAGTATTACATGTTCTGTCACTAAACAACAGCACAAACAAATGCACTTTATCGTGGGCAGCAGTGCAACTTATATCTGTGTGATTGATTCTTATCTATGTATTGTATCTGTTTTTACCGTATTTGTTACCGTATTTTTTCTGTTGTTTTGTTCTGTTTTTACTTTGAAGCGCTTTATGGCCTTGGTCTGTGAAAGGCGTTGTATAAATAAAGCTTACTTTCTTACTTACTTTCAATATATTAAGAATTTTTTTCACGGGAGTTGATGCTTTTGGGTTGCATACTTCTCATCCAAACCATTGCACTGTTGACTGTGTGATGACTTGCAGATGACAAGTATAATCTAAATGTATGTGAATGGCTGTATAGAAATCATATTCTTTCATGTATCAGACATGCACTTTCCCCGGCAGGCTGCTGTTATAAGAGGGTAGAGCTGAAACAAACAAAGTGGTGAACGCTGAATCCGGAGTAAAAGAAAATCAGGCTTTGATCATGAGCGTGGAAAATCCTGTCCACAGGATTTTATTTTTGCATGCATTTTTCATTTGATAACATTCAAGCAGTTAGACAAGGAATTGCTCAAGTAAAGGCATTAGTAATTTTCAGAGAAATAATATGTATTTTTCATTGAGGAAGCAGTGTAGTTTCTTGTTGGTGTTTTGGCTGTCACATATAATTCCAATCCCACTAAATCATGTCAAAAACTATAAAGATTAAACACTTAAGAGGCCGGTGAATATTCTTCCCCAGCTTGTCAGAATACAGGTATACTAAAAGACTGCCAACATTCATTTTGTTCTAAACAGGCGTATGTTTTAGCTTATGAAAATGGGAATAGCCCTGATCTTTTACAGCCTAACAATAAAACTCATAATTTAGTTTAAGTATTAATATGCAGCATCAAAAGCACACTCCCTTTTTTGGCAAAACTACACTGGCATCATTACAACATGTCACATCCATCACACTCCTCCACGGAACCTTACTCATCATTATAGCCGCTGTAACCTCCACACACGAGGCTTTCTCAAACCAAAATCAAGTCCTATGAAGATTGCTCATTTAGGTACATACCTCTTTGTAATCAAGGAAAGATCGTTGAGCATTGTTTTTCTCAGTCAGGGCAAACGCAGCATCTCGTTTGTTTTCCAAGAGGACTTCAGTCAGCTTCTCGTAGGTCCTTGCCAACTGCTTGTTTTCACTGAGAGAAACTCTCAGTTCCTCCTACAAAAACAATAAAAAAAGCATCTTACTTTATCATTATATTCATGAAGGCCTTGTCTCAATGTATTTCCCATCCAAGTGTAGATGTGTGCTAGTTTAGCACTCTCAAATTGGGCTTGAACCCTCTCCCCCCTTTTCAAGGCTAAAAAATAAATACAGTGCCTGGATAAAGAAGACATACCCAATGAACATTCCCAAAAACAAAAAAATGTGTGGGAGCAAAAACAAATATTATAGTTTTCAGCCCCTTTTTCTCACACCTTCGATCCATCATATGTGAAAATGTAAGTACACAATGTAAAGCGAAAGTCATACAGGCTGAACAGCCTGTATAAACTAAGACTAACAATTAGTCTCTTCACTGTGTCCTGGGTCTTCCTCAGGTCTCCTGCCCAGAACACCTCCTCAGGGAGGCGTGCAAGAGTTATCCCAAACAGATGCCCAAGCTACATAAACTGGCCAGACCGCTTGTAGACACGCTCAAATTAACAATTTTAAAAGAGTATAGCAAGAACGGAAACTTTCTTAATAAATCAAGCAACTAAATGTGAAGGAGCGTATGCATTTATTTTCGTAGGTTTCAGATTTGTTTAAAAAACATTTTGAGAACTTTTTCCCTTCTCAAAATAGATGTTTGGTATTACATTGCTAGCCTTCTCATCATTCTGAAAGCAATAGATGTATACATTTCTTCTTGGATTTGAATACAGTCTCACCAACTATGGAACATGTGCCCGCTGAATATCTCAACTCTACCTGCCGACATAATGAAGTGTGTCTCTGCAGTAAAACAGAACAGCACTAAAGTGATGAGTTTAACCCAGCAGAAAGAGGGGCTGTAAACATGACAAATGCCTGCTATTGATTTCAGGTTTAATTACTCCATGCCGCACTGACAAAGCCCATCTGATGCTGTTGTGAAGTGTAAATGGAACAAATTACACTTCATTGCCCATAAGAAACTGATAACGTCGGCAGTTTGCATTGTTTACTTTGTGTTCGCCAAACGTCAGACTCTGATCAAATCAAAAATGGGTGTACATCATAGTGGAATCATTTTTATTTTCGCAATTGTTTGCCTATAGATTAAAAGGGTATTGTTAGACATAAAGATAGGGGAGGTGTATTCTAGGTTAGTACCTGTACCACCTCATAAATAGACCTAGTCATAGTCCTTTGATACTAAACTGAAGGGGCAAAGAGCTACTGAAACCACTCATGTGACCCACTCAGACCTGTTGTGTTGCTGATGCACAAATGGCCTTTTATAATCCGTTGGTAAAACATTCAGTCAGCATAACTAAAAAATATTTCGTGGTCAGTGGGTTCTGAAACCATAGAATGTTCCCTACACTTCATGCACTGTGACTGCTGAATGTGCATGCTGGTTATGTGTTACGCTAAAATAGACATTATATGTGCTTTATATCCTGTAAATGATTAAAGTGAAGTGTTTCCTATAGACCTTGCAAAGTATCTGAAATCTCTTTTATTTGGTGAGGAGTGTTGTTGTTATATCATCTTATTCCGTCAAGTGAAAAGACTAAACCCCTTTTTTGCATGACTAACTTTTATCTGGCTAATGGGAGTTGTGTCTAAGAGGAAGACTTCTAATTCTTAAATTGTCTCACGCCAACAACTTCTTTAAAGTTGTTGCACTTGGATGCATGGCGGCTTAAGCTCCATTGCCTTTTCTTGTTTTGAACTAATGCATTCTTGATCACCGTTTAATGAAACTATATACCACATGGCGATTTCACATTAGATAAGCCATGTGAAACCCCCATCAGCAAAGAGGCTCTGGCTGGGGCTGATAATCCTGCAGATGAAAACCTTACAATAAATAGGCCTTTCTCATACAAAGAAACGCTCAAGACAGCAGCAGCTATTTTTACTTCCTTCTCCTTTTGTCTTTCCGTAATCATATCTATTTTCCATGTTGACTATTTTGAATACGGGGTGCAGAAATTGGCCTTACAGGTTTGGAAACAACCACAGAGTCTCAGCGCGACACGCATCATCAAATTTGTCCAGACAAAAGCCTATAACCAGTGCGAGTTGTCATTTGTGGGAAAAGCACTTAAAAAAGATTGACCATGGCTTGTAATTTTAATTGCACGCACCTCTTTTCCCAGCATCTTAAGGGAAAGTATTGTGACAGGCAATGTGCTGACACTAATCCACAAACAAACATACAATGCAATATTTTTAAGAGACGCTTTCTGATTTCGGGTGCGTCTGAAAAGGAAAAGTCATGGGTTGCCAGATTTACAGTGAGCAACATCAATGTCAGGTTGTTATTTTGTTACCTGGGTGTCTTCCATTTTCTTTTTCCTTGCTGTAACATGAGCAGTGTGCACCTGCATGGATCGCTGTGTTCGTTGTAAGCCGTTATTAATATCAGACTGCAAGGTGTTCATTATGAGAGCAGATGATTTGTTTTTGAATTCTACCACGGCAAAAACACTCCTGAAAGAGGGTAAAACAAAATGCAAAGCTGTGAGAGATTGTTCCTCTACATTAAAGAGTGTACTGAAATGTACCGTAAGTTACAACTAATGGTGTTCAAATGTCTTGCCGGAAACTTTACAACACGGGAATACCATTAAAAGGCATCATCCTTGCTTTAATATCATAGACAGGATACTAGTACATTATAGATTTTTTTGGACATATGATGCAAATATGATAATGAATTTGATCATAATATGGAAACTAACTCTGCATAATTAGTCCCATTGTCTGTCATTTGTGAGTGAAATAAAGGGAAAGAGACAATCATCCCTTACTCAAGTTCTTCAATAGCTGCTGGCATTGTCTCCAAAACTTCTTCCAGTTTTGCAGAGGCCTGGTAGAAATCTTGACTTTGCTTCGTAAGTTCACAGATTCTGTCCACAGAGCAGTCATATCTCTTTTTTGTAGCAGCATTTAAATCCTGAGATCAACAAGGCAGATTATTCATTTGATTAAAGTGATGTACCTAATAATGTCATTATCATTGAGAATTAGCTACTTCTGCGCCAACAATACGCATACTGATCTGCTCTCACCTTAGCAGCCTGTAATTGTTCTTGTTTTGTCAAGTTCTCTTTGTTCAGGTTGTCCAAAGTTCTAATGTGCTCCTTCTCAAGGTTCTCCATTTGTGTAATCAATGCCTTCAGATTCTTTCAAGCAAAGAATTAAGCAATCATAATAATATAAACAAATAGAAGCTTTACATCTGCGTATACAGTGAATGTACAGATAATTGTATTTATATTGATGACAACCTCAGTATTGTATTTTACGATTTTCATTGCAGATGTAGACTCTTCAAGTTCTCGCTGGAGTTTGAGGTTAGTTTGTTCTGCGCCTTGTTGATAGTGGTAAATTTCACCTTTGATCTTTGCACACTGAACCTATAGGAGATACAGATACATTGAAATCTATATTGTGTATCTGAAATGGCATTCCCAATTTTATGACACGTGAAAATAGTAACCATGAAAGTAGTAGCAGTAGCTTAGAAACTAAATATGTAGTAGATTTATTTAACAAAATGTTGTAGATAAAATGTAAGGTTTTTTCGAGGTATTGACTACATCTAAAACAATACACAGCTAGAGGGGTTGGAGAATTAATTATATGTTTATCTTTTTGTACCTTGAGTGTTTCCACAGCAGTAATCTGACTGTTGAGATCTGTCCTGAGGCTTTCGATAACTTTCTGCATAAAGAGGACAAAGAACAGTAAGTGACACACAGCAGCTGGAGAGGCAGTACCTCATGCAGTGTACACATAAAACGTGTACATATGTTTCCTCTGACCCTGGCCTTTTCTTCTTCCATGAAGGTGAGTTGTTCCTGCTCCTCCAGCTTAGCCTGGGTGGTACAGTGCTGCGAAACGACCAGGGTCACTTCCTCCTTGGCCCTTTCCCACTGCTCGTCATTGTCAATGATTTTTTGGAGCATCTGCTTTCTTTCCTCGTGCATCTGCTTCACTGCTTTCTTGCTGATGAGAATTGTATAGAAAACTAAAGGTAAACACACTTCAACTACCTGCTAGAAAAATATTTTAGCAAGGCTGCTTTAATTACGCAAATACAAGGCAGCTAGAACACTGTCAGAGATTACACTATGTTGTACCTTTCAGAAATCTTCACCTTGTAATCTTCTACTTTTTCCTTCCTTTCCAAGTTTTCTGCATGAAGAGCATCATAAGTATTACGTGCAGAAAGGAGCGCTGCTTTGGTGCAGGACACTTCTGCCTCCCCATTAACTCTCTATAGACACACAACATAGTATTGAAATGTTAGTTGAATATAAATCATAGCAAAAATGTCAATGTCAAAATGTGCTATATGGAACCACATTGTCATTGTCACTTTACTTTACTCAGCTGTGCAAAATGTACTTTAATAATGTCAGAATGTACAATAAAGAACTACATGTGTTACTGTTGCCAAAACCAATTTTTGTACTTACAGTTTTCTCAATATCTTCCATAAGAGAATTTATCATCGCCTGTAACTTGTCATTCTTTTCCATTTCCTCTTTCCCTTGTGTACTGATGTTTAAAATCTACATCAGACATCATCATCAAACCACAAACATATACTGTATATTTATGCAAATGTTATCACAGTCTGTTACCTCATCTTTGCAGGTTTTCTCTACCTCTGTTAACTTTCTATTATTGTCACATGTAGTCGTGAACGTAGCCTTGGTTTGAGTCAGTGATGTGTTAGTTTCTCTTATTTCAGCATCAACTGTTTGTTGTGCTGCTAATAATTTCTCAAAATCTTCCCTAAAAGCCATTATGTTATCAGTACAATCATGACAATCATGTAAAGCATGATCAAGATAATTCAGACACTTACTTCTTGGTTGCCAGCTGATTTCTCAAAGACAAAATTTCTAATTCCATAAAGGCTCTTTCCTCGTCAGCAGAATGCTTACTTTCACTGTGCAGTTTCTCCACCATTACAAGACTTGCACGTTTTTGCAAGCACAATTTGTCAGCCTGTTTTGTTAGAAAAATAAATATACAAATCAAAAGTTTAACATAGGGAGTAGAGAACACAATGTAGCAGAGACCTCTTTTTGATCTGCATTGATCTGATTTATGAGGCTCCTCTGAAAGTTCATGTTGTCCTTCACGATAGGTATTTGATCTTTGGAGAAGTTGATGTCTTCATGAAATCGCTGCTTCTTCATCTCACTCAGGGCCAGTGTCTCCTTCAGCTTATCAAGTTTGTCCTGTTCCAATCGCAGCTGCCATTTGAGTTCAGTGATGTCTCTCAGACAGGCCTCATGCTCTGAAGATTACATTAATTATGCATTGTGTACATTTCTAACAGTAATGCTGTGTTACAATGTTTAATTTGTAGCCTTTTAACAGAAATGTAGAATCATTTATAAAAGGTATGAGAGTGTCCTAATGTCACAGACCTTTTTGGACAACAACTGAATGTTCCTTCTGCATCCACAAAGAAATGCTGTCATATTTTTTCTCCAAAAACATCTTTCTCCTCTTTTCAACAAGCAAAGCTTCCTCAGCATACTGTCGATCTGCCTCCAAACGCTCTATCAGATACACAATTTCTCTGAGGACGTCATTTATTTTCTTGAGTAGTGGTGATGATGAGGAGCCTTCTACACAGTAAAACAACTTAATTAAATACAATTACATTGTCTTAGATGAGTTAAAACTTTATGACTCTTATATAGATTTACCTCTTGGTGTTAATCCAATGCCTTCAATTACTAATTCTGTAGACATGACTGACGCGTCTGAATCTCCAGGTTGAAATCTTGAAAATTAAACATTAGTCTACCACCGAATACTAAAGTACACACACAAAACATTTCAATGTTGAGGCACAAACCGTAGATTTTGATCATATGGGGACTTGTCCAGGTCTATTTGGGAATGATACTTCCCTGGCTTAATAAAAGAAGCGTTCATTAGAATAGGTCTTGCCTCCGGATAAAGGGTTCTGGGCATTGAATTACCTGTTGAAAGCATTTGTCCACTTTGGCTCTCAGCTCTTGAATATGTTGAATAGCACTGGTCACACATGGTGATGGACTGTTGAGCAGGGCACAAGTACGGCGCCGACCAGAGCAGGCTCCCTGAAGATCAACTTGATCTTCAAAGACAAAATCAAATCAAACTTGTAAAAATACAAAATCTGCCCTTCACTGCACTTGTCTGATAAAAGGCAGAAGTTTCTGTCTGACAAGGCATACAGATACAGTACTGTGGAACAGAATGAGCGTTAGTTGGAACAAGCTAAAGCTTACTTTTTCATTTTATTTAGCAAAGTAATTACTAAAACTCATTTGGCTGTAAAAAATATGTTTGTGATTCTCTGCATATTGCAATTTATTGAAAGCATCAGTGAAAAAGCAGAGCACTAATTTGAACATTTCAAGACAAGCCCAAGGGTATCGTTCTTGGTGGTGGAATGACGCCATCTGGCTGGCAAATGTTAAAAAGCACTCGACAGCACCAACTTCACCAATCACCAGCATCAGAAGTGAAAAACCCATACATACTATGTGAGTGGAGGCCTTGTCTTTGAATTTAAATGTCTGCACGAATTGTGGTCATTTTAGTTTTAGTTAACTGTTGTGTGATTTATTAATTTATTAAGCATATAACGCTGGAAAGTAGACACTGTTTAGGTATTTGAAATGCTATAAACAGGAAGTTTGGGGATAAAAACAATCTGAGTCTCGAATCATGACTTAAAGCTTTCATCAGATAAAGATTAGTTTGAAGCGGACTGGTCTGAAGTTGCTTCATAGGGACATGCTGCTGTGAAGGGCGCCACCATGTGACCAGCTGCTGATTTGCTCCACAAAAATATCTTCAGAATTGTATTGCATTGATGCTTTGAAACATTATATTTAACATTTCAACAAATGCATCGTCTTGATTGAAACAAGACTAAATGTTTATAAACTTAGACATTACAAGTCGCGTAGAGTTCATAAAAAGGCCAGCGTAGATAGACGTTTTACCTGGTTGAGCAGGTCGTCTCTCTTCTCTTGATGGAAATCTGAGCGGTTCAATGTCTGGCATAGTGAACTCATTCCTTGGTTTCGTTCTTAACGGGAGTACAAGTAGTTTTCTCTTTACAAAACAACAGCACCTGTAATTAAAACAATACGACACGGGTAAATGTGATTCAGTGGACAGTGCTCTGGTTTACAAAATCCTTTAGATTCCAGATCTAAAATTGTCAAGCAGGTGAAAAAATGTGGTAAAATATATATATACAGTTGTATCCATTTATCTAAAAAGCATTCTATAGAAAATTGGGTCAGTTAGGTTGGTAATTTAGCTAACGTTAGCTACAAAAAGCTCATTTCTGTGGAACATGGACAAGCTATTGAAAGCGATTATTCAATTATTATATTAGCTATTATTCAACATTAATATACCAAACAATAGCCTGATTATACATAACTTTAAAGTAATTTTAAAATGTGGGGATAGTATTTATAGCTTTCAAGCAAACAGTTTTGCTAACGTCTGGTTCATAAAGCAGATTGAAACGCCGCACGTGCACAGGGTTGACGTTATTACCTGAGTACGCTCGCGCTACTGGACGGTGTGCGTTTAAGGTCACGCTTTCAGACGTCTCCGATACAACACCATTTGATCATACAATGAACAAAGTTTATACAAGTATATACTTACCTATTTGGACTCGGAGCTGATACTTTCACTTATCTGCGGATGTCCTTTGGGCCAACCACTGGTTCACGTTCAGTTAATTAAGTGAGTTTATAAATTATTAATAAACTAAAGGGGGTCGTTGTCATGGAGGGAAGTGAGAGCGAAAATGGTAGACTATCAACTTACTTGTATTGTGCTTCTTTGATTGACAGTAGACTTGTTTGTTTCAGTAGTTTCTCAGAGTTCGTCTTTGTGTTGAGGTCCACGTGGTCCTTGAGACACTTTACATTGTAAAAGTTTTAGAAGAATGAATCAAACTCAAGTCAATCTTCAGAGATGGTCGCCTGGCAACAAGGGGCTGCGCTCGTGCGCCCTGAATGCTGAGGTGCGTTCAGGGGCACTAGGAAAGACTGCTTTTTAGCGTCCCCAAGTGCCCAAGTGTAGTAAAGACACAGCAGCTACAAATAATGACTTTGATCTCTTCTCTTTCAAAGAATATGTACCTATCAACCCCAATTAATTAGCCATGTTGTAATTAGAAATGCGTGTAATATCTGATGTGTTATAAATGCCTATTTATCTTTTTAAATAAATTTATAAGAACGTTATAGTTAATTATAGAATAAGCCTATGTAAGTGCTTCAAATTTACTAATAACTAGGACTCCACAATTATTTTGAGGAATAAGATCCTCATACATGAAATAGGAAGCCCATTTCTCTACTAACTCAAATTGTATGGCGAGATATCGCTAATGCTAAAAACTATACAAGCTTTAATTTATTAGCATTTAAGTATTCCAACACCTTATCACATTAGGCCTTGTATGCATATATTACTTTTTTCACTTCCGCCTAATTCTTCCGTCCAATGGATAACTAAGAGAGAGTAGTGGCGGGTTCCTGCTTGAATTTTCGACATCACTTTCAGTTGTAGATTATTTGTTGATGTGTTGGTGTTTTTTTTTTTGTTTTTTTTTCTTGCAGCCGATGCGGACTGACGCAAGTGAACAGTCTCTGCATTACGTCACCTCAAAGGCCACACACTGGAGGCAGAGGCTGTCTGCTCAGTGCGCTGCCCGAAAATTTCCACAACACCAGCGCGATACGATGCAGCAGCGAACACCAAAGAATTCCTGATCGCATTATTCGGGTTTAGAGCAACTGCCTGAATTTTGGACGAAAAGGAAAAACACCGAGATGCTGCATGACAAGCCTTGGAATAAATTCTGGTAAGTCTTGATCAAGCGCGCTACTATACAAGTGCAGCTACTATACAGCTGCAGTGGAGGCAGGCGACCTTAACCTACTTTGTCACTCAGGAGAAATGAGTTTAGTGATCAAGTTACACAGATAAAAGCTTGTAGATGGTGGAAATGTTTGTCAAGAGTCGTGGTTATATGCAGGCTGGTATACAGAACGCTTTGTCTTTCGTCCTCACAGGTGTCTCTAGTGAATGGCAGGTGATGCCAGAGAAGAGCTGGTACCATAGCTGCCTGTTGCCTGCCTCACTGTCACTATTTACTTCCAACATTTGCTAATGTATGAGGAATAGTTATTATTTTGTGTTTTGTTTTGTCAACTACTTCGTCAATATGATAATTTCACCCTCTATTATCTTAAAGGCATTATATTGAAGTACTTTGAAGCTTTCCCTTGTAATAGCATAGTGAATAACACACAATCTTGTATTTGGCTTATTGTAAAAATGCCACAATCTGGACATTTCTGTCATCACTCACTAATCAATGGTGAGAAATTACCATACATTTGTGGACAACTTTTCCCCCTAATTAAGGTCACATAGGTTTGCATGTCTTGTTCATAGCAGCTAAACAACAATGCTATAGTAAATCTTGCTCCAGTAACGGTAAAAATGTCACCCATGTAATCATTTAACACAGACCTCTTGCAGTTTTGACCTTTTTTCCTCCAAAACCATGGCAATGAACTAGACATGGACTGCAGACACCACTCATTGGAGGTATAGCAGCTAGGGTATCCCACTCTCAATATGCTACAGCAAATCTCGTACTCATTGACTTTAAACTTCACGTGGTTTGTTTTTAAATATTTATGATTCCAGTCAGGGGCCTGGGATTCACATGCCAGTGTCGTTTATAGTCTCGTGATGTAAAAATAACCTGGGCCAATCAGTGCCAACAGCTGCCGTGTAGTGTGGCTGGCCAGGCGAACACAGATTGCACTGTAATTCTAGTAAGTGCCCGTGTTTGCAAATGTTAAATGACAATCTGTTCTCGACTCCCAAGTGCATATAGAAAGACATGCATCACCCCAGCCTCTCCACTATTACGTTGTAGCAAGCAGGAGAAAGCAGAGCGATATTAATAAGGCATCTATTCATTGTAAATAAAAGTGCCTCTTCCAGCTGAGTGAGTCATATAACTACACCTTTGCTTTGGCCTTGGCACAAGTCAGACCCATCTATCTCCTGCAAAAATGAATGGAGCCACTTGATTGTAAAGGCAATTTATTGTTTTTTGATTTGCAAGGTCATGCTACAAAAGAAAAGTGATGATGGCTGGGCACATGCCAGGAATTGGGTTTGGGGTCTGCAACTAGAGCGCCTGTAAAGCTGGACAAGAATGTGGGGCTGTCACATTTGTAGTTAAAGATAGAGCCAGCCCAGACTGTATCTGAGCTATTCAATTTAGGATTCCACCCACAAAAATAATGATCAGTGGGTTTGTTTTGATATTAGTGGTATCATGTTGTGGCTGAAAATGGATTTGTGTATTGCCTATAGCTTACTGTAGAACTACAAGCCAATAAAACCAACACCTTTCTCAATGCCTGCACACTTTTTGGGTTCACATGGCCTCTTTTGGCACACAGATTTTATCATTATCAGTTATTGGAGATTATGAAAACAAAGATCAGAAGGTCACATAGCTCACACTCAGCACATATTTGTCTGGGATGAGTGTGAATAGTGTCAATGTCAATCTTGTCAAAAACTGTTTGCGTCTGTTATTCAATAAAAACACTACTGTATGTATTGTATCAACTATATCTATAATCTAATAATAGATGGCCAAAAGCACAGAGGTTTATCATGTCATTCATAGGTCAGACCAAACTCATACATACCCCCTAACAACAGTAATAATTAATCAACTAAATTAAATAGATGATTAATGGACTAAATGAGCAAAGACACTCGGAACAACAAGTATTTCACTATTTATATTTATATATTTTTGACAACAACACCAACATCACAGAAACACACTCATACACACAGAGGTCCAAGACGTAAAATCAATCAAATAACCATCGTATGCATTAATAACAACAATTAAAAGTTTGGAGAAATTATAATTTAAAACACTTCTGAGATGTTGATAGTAGCCTCTTTAGTATTGTGGGTATGCTACAATAGGCTCAGAGACAACTTATTCAGTGAAACCTTAATTTTTATTATTGTTCTGTTGGAAATGGCTTGGGAATTCTAATATCCACTTTTTCACAGCAATAGCAGTATTTCAGTTTGCACAAATCATTTTCATATCGCCGTAATATAAGCTACAGTCTGCCAATTACTGCCATTTAAATACCACAGGTGAATTATTCTTCTGTACTTTTGATCCTCAAAGCGGCACTAATCTCTGTGTATAAAAGTTTGTGTCCAAAATTTGCCAGTCTGCAGTAGGTGTGGGTGGTGTGTGTGGGGGGGTTATTATGTTTTTACAAAGTGAGCGTCCAGAATCTTTGCTGCCATGGTAACAAAGCACATGACTAGGTGTATTAAATTGCCTTGGACAGTGTGCAGCGAGGCATAGTGTGAGCCGCGCTGCACTGAACCTTTCAAAGTCTGGGCCAACTTCTCAGAAACCTCACAGCAACTTTTGTCCTGAGCAGCTTCATTCAGGCCGGGCAGCTTTCATATTTCTGGGGTTTTGTGTTGCTGTACTTGTATTCTCCTCTAATAATCATCATTTATAATTATCAATTTATATTTATAGAGCTCTTTACAACAGTCAAGGCAACCTAAGCGCTTTACAATAAAATCACATAAAAGCCATTGAAACGTTCATGCAATAAAAAAAAAAACAAGCATTCAAAAAAGTGCCACCGCGCTAATGTGCGTTAAAAGTATTAAAAAGCTGGCATCAGAATCAGAATAACTGGCATCACATCTAAATTGCACTTTCATTATGGTAGTTGTAACCAGCATATTTAAGCAATTATTCAAGTATTTATTCAATAAGTATTTTGTTGTTGGCTATGATTTTTTGATTATCTTATATAATGTCTTTGCGAATATAGAACAAGTTGGTTTCCTCTTAGTTCAACTACACAACTTAGTTCAACTATAGCAGTTTCTTATTTTAGCCATTGGCAAAACTTGAATTTTATCATGATTATAGTAAATTTCGTTGGTCTTAAAACATGATTTTCCAATGTGACCAGCAACAATTCTGTGTATTTTCAAGAGACAAGCAAATTCTCAATTGGAAGTACAAACACATTTCCACTGCCCTTAAAAATAATCCATTTTAGCTTATTCCTCAGTCAGTCAAAGGCTGCTTCAATCTCTAATAAAGACTTAAAAAGTTGTTAATTCACCTCAAATTTGATCAGTTGCTGCAGTTCACAAAAATAAATTATTTTTACTTTTCTGGGCAAAAGTGTAAAACAATATAACAAATTTCTGCAAATCACAACTAATCCCAATAGCTGGAGTTATGATTTATTAATTGTCTTGTAACTTTCTACTGTGAGGTCCCAGCTCCAATTGTCATAAAGTACAAACATTTTTCAAAAGGACATTTTTTGTCATCTTCAATATCTAACCCTAACCTTATATTAGCCATAATAATGTGTTTTCCTTTTTAATATAATTGTCTTTATTTGCATTATTTCAAGGTCTGGCAACTCATTTCAGATGGCAATGACAATTCAAAACAAATAAAGATGCCCCAACTTTAGCCAAAAAAAAAGTCCTCTGCAACCAACAAAAACCATACGGTCATCCATAAAAAAGGCAAGACAAAATTAGATGGACAAACAGGAATATCCGACAGACCAGAGTATTTTTCACATATTCATCTGTTTTCCTTTTCTTCGGATCAAACCCAGCAAATGTCTGATCAGAGCTCCATTGATTTGTGTTCTTTAACCGTCTCTTTAACAGTCTGTGCTGATGTCCTGATGAGTTCAGAGTATTAGATGTGGCTGCCCATCGACTGACTGTGTTTGTTCCTCCATCAGAATGATTGAGGAGCGCAGGCCTCGCACTGACAACATGGCAGATAGACGGCAACTGTTTGTGGAGATGAGTAAGTGCTCCGCGTCACACCTCGACGTGATCTACACCGGACACTTTTATGCACCGACCATAAAAATGCGACAACTACCACTTTGTGACAAACTTGTAAAGCATAAGTCAATGTGTTTTTAAACTTTCATTCACACAAATATAACATATCCTCTTCCCATCAACAATTATCTATCTATCTATCTATCTTTCTACTTGTACTTATGACTGCTGCCACTAATCTGTACTTATTTTGAAACTCTAGTTATGCTGAAATGATATGTCAATGGAAGACTGATAATGAATAAATGAATGAATAACCAGGGCAATGGATACAGGATATATTATATAATAACATATCTGACCAAATGCTATTTTGTTTTGTAGTCTGTTCAAATGTGGATATCTAACCATTTTGTTTCATGGATAATACATGTTTTTTGCCCCAATATAAAATATTTTTGTAATACAATTATGAAAAAAACAGGAAGAAAAAATTGTGTTCTTGTACAAAGTAGCCCTCTGAGTCACCAGGGACTGAGAGCTGATTGGCTGAAAAAAAAAGCGGATCTAAAGATGTGATAGAGCCCCAAAAAAATGAAAATATTAGTGGCAGAACCAATCTGTTTCACTGTTTTTAAGAACTAGTCACACATGGATTGTATCACATCATTTCATTCATTCTGGTTTGAAAGTATGTGTGCCGTACAATTACAAATGTCATGATGAAAATTGTAATTATCATTAATTGCAGCCTTGCTTATTCTCAGAAAAGCAGCAGGTCGTCGACTAATTGGCCGAGAACTCTTTAAAAATAACACTGACCTTTAGCAGTTGTATTTTTTGACCTTATTCAATAATAAATGTGTAAAAATAATATGTTCCTAGGAGCCCAAGATCTGGATTCCATTCGGTTATCAACATACAGAACAGCCTGCAAACTTCGATTTGTCCAGAAGAAATGCCACCGTGAGTCCATCAGAGTAAAGCAAAGATTATTAAATTCGGAAAACGTTAACAGCATGTCATGTTTGTCGCAGTGCACTTGGTCGACATTTGGAACGTCATCGAGGCTTTCCGGGAGAATGGGCTAAACTCTCTGGACGTGAACGCGGAGCTGAACGTGGCTCGTCTGGAGGTGGTCCTGTCCACCATGTTCCACCAGCTCAACAAGCGCATGCCCACCACGCACCAGATCGGAGTGGACCAGTGCATCGGCCTCCTGCTCAACTTCCTGCTCGCCGCCTATGACCCGTGAGTCACGTGACCTGCATGTGTGGTGTGTCTAATATAAGTGGGACGATTTCAATGCAATTCAATTGTTTTTTGTAAAGCCCTTAATCATAAGACTATTATCTCGGGGGACTTTACAAAACCGTCAATTCACCAACACAGATCAGATAATTAAACAGTTCAAATGCAAGAAATGTGATAATTAAAAAGGCTAGGCAAGTTTTGTGTTTTGTTTTCGTATAGCACAATTCCAACACAAGGAAACTCAAAGTGCTGAGCAAAACAAGAAAGAAAAAACAAGGCATTACAATCATAAATAATCACAGTACATTAACAAGAGTAAAGATAAAATCCCTCAGTTGTATGCACAGCTAAACAGACTTGTTTTTAACCTGGATTTGAACATTGTCAGATTAGAAGTCTGTCTCACATTTTCAGGAAGACTGTTCCAGATTTAAGACGCATGAATCTGAAACGTTGCGTCCCCATGTTTAACACTGACTCTGGGCACCAGCCGGAGGCCAGTCCCTGTGCTCCTCAGAGTCCGAGTTGGTTCATATGGCACTAACAGGTCTCGGAAAAACCAGTAGAGCCATTGGTCCATAAGGGGCAGATGACCAATGTCCATAAATGTTGTTTAAAATAGCTACCCGTTTTGGCAAGATTTTTTTTTTTCTTCCCAGTTTTAATGTTTAGCCCCGCCCCCCAACTCGCTCACAGGCTTCTCATTTGGAGAAACCCTCCTACTCTCTCCTCCCACGGAGTCCTCTGCAAGCTGATACATATGCAAACATTAACATTAGCACAACAATCACTGATGAAATGGTACAAAAGCAACGCACTGCTAACAAAATATAAAACCGAAAGATTACCACTAGTTTCACGTCCAAATGTAGTCCGAGCATAGATAGTCCAAGGTGGTCCCGCTCCCGCAGGTCTCTCCCATGGATGTATTATATTAACTGGATAGGGTATTACTAGCTTGTAGCTGAATAACTCACGTGCTCAGGGGATTCTCGCGGTACTGCAGACTGAGCCAGACTAAATTCACGTGGGCTACCCAGAAATTTTCCCCATAGAACTCAATGCATATTAAAACAGCTCAACCTCAGCTGACAGAGAACCTACAGCTTTAATAAAGATCGGATTTTGTGGGGATTTTAGTGTCCCTTGTCATCCTGAACTTTTTTTCTTCTTAAATCCTTCGGTTTTGTTTAAATCCACACTTTAGTGCCACAAACTCTGCTCCTCTGGCTCTCGCTCTAACTCCCGCTCTGATGAACTGCTCTGATTGGTCAGAGCGCGGCCGAGCCCCTCTGTGCACGTGCGTGAGACCCGGTGTGAGACCCACACACGTGTGTTTGGCGCAACGCATTATGGGAGATCATCCACTGCGCAGAACCGGGAGGACCAGACGATGCCCAAATACAGGCGAGTTTCCCATAGATCTTTGCGAGTTTCAGGCAACTTCCGCTAATCTTTCAGCCCCCATGCTGTCACAAAGCGCCACTGTGCACAACCATTCATTTGAATAGGGCGCCATCTTGGATCGCCGGGGCTTGGTCTCTCCAGAGGATGCGATGTAAGCTAGCTACTGTATGTTTACCCGGGCTTGATTTCTTCTTTGATAATTTTTTCTCTTTAGTTCCCTCTTCTCTTCCTCACGTTGCGTCGTTTGGGCTGCTTTGCTGTGTCTGCAGTTACAGCCAGACGAGGTATAGCCACTTTCTGCCTCCATGCCGCTGTGTTTACCTGCGCTGCAGACGCTAGAGGAGGCAGCCTGTTCGTAACAGCACTGCTCCTCGTTCTGTCAGTAGAGAACTTGCCTCACGGAAAATTTCTACCCAGCACTTTTTACGGCCTGAATTCATACACAAGCTGAATCAATGAGCTCAAGTTTTCAATTAAATTACGCATTTGGATTCAACTTGTATGTAGTAATACGCATTTTTATGAACTCATTAGAAAATAAATCAGGTATAGATTCTTTAATTTTGAGTGTCCTGGATCATCACCACTGTCCTTAGACCCTTCTGCATCAACAAGGAAAAACTCTATATCATCAACATACTTCTCGTCTACAAATCTAAAACAGCTTGACTTAATTCATTCACAGTTGTGTTTGAAAAGTTTACACAGACAGAGATGTCATTGTATTGGCTATTTTGATATTATTCTTTGTGGCTGTATAAAACCATGTATTATCAAATAAACTTGAACTGTTCTGGGGAGATCTCAAATGGGCACTGTACGACCAGAGGAGCATTGTAGGATGGGTCAAATGTGGAGAAGACCTTGCCCTATGGGGGTAAATACTGTAAAAGGTATACTTTAACCTTAACCTTGAAATACGGCCCAACATAAAAAACTAAAAAAACTAAGCTAAATTCAAATGACAGTTTTACTTTTCTAAATTAAAAAAGTGGAAATGGCATCTTTTGTGTTGTACTGATTTTGCTCATTTTCATAATTCAAGGCAAAGCTTTTCACTCAACAATCAATCCTTCCTTGTTGGACAAAGGTAAAGTAAACTATTAACCTTTAGCTGTGTCAGAAACCACTGGCCAGTTCAGAGTAACCATCATCTTCAGGGAGCAGCTGCGGCCAGGACACAAGCACTAAAAAGACAGGATGGGGCGATAAGGAGATCAATGCTCCTAATGTAACTCGTTTTTGCTTTTCCCAGGGAGGGCCACGGCAAGATGTCTGTCTTTGTGCTGAAGACGGCCTTGGCAACCATGTGTGGGGGGAAAATCCTGGACAAATTAAGATGTAAGAAATGTGTTATTGTTTCTTCAGAAGTTCAAATATAAAAGATGAGAAACCTTTATTTCTTCCCATCGTGGGGAAATGTCAGCATAGCAGGCAGTGAGCGAGACAAACACAGAAGGATTGGAAACACTCAAAACATAATAAAAAGTTTAACTGTAGGATGAAGATTAATACAGTTGCAAAGTAATATTGGCTGTGATTTTTTTTATATACAAAGCAATATATAAGGACAGAATAAATGGCAGATGAAGTGAGTTGTCAGTGGACACATTGTGATATTATTACTATGACGACAGTGTTGCACGTTAGATAGATTGATAGATAGATAGTTATTGAAATTTCCCCATTGTGGGACGAATAAAGGATCTCTTTCAGGATTATTCACAGGTCATTATGATACATACAGAGTTTATTTAGCAGCAAGATGGAAAGAGTGCAGAACCTTCGTACAGCGATGTGGATCAATTTGCCAAATATATCGATTCCATTCACGTTTTTTTTTTGTTCCTATAAAAAACAGTCTCTGTGTAGTGTCTTTAAAATGAGAATAGATCTTGCTGCCTGCGCCTGGAAGAAGTCATGTTTCATTATCTCAAGATAGCCCTTATTACATAATCAGCTAAGTCTGTGGGAGTTGCACCGCACCAGCAGTATCACAACAAATACTGCTTTCCTTGATTTGTTTTCACAAGTCGGATAATTGTCTTACATTATACATGTAATTAGTTCGCTGTGGTTACGCTTACAATTTGTTATGTCTTCCTCTTTCTTTCCCGCAGTTATTTTCTCGCAGATTTCAGATTCAGCTGGAATCATGGTGCACTCACAGTTCGACCAGTATCTGAGGGAGGTGCTGAAATTACCAATGGCAGTCTTTGAGGGACCTTCATTCGGTTACACTGAGCAAGCTGCGAGAACATGCTTTCCTCAGCAGGTAAAATTCTGTGCATCTTTTGTTCTGTAGTTTAATTTATTTAGCAAGGTCCCTGTGGACTTGAGCTGCATTTCCAGAGAGGAACAAATGGACATAAATTACATTACGTCTGGGTGCAGTTGGATGGACATACAATCAATCGTGAAAGATCAGTAGATCAAAATAAGCTGCTCTAAGATCCACTTCATAACATTTTATTTGGCAACATGTATTTCATTGATCTGCATGTCTTGAAATACAATATGTGAGATAATTCAGTTATCACATGGGCTAGTCGAGGTCTCATTTTGGCATGTGCTTTCCTCTGGGGTTCCACAAACACTAAGATAACATAAGATTATTCATCCCTCAGTGGAAATTTGGATTACCACAACTATTACCACACATTGGCATATGAACAACAAAACTAATACAAGAACATGCTTTAAACTATAAGAACAAATACAGTATAGATAGATAATAATAATGATAATAATAATAAACATTGCAACAAATTCAAAAAGTAGGAAATGCTTTGGCAGGATTTGAGCAAATTTAAACCCTATAAAATAAGATTAACTTTATTGATCTCACAATGGAACAATTTACATGTCACATTTGGCATAGATAGTGTGCAACAAGTTAAGGTTAAAAATGTTAAGGTTAAAAATATAGTCTGTGCAGGATATAATTATGTACAATAATGTTTTAGGCTGGTTCTATGTATATATCTATTTTCTTCTTCATTATGGCATAAAACTGTTCCATAACTACATCTCAATAGTTTTAAGATATATTTTTATTCTTCAGTGCATATGTAGTTATATGATTGCATAAATATTGGTGCTCAGAAGAAAAACACAGTCAATCACACATACATCAATTAATACAAACGTTTTTCGCAAACGTTTAAACTTTCTGTTCCGATTAAGACATAGAGATGAAGACATTTCACATATTCTCTGAGGTTTATAGCTTTACTTTTAGAGCTTCCTAATCTCATTCTGACTTGACTTTCCCCTCGTCTGCTCAGAAAAAAGTCTCCCTCAACACATTCCTGGATACACTGATGTCAGACCCGCCCCCTCAGTGTCTGGTCTGGTTCCCACTCATGCATCGGCTCGCCAACGTGGAGAACGGTATGAAACAACATCCACTCACTCCCACTTTACGAAGGCTGCGAGATTTTGACAAAATATCTAATCACAATTCAATTTGCGATTTCGGTTTTGACTGTGTTGGTGTTATTTTTAAAGGGCACATGGTGAAGTCAAATTTGAGAAGAAACTGAAACTTAAAAATTGAATTGAAATTTAACAGGCAACCGGACAAGATAGCCCTCAGTGGGTAAATTATTGTCATATTTATTTATTTATTGTCGTAGTGAAACAGACTTGGTCCAGTTTAAGTGAAGTGGAGATTGAACCCGCCCTAATACTGGGCTTCACTTTCTCTTTTGCAGATTTTAGATTCAAAATGCTCTCAAGTGAGGAGAAATACAACTTCAAATTCAAACTCTTAGAATATTTTTTGCAGCGATTACCGTATTTCTAAACCTGTTTTTACTGCTTTTAGCACAGGATTATTATTTTTTCATAATATGCTTAACAAGAATCAATATCTGTTATTATAGTCTGTTAAATAACTGCGATTCATTCTGTAACTGTGGCCACAAAATTTGCAAAGTGGATGACCCTATAAAGTGCGTCTCCTTCTTGAACCACACTCTCACAAACAGATGCTCTCTCCTCCGTCTAAAACCACCAGGGGACCTTCCATCTGTATCTGTCCCTGCGAGACACGCCATGAAAGTCACTCAGGTTTGCAGTAAAAGGCGTAGTCAAAAGAGCATACAGGACTGTGTTCTTTACAGTTAATAAAAATACCAAAGAATTAACTCTATACATATATGTAGGATTGCACATGTATTTACAATAGATATTGACAGAACTTGCTCCAATAGGACAGTTCAAATCCATGCTGAAAGGTTTGATTGTTGTATTTGATATTATGTAACTGACCCACGCTGCTGTTTTGGCCTGGACTCCCTTGAAAAAAGAGATTGGTCACCCCAATGGGACTTTTCTGGCACTTCTTAAATAAAAACATTAAATAGGTAGATGAATAGGTATAGTATTAATTCTGTATACTAGATTACAGTATAGTACTTTAGGAATAATGCTTAACTCACAGGACGTATTGGTAAATCCTTCTTTGATTCTGCTCAAGGCTGTAACACATACTAGACTTAGATATCATGCAAAATAATTTAAAAAAACATGTTTTAGCTTCAACCATGTCACAACATCTCATCCAAATATTTGCACTTATTTATAGCTCGACCTTCTCTAATATGAGGAACTTCTGCAGGAAAATGGTACAAACATGTCCCCCTGCCCCTTCTGTCCAAATCTTATTCAACTTTTTTGCCTTATTAAAAAAACCTGCTTTAAAAAATAATTTCACATGCTAAACCACAAAAGGATTTGGAGAAATAGGTATTCTTGTTCAAAGTGACTGTATGCAATATGCACAATTAGTGGTCTAATAAAGTCGTTACAATTACAATCCAACTTGTGTTTCCGTCTTACCTGTGATGTGACACATGATTACTGATGCAATCCACCTGCTAGGGTTTAGGGTTTAGCTAGAAATGGTAAAAACTCATGTAGATAAATGTGAGGTGCCTTGTGAATGTTGAATGTTAAAAAATATGAGGCAAAACCAGCTACATTTCAACTATCGAACCAGCCCCCCAAATGAGAGGATGATTTGCTTTAAAAATGTAAACATAGATATTAGTTGGCATGGCATGGATCACCTGCCTCTTACGGACCAATGGCTCTGTTTTAACATTGCATTTTCTGTGTTTAAACAGTCTTATTCTCTGATCTGTGTTGGCAAATAGGCAGCTTTGTAAAGTCTTCCTAGATATGTATACTGTTATGATTTACGGCAAAAAAAATCTGAAACGAATTGAATTGCTCCTTTCATCACCGAACCGAACACACATAATATTTATTCTTTATGTTCTCAAAAGCGCAGCCCCTGGAACAGTGATTGTTTTGTTTTTTTGACATACATCTCCTCTGCGTGTGTCGCCACAGTCTTTCACCCGGTCGAGTGCTCCTACTGCCACACCGAGAGCATGATGGGCTTCCGCTACCGCTGCCAGCAATGTCATAATTACCAGCTCTGCCAGGACTGCTTCTGGAGGGGGCATGCGGGCGGTTCCCATAGCAACCAGCACCAAATGAAGGAGTACACGTCATGGGTAAAAGAAACACACGAGGCGGGGGGGTGTGGGCGGAGCTTAGGGGGTGTGTTCGTAGTAAACCAGTCAGCGTGGTTATTTGATGTATTGTAATTTATGGATTCTGAGGTCCCTAGATGCGACAATGGGAATTACAGATAAAATGGGATTGACACTGCGCTTCCAGGTTCCGGTCCCACGGTGATGTCAGGAAATGTCAGGGCTGCCGTGCAAATTGCAGAACAATATAGGAATAAAAGGGAGTACTTAATATATGGTGGATGACTAAGACTAATAGCTTTAGAGACTAGTATAAATCACTGGGACTAAATATATATATAAAACATAAACTAATACTAACAAAATATCAGTATAATAAATGGCCTTTACTTTAGTATAAGTGACACCGGGGGCTTTGGAGTTATATTTACAGGGATGGTTTCGACTGTTATGTATTAGCAGTGTAAAGATATGGACAGGAAAAATAGAAAATTAAGTAATGAGTGTATTGTCACGACACCATAGACCCATTGAGACACATTCCTCATATTTTTGACCAATTTATAGTTGACATTTCATACTTTTGAGGCTGCTATCAAGCTTTTCAATGTCTGATTCTAATCTCAATACTTTTATTTTAATTCATACCTGATTTAAGATGAAATTATCTGTATTTGTCCCACCGTCATTGACTGAATTGCAGCTAAAATATAGATAACTTCTTACAGACCATTGTTATTATTATTATTAACAGAAACACAATTGTGTTTTACAGTTATTCATATGATTTGTACTTCCTCATTTCTCGAGGAGTGATCCATCGCAAAGCATTTTTCAAAAGTCTTCATCTGGATTTAGTTTTCAGCACAGAAACAAATTGACTCTTGCCCTATTTGAACCAATATCTTAGATCTAAATGTTCCTGGATCACCACCAATGTTTCATACCGGCATCGTATTGGTGCCTGATCCCTCTTTCCTGTTTGGCCGTCATTACTGTCAAAGAAATCTCACAAGATCCTATTTCACAGACGTGTAAGATCCTGTGGCAACACAATCTTGTGGGGAGAGATCTTGTTCCATTGCTAAGAATTACTTAATCTCAATCTCCAATCCCCATTAAAATTCAGTCCACTGCAGGGTTGTGGAAAACAGTGAAATCAGATACAAATATATTAACAATATTAACACCAGTGTCCATAAGAGATACTAATTTGAGCATCTATATTACTTTTTAATCATAAAGGACAAACATTTGATAATTCCTGAAGAATTAGTGTGAGAAAAATGCTAATGTTTTGTATTATTTTGTGTTGATTTATAGATGGGAGTAGAAACATACTGAAAACCTCTGATCATCCCTGAAAAAATCTTAGTGTCTAAATACTTTTAAAATGAAATTAGGATTCCACGAGCGAGTCTCTTCATTCGAGTCTGAAAGTGAAAATGTGTCTAATTTAAAAATCTTGTATTTGATTTTCTGTAAACAAGTGCGTGACTCTTGTCTCCGTGCAGCACTTTGGTAGCGTTTTGAAAGCAGTTACATAGATTAAGTGGATTGGATTGAAATGTAATGAAGTGAAATGTTGGTATTGTCACGAAAACCCGTCCTCGGCTCAGCCCTGCTCAGGACCTGACTGTGGTTTGATCCCTGCAGAAATCGCCCGCTAAGAAGCTCTCGCATGCGCTGAGTAAGTCTCTGAGCTGTGCCTCCAGCAGAGAGCCTCTCCACCCGCTGTTCCCCGAAATGCCAGAAAAACCTCTGAACCTCGCGCACATTGTGTAAGTCTGTTCTCTGTCTTCATCCAGTCTGTTTGTGTGGTATGGAAGTCCCGTTCGATTGCAAACGTTTGATTTGTGTCCTCTGGCTGTTCATGGTCCTTAAGGTTGTGCTAAATGTGAAGTGATTTTAGTCAATCATTTGAGGCGACCGATCAATACGACTTAATTGTAGCCCAGGGAGTGATTGTAATTTACGTCAGCTGCCTCTGCCCAGTCTTATAGTATAAACACAAGATTTCCTATCAGACTTTAATATACTGGAATATGCAACAAATCTTAATTGCTACACAGCTCCCTAATGTATTTGGCCTTCGGTGTTCTGCTTATTTCAATCAATCACCAATATGTATTAAAAGCACTTTGTATTCTTTTTTTGCTACCCTAATGAAAATAGAGATACATGGTGAGTGCAACTTTTTCTTCTCCCTCAATCTAGATATTTCCATTCCCTCCATTACAACTCCTCTCATCACACGACACTTATGTCAATAATATTATTCTGTAGGTTAATTCCCATTGTAGATTTATATTATCATCACTTGAAATGAGGAGAGGAAGTTTTGTGGAGAAATTGACCCTCACACGTTGAATCCTATCATTTTGTGTTGAAGACTAACTTGTACATATCAGTGTTTCCCACAGTTTGAAGGACAATGTGTGGTGGTCGGCGGGGGGGGGGGGGGCGGGGTGGGGGGGGGGGGGTAGTGGCGGGTTACAGCTGGATACAGTGGTGAAGAGCGCGCAAATCCTTGAGGTCCATGAATCCCAGTGAAATTAGCGCGCACACCTTTTCACAGTAAATAAGTTACACGCAGTACAAAAAGTGATCACGTGTCCCCTTTGACAATTTGTAGGCTATTTTCGGACCAAAAATGCGCTGCTTTAACTATCAAATATTTCTACAGTAAAAGTTTCTGGTCTTTGGTCACAGTGGTAACATAGAGGGCAATACATGAGGCTCGTGAATCCAGTGAAAATTAGTCGCACACCTTTTTACAGTAAAAAGTTACAGTAGATCAACATGTGACATGTTTTGTGACCATTTTTAGGCTATTTTGGACCAAAATGGCTACTTTAAATCAATAGTTTCTCAATATTTCTACAGTAAAAAGTGTCTGGTCTTTGGTACAGTGGTAGAGGACAATCTTGAGGTCATGAATCCAGTGAAATTAGTCGCACACCTTTTTACAGTAAAAAGTTACAGTAGATCAAAAGTGACATGTTTTGACTATTTTGGAGGTATTTTGGACCAAAATGGCTACATTACCTCAATATTTCTCAATATTTCTACAGTAAAAGTTTCTGGTCTTTGGTACAGTGGCAGAGGGCAATAATAAGGTCATGAGTCAAGTGAAATTAGTCGCACACCTTATTCCAGTAAATAGTTACAATACTTGAAAATTGCACTAGCGGACCAAATTGTGTACTTTATACATGTAAACAATAGAGTGGCTATCCTCCCTGAGACTCACAATCTGCAGGAGGAATCGTAGGGGGCTGGTGCTATGTGTGCCGGGTGGCATCTCTATAAGGTTTTAATCACAAAAACGTGTCTCCCTGACCCCCAGCGCGCTTTCTGTTCGATAAAAATGGGTGACTCCGAAAGGACGTTCCGCTGTTACCGTAAGTTCTCAACAAAACGCGCACCGTCTTTTCCCCGATGCGGGCCGCATGTTCATAGAGCTGAAAGATGCGGGCCACTTTACCGCGGTAAATTAATATGACACAGCTGCTTACAGCGATGATCGCTGATGGAGACGGAGACACGCGGTGTGCACGAAGGGGATGGGCTGTGTGTGTGTAGGTCTCTGTATGTGGGAGAGACGCGTAGCTTGAGTGAGAGTTACGAAGGGCCGCCACATTTTAAACCCCCCTCCCCGCTGTCAAATTGACCGCTGCGGCGGCACTAGACGATGCATGTTTTAAATAGCGTAACAAAAAAAATATATATATAATAATACGAAACGCAATTTGTGGCGGGCGGTCTCTAATCTGTGGCGGTGCGCCACAGATTAGTCTATGTGTGGGAAACACTGCATATATTAATTTTGGCCCTTTTTATTGGCTAAAGTAACCTATTTTACATTGTATTTTAACTAAATCCAGGTCTGTTTGTATATCTTTGATATTCTGACCTGTCCTCCAGTTCAGTTTCAAACCATACAGTTGTCTATTGTATAATGCTGATAACTATCTTGGTGTTTGTTTTAATAGCGTGCCACAATAAAACACTTACAAACATTGTACTGATTTGGATACAGAGGCCAGTGTAGACCTCCGCCGAGAGGCGCAGTTCCATTCCTTAAATAAAATCCTGCATCCAGACGGTGATTAGAATCACTGCCAATTGAATCGTTCATTGGGCCATTGTGCACATTTCCTGAAAATCCTCCCATCAATTTCTGAGACACTGGAGAACAAACAGACACAGACAATACACAAACAGCCAGTGATCACTTAACATCCTGTACTGTCATCTTCATTTGTAATTGTTAAATGTTATACTTTCATCTTATAACATCTGCAGTATTATATGCATACAGCTCATGAAGTATCCAGGAGTGGTCACATTTGACCCTTTTTATTATTGTTGTAGTTTAATTTCAGAATGTGTTTTTATCAATGCTTGGTTAATTTAGTCTCCTTATAGAGTGGTAAAACTACTATCAAGACCTCTAGAGATTTTCTTGACAGTGGCTATATGTGCATCGTTCTGCAATAGAAAAGCTGCGTGAAGATGGTCTTGGCGCCTACCTCCGAAAACTACTTCTTCATAATAATTTCATATGCCTACCCAGACCAGTCGAAGTTAGCCCTAGCTGACTATCTATCCACCCACCCCATGCCCCTGTCCATCCCAGGGAAACCCATACGCCACCAACAAATGTCTGCAGATACTTCCCTACAAACAACTGGAATGTCCTAGATTTGATACGTAGATCTTGTCAGCTCACAGTGGTACCCCCTCAAAAGCAAAGGCCTGCCTAGTGGACTCTGTGAACCATCGCAAGACTTAGCTAACGACTCTCATTGCTATGTACTACTTCTAATACTGTAGACGTCCGTGTGTGATTCAAACCACCTGCTGCCGCCACCCGTGCGGTTATGATATGGTACCTGGCTGTGCCGGTGAGAAGAATAGTCGACTACTTATGTCTAAAACATAGCTGCATTCGCCGGTTGTACAGATGCCGTTGACTTGATTTTGAACATGGGGAGCAGACCATGTAAGACTTTTTTCAACTTCAGTAGATGGCTCAGCTCGATAGCTAAGTACTTCTGAAAACTGAAACATCTTGAGGCACTCGCTGACCCATCTGGCCGGTAAGCATGGTCAGCCTCATTGTGGCTGAGAAAGGATTAAAATTGGACTGCGACCAACAAAATGTGGGACGGGTCACTGTCCCGCGCGGAGCCGAGACAAGAGCTTGGTGAGCGGAGTGCAGAAGAGGGGGGATCAACGTGATAGAGCGGGTTTTGAAAATTGGAAATAGTGCCGGTTTCTGAACAGTTGGGATTAACAACTCCCGGCCTCTCGCCCCAGTGAAGTGGCTTAGCGGTGGGCCGCGATGTAAGTGGGATGTAACGAAGGCAAATATACATTTTGCTCGTACAACAGCTGCACTCGGCGGAACGCACTTCTGAACTGGTGGTATCCCTGACGCGCAGGACCATAGTGGAAGTGGAACAGGAACCACAGACATCGCGACGCGATCCCGGACAGCTCACCTATGGAAGGTCTCGCACGTTACAGGAACCACTCCCGTGTCCCTCAACCAAAAACGCCCTGAATGTTTACAAGTCTCGCAGATACCACAAAGGTTTCACACCATGCACAAACACCCAGTGCATGATATCTTTAGCTGAGAGTTAGTTGCATTTGACATATCTTGGGCAGAGACGAGGATTTCTCTATAGTTTTTTTGCCACACCAGGTGCGGGAGCCACAAGTGCCAGCTTTATTGCACGCAAACTCTAGGTCAAATTGGTAAGCGGAGCCATAATTAGAGATACAAAAGCTCGTAATTTTCAGCGGGCCTGGTGACATGTAGACGCATTGTGACTGAGTAATAAACTAGCTATATTGTGAAGGATGACGGCCGACAGAAGCAGCGTACTGTGAACGCATCTATGCAAGGCGTAGTAGAGATAGTACTCTGCATATAGCAGCTCGTCTCAGTATGTTACCAGTCTAGTATACTTTAGTTTTATACCAATTAGCTACTGTAATACAATTGTGATACAGTTATACACCTGGGAGGTGATGCCGCCGCAAGCAGTTTTTTCAGGTGAACAAAAGCGTGTGCCTTGGCTCAAAACAAAGAGTTGTTTGATAAACAACTGCATGCTGACAGTATGTTAGCCGTTGTGCTGTTCCTATTACTGAGTGTACATAGCTTACCTTACAGCACGAATAATGTTGAACAAAGAAAGCCCTTGACTGTGACTGCACCTCATCTGTTGAAAGGCAGAGGGTAAGTGATCCAGGTGCAGAAATCCAAAAAAAGTGCATGAGTAGATTATTGTAGTTAACCAGATTGAAAGTAACAAAAATACCTATAAGTACAGTAGATGGTTTGACTTAAAGGTCCCATATTACACTTTTTAACTTTTCTCTGGTGATATTTGGCCTCTATACACATGCCCAGAGTAGTTTTTTAATTGATTACCTCAAGCTTAAGTTTGCGATCTTTCTCTTTCATTCTCCAGAGGAAGCAAAACAGCCTGATTCACTTTGTAGCACATTTTCACACGAAGCCTGGAGTGCCAGAAGCCCCGCCTCCAGAAGGTGATTGACAGGAGAGAGAAACCAAAACAGCCAATCAGTGCACACAGACTTTCCCAGCATATGGACCCTTTCCCACAGTCTGTGTTTACTTCTACAGTATATTCTGTTTTTCCTGCTATTGACAGCAACTAAAAGGCAGAGAAGCAGAGAACAAGCCATTTTAATAGAGCGGACATCACCTCTATGCAAGAAATGGCTATAATTCTAACATTTTAGTGTTTTGTATGGTGTATTACTCAAATTATTATCACACATGTAAAAAATTAAGAAAAGCGAGATATAGGACCTTTAACCATTTTGGCACTATTGAATTGCATGTATCCTGTGTGCATTGCAATATACTGAATGATACTGTGTGAAAAGACCTTGAAATGAGTGTTATCAATCCAGCCACATACAAAGACAGACTCCTTCTTAAATGATGCATAAAGGTTCATTTTGTTTTGAGTTAGATTTGTTGTTGTGGTTCTATTGAAAGACAAGTTAGATGTATTACCTTGTTAACATGTAAATGACAGATGATAAAGTTTATATTATCTTATGACACGACACCAATTCTGAAGATGCAGCCGAAACATGTTAGCAAGGTAAAACATTTAACTTGTCTCTCAAAAGAACCAAAACAAAAATAAAAATACAATCACTCCTTCCTAAATGAAAGCAGTCTTTGGCCAGGGTTAGACCAAGGACACATTAGTAAGTCTTAAAATAATAATCAAGCACAACAAAGAGGTAAAGTTGTTGTGAAATTACAATTACTATCTTTAAATTGAATAAATCTAGATATTTTTTGAAGGATCATGATGTTACTTTTCCAAGGTACTTCACCTGCTTATCTCAAACTCATGGTCTTCTTTTGTTATGCCTGGAGTTTTTGTACCAGAACATTAACCTTGAAAATCTGTGGAATGTCTGATTTTTTTGTTTTTGGACCAATTAAACTGACCTAATAACTTTATACTTGATGTTATTTTGCTTAGAAAAACAGTCGCATGTGGAGAGAGCACCTGACTGGGATAACAATAGGGGATTCAATAAACAATTAGACAAACACACAGAAAAAAGTAAAGTTAACAGTGTTGAGCGTTTAACCACGTTCCAACAGCGTTCCCTCATCAAAAAACAGACCTGGAGTTGTTTTTAGTTCCATCCACGCTAATATCAGGAACATGTCATTATACCACTGTGACATCACACTCTGAGCTGTTTTCTGACTTTTAAAACAAAACTATTGTCCATAATTTGTTCATGGAAAATCATCAAGAGAAATGGTTTTTTTTTGCAATCACCAGGCTGTGTTAGCAGATGGTCATTTTCTAATTTGGAAAAAATCAAAAAACAAATTGTACCTCTCCTTCTGTTCGAGGCATACAGTAGATACTTGTTTTTACCTCTGACACTTGTTTCACCATACACGTTGTACTTAACTAATATTTCACATTCAAAAATATGAATTGACTAAGTGAAAAGTCGCCTCATTATTTTTTTTGGGGGGGTCAAGAATAATGCGAATAATGCTTAATATTTCTTCTTTAAACAACTTAACACATTTTGGCTTCTCTCCTGGTTTGTGGTTAAACGCCGTCTCCTTCTTTGTCTGGCTTAACTTGTCATTTGTTTTAGTGGTTCTGTTGGCACCCCCTGCATTTATACTGCTCTGTTTTGTTAGAATCGCTAATGTTGTTATTAGCAATCGCTCTGGATATGTTGAAAATTAATGGGTTATTCAGACAGCATTTGTTTCCATTCAGCTGAATAAGGTTATAGGGCAACGAATAGGGATAGAATAAAATATTGAAGTATGTTTTTACTAAGAGTGTGGTGGTATTGAATTACTGAAAGATGGTCAGTTCAAGGAGTTCAAACCGAATCGAATGAGAATTGCCATGCGCTCTAGAGATGGATTCAAAAATGTGTACAGAAACTAAATTGCTTAAAGACCTTCAATCTTTCTGTGTGTCTCTTACAAGCTTTTGTTGGATGTCAGAGGTGAAAATGAAGCAGTACTTGTTAAATTGAAGAAGAACAACTCATGTCTTATTAGTGGATAGATAAATAAAACATAATAGGATCACAGAATGCTGGGGCTGGTGCTATGAGACTTGGGTGGCATCTCTGACTGCCACCCCCCTGACCCAGAAATGGATTAAAGGGAAGAAAATGGATGGATGGATGGAGGATCACAGAATAGCAGGAACAAAAGGAGCTCTCAAAACAAGCTGTGATATTAAGAGAATAAGTCACCCCCTTATGGTTTAAATAAGTGAAGTATCAATCTATATTATTCTACTAAAATATGTATGAGTACCTTATAAAGAGTGGTGCATATTTGTAGTGATGGCTTACAGTAAGCATGTAGCTCCTCAATGACAAAGCTGCACACGGTTTCTCGAGTACGGGTGCATTTATTGACCTTCACAATTGTCATAAATGTCCTTTTAAGGCTGTGAAAACTACAGGTAAAAATGAATTATACAATTAAACACGACTTCTTCTCTTGAAATTAATGAAAACATTGTGGCAGCATCTCACGTCGGAGGTATTTATCGTAACTTTATAGCAATGTGTGCACGTTTCAGCTGTACACAACATATAATACACATGTACACAATATAAAAGTAAGATATATACAAAATAAATACTTTACGCAGTTGCTTTCTCTCTGTGAAAGTGGCTCTCGCTCTGATGTCTTTTTGAACAACATTAAATTAAAACCAATGTCAAAGTGTAAAAACAAAGTACTTTCTTTTAGAGAAAACAAAAATATTACTAATGTGATTTACAACATTCTAAACAAAAGGAATAGAAAACCAAAATAAACTTTTATACAAAACAACAATTACAAAGCAACATAAGGATATAACACATAGAAGATATATAATAATGATAATAATAATAATAATAATACATTTGATTTAAAAGCACCTTTCAAAAGGGACACTGTACCAACATGGTAAAAAACAGATTGCAATAAAAAACATTAGCTTTATTAAAAACAGAAAACAACAAAGGTGTTGGGATGACTGGTCATGTGGGGAAAGAAAGTCTGAAAAGGTGAGTTTTGAGTCTGGATTAGAACAGGGGATATAGTGAACTCTCAGTGGACACATAATGATACCATATTGTACAGTGTTAGTTTTCATAAGTACTTCCCATTATTACTACAGATAAATGGCACATTTTCAGTACATACCAGATACACTGTCCATTTCTAAAGGACATAATGCATCTATAAGCCAGACTTTACATTTTCAGTGGTCCACAACTATAGTAAAGTTCCCCCGAGTAATCTTGCACGTTTTGGCCGAATCATTGATTGGTCCTGAAGCCAGTTAACATTGTATTTATTCCTAACGAGGGTGTTGTTTCAATAAAGCAGCACGGGTGATTAATGCTTGTGAAATATAAGCGGTGCATGTAGCGCTCCTCTTTTGCCGAGCTTGCCCTTAATCATTCTGTTCGCCTTTATCAATGGTGTCTCTCCCACACATAATATGGCCTTGTTTCTCTCTAGTCACCCATGAAGAGCTCTCTTTCAGCTCATTCTTCCCCGAGCCCCTTTTGTCTGTGTTTTCTCTCTTTTCCCCCTAGTGCTACCTACCCCGTATCATCCGTTCACCCGTCCCCCGTCACCTGTGCAATGTCTGATGTGGAACGGTGCCCTTTTTCAGGTTAAACTACAACCTGGATGTGGCCGATAGACTTGCAGATGAACATGTTCTCATTGGTCTCTATGTGAGCCTGCTCCAAAACAACCCCACGTCATGGTCAGTGGCTGTGTGGTTAATGTGTAAGGCCTAAAACCATGTGCTTTGCTTTGATATTCTAACCCCCCAAGTCTTAATAGGTTTCTGCTTTAAAGCTGCATGCTGCTCCTCAGGTTTCTCTGATAACTGCGGAAAATACTTTAACACGTTTGTGCTGTTTTTAAAGGTGCATTGCACGACTTTTATGATGGTGTCCAAGTCTAACTGCTTGTTACCATGGAGATGTTATTTCTTTTTATGGAATGTACCTTAGTTGGATATAAATACTTTCTAAAATCTTGGTATTATGTCCTGCTGCAAGCTTCTTACCATATCCCCAAGCCTTATCTTAAAGGGACAGTATGTATGTTTCATGTTAAATTTCAATAAAATAATTTAAATGAAATAATAGATCAACATGTACAAATCATATTTGAACTAACAAAAATGTTAAGTTCAGTTTTTCTTATGGACATCTTCAATGGACAACTATAATATGTATGGTTGTCCAATCAGAGAGCAGAATGAGGCCCCGATTTGGTTTGCCATTTTGTTAGGTGAAATTTAACTGATCTGTATTTAATAACAAAATTCACTCACAAAATAACACACGTCACTTTTAATGAAAGTAGTTACAAAATTAACTACTCATGCAGTTTGTTACGAGGTTTGGCTAAACTCCAGTAGGTGGATTCCATCAGTGATCAGTGCTTAGAAGCTACATGAGGATTCTTGCAACAAAAGCTGGATTGTGAATGTAGTGAGTTTATGAAACCATTAAGAGTACATACTGAGATCACATACTGTCCCTTTAACCTGGTGGTGACTCTCAATTACAAATGTGAACTTGAGCATGAATTTATTTCTATTTTGTGGAACATTCCTGCCAAAACAACAACACTCAGATGGACCCAGGCCCAAAGCGGAACCTCCACTCTGAGTTGTGGAATGCACCTTTACAGGGAGACCAATAAAGTTTCTTTGCAAACTGAACCTGAACTGAAGTCGCTGTGTGGTCACTAAAGCTTGATTTTTCAACTGCAAAAACAGGCATTTTAAACCTTTTCTTTTGTTTTTTCTTCTATTTTGATTGATTGATTTTCATAAATTCAAGCAGCAATGTATTTACAATATCTACATTCCTTAGTTTACATGACTTTCTGTACATGTTGCCTACTGCTCTTACAGTACATACCCACACATGCAAATATATATACATAACTATACAATCAGGCAGCAGTATTAGCCCATGTGTTGGTATATTTACAATATCAATATGTATTTACAAATGCCTTTCTATTTACAATTTGTCAGCTCCAAATGGAGTGGGAAAGAAGTAAAAACCTTTCCCGCCCCATAATTAGATGAAGATAGCCTGTGAATTGTCCACAACTAGAATAATATCAGTTCACATTCAGACTTATTCATTTTACTTTTGCCTCTATTGGTACATCGGTAATGGTCCCTGGTTTCACCTTTTTCATATCAGAAAGATCAATAATGTCACGCTTTATTCAGTCACGCTCCTAATCATTCTGTTTAGAGTTTTCCCCCTTCAGTGTGAGAACTAATCCTTCTGTGCATGTATTTTACAATAGTAGAACCGTAAATAATGATTAACACATGTTTTATATCTGCAGCTGTGACTTTACCACCCTGAATGAGTGCCTTTCCCATCTGTGCATAAAATATAAGCATCATTTTTGTTTGCTATGGAGGAGATAAACAAACCTCTCCATGATCAATACAACCTAAAACTGCCCATTTTCATTCCCACCTATAGAAACTAATCTAACTGCATTTCTTTTCTTCTGTTTTTATCCCATGCGGAGGAGTGACTCTGTCTTTCTAATTTCCCTGTGTTCAGTTTGCTGGAGAGAAGCAACCATCTCCAAGACGACGAACACAGCCTCATTGCTCGCTACGCTGCTCGGCTCGCTGCTGATGCTGCGGTGAGATATAAGCCACATTATTGCATTCGCTATCGCCGCATCTTTCATCCGGGTTTAGTGCCACTGTGCCAGGAATATATCACACAATAGAGGAGGGTTAAACTTGTATATGCACCCCTGGGAGTTCCCTGTTGTTTTATATTGCCGTGAGAGCAAGTAATGCACATCAAAAACTCTTACTTTGAGGGTAGACGCCTGGATGATGTCAATTATTTTATACAAAGATGACGTTGCAGTCTCCATTATTTTATTCCTGATGTTTTGGACATGATGCCTTTGTCAGATATTTTTATATTTGAGACCAGAAGAGTCAGGAATAACCCATGTGACATACTGTAGGAGTATACTGTAGGGTCTCAGCCAAAGCACATCCTATATAACCCTAATTCATAGAAAATATAAATGTACATATACATTACAGTGTATGGTTCTATAGGAATATTTCAAAGGACACTAAATGGTATTTTTGGAGTTTTGTAACTAACATGAAAAACAAACCTGGAGTTGTTTTTTGTGTGCTGTCCACGCTAATATTAGCTCCAGGCACAAACTCAAAAGTTGTATGCTTTGAATAATATTTGTCTGCCTTTTAAAACAACAGTATCCCTTCCAAATCAGTTCTGGGATTGTGTCCAGTGAAATTACAACTACGTGGCTTTAAATGCTGCATGCAATATGTAATGACAAAAAATAGCAGCCTGTAATGTCCACTACTACCACCAGAATGAGGTTTTTCAATACAGCTTTAATCCATATATTTTTACTTCACAAATGCTAAAATAAGAGCCAAATATAATGCATAAAGTTTCGTATTGACATCAATGGAGGAGAGAGGAATATCTGGAATTCCTATCTGTCCTATCTGGAATATAGGACTTTCCAGATTTCTTCTTGGGAAAGTTGTACAATTATTATTCTTACATAGACTTGTCTCTAGGAAAACTATCTGACAAGGGCATTATGGTCGCAAATTAAAATATGGAGAATGCAACGTTTTCTTTGAACTTTTAGTCAATGTCAAGATGAGCAGGTACTGATCATTTGCAGGCAGATCAGGAAGCTCCTCTTAGGCCAGATGGGGTCGTGATGAATGGACTCCTTTAGTTTCCCGGTGAGGTTTGAGATAAGGCTGGATGACGTCTTCTTGCTGCTCCTCCACAGGCTCAGCAGCAGCTTGTCCCCACAGACCTGCCCTGTTCTCTGGATACCAACAAGCAGCAGAGACAACTCATCGCCGAGCTGGAGAGCAAAAACAGGTGAAGAATAATAGCCTTTTGCCAGTGGAATACATTTAACAGTTTATTCTAAAATATGAGCTTCTTTCCTTATATTTATTTCAAGTTTATGTTTATTTGATAGGGACAGGACAAAACACAGTGTTGTAGTTTATAACCAATGTCTTGTTCATAAGCAGTGTGTGTTGGGGAGGTACTAGATACTCCCTTTTGATTAACTGCCTTCAGAATACAGTTACTTTACTAACTACTTGAACTTTTGCACATTTTATGTTGGATATTTTACTGAAAAAACCCAAGTAAAAGCAAAAATACATACGATTTTGTTTATTGAAAACTTTGTAAATTCATAAAGGAATGTTTTTGTCCTTTTAGTTGATCAGCAATTCAGTATTCTGTAACTAAATACAATACGTTGAAATCAGAACAAAGGTAAACTTAAAGTCATAAAAAATACAAATAAAATGAGGTTCATGATCATAGTTTATTGGTGGTACACAAACAACACAATCCCAGTTTACATATTATACAGATGGTTTAAACGGAGACAAAAACAGCAGTTTCCCGTCGTATCAGCCAAGTCGCCAATAGATATGTTTTGTTCGACCTTCAGATAAGAGAGAGCGTAAAACACTGGCTTCTTTGGTCATGGAAGGTTACCAGACTGTTGCAATGATGAGCTCAGTTTTAATATTACAACAATAGCAGAAGAAGTCTATACAGATGGTAACAAAGCGTCATAATATAATATAATTCTCAAAAGGAGTTGGCATTACCATGTTTTACTGCTAAAGCCTCTCATGCTGCTTTGGGTTTGGGTTTCAGTAACATTCTGATAGACAGAGATATATCACTTTGTATATGAGTGTATAAAAACTGTAAACATGATTAGTTATGACTGAAATGATTTATTTGGGGAGTTAACATCAAGTTTGGGATGTTACCTCGTGACCATCTTGACCAAAACAGGTGTCAAATACCCTTAGATAATGATCTGATCATTTACTTGGTGAGATGTTCAATTAGTTGAGTGAATCAATAAGGGTCATACAAATGTATTTGTTGTACATTAAGCCAAACTTTAGGTTGATTCGAAAAAATTTGTCTAGAACTTTCATTTACAAACTTTAATGGTGGCCGTATTTGTGTGAAACTGTCATTTATATTCAAAACAGTTTATCAAAATCAGTCACAATTAGAAAATCATAAGAATCTGTCTCAAGCACCTTAAATGTAGATTATGATTTTGCACAAGCAAGAATGACATTCAGACAAAGTACAAGTGCTTTGCTCACTCTAACATTACTCAATACGAGTGAATGTGAAGTCCATTTGTCCATTATTGTCAGGAGTGATGTAGCGCAGGTGTCCCTCCCTCTAATCCCAAAGCATTTGAAGCATGTGCCACCCCAGACGCCTGAAGTGGCTGTAAATGAATGAATAAATGTCATGCGTTTCAGAGAAATCCTCTTAGAAATCCAGCGGTTGCGTCTGCAGCACGAAGAGGCGTCTCAGCCCCCCCCAGACAGAGGCCAGCAGAACCCCACTCTGCTGGCGGAGCTCCGACATCTCAGGTACAAGTCACACACAGATGTTCCAGATGTGCTACTTTATCCTCACTAAATGCTTTCTCCTTCTGAGGTGAGATAATAGTATTCATTGAAGCCTATGTTACTAAACCTTTCCATGGGTTTTCTCTGTAAAAGTATGTTTTAGTGAACACTGAAAAGCTTGTTCTTTCTGTCAGGCACCGCAAAGATGAGCTAGAACAAAGAATGTCTACACTGCAGGAGAGTCGCAGGGAACTCATGGTGCAGCTCGAGCAACTAATGATGCTTCTCAAGGTACAGCGCGTGCACACACGCGCACGCACACGCACGCATATGCACACGCACACACACACACACACGCACACGCACGCGCACACAAACACACGCACACACACACAAACACACACAAAAACACACAAACGCACGCACACACACACGCATACACACACACACATGAACACACAGTATACGCAGTAATCTTACTTTAATAATAGGATTAAAGGATTTTTGCCCCAAAATATGTGCTGTTTCTGCAAATATCAAAATAAGTCAAGAATAAACATGAAAAGTTGTCTTGAATCACAGTATTTCAAAACATTTTATAGAAAGAGAGCACTAAAGCAATACCGATCCCCAGTCCCTGCTCTCCCAGTCACATTCAGTCACAAAAAACATAAAGAATGTAGTCATAACAAGTGTGTGGAGTGATCCTTGGCTTCCATGAAAATAAAGATACACAAGATCAACGCAGGTGTGTCAAAGTAAGCAGTACTGCAGGGCTGCTCTGTGCACCTTTTTAGTAAACTTTTAACAACTTTTTAGCGCGTTTTTATTGTTCAGTTTTTTAATATATCTGAGTGTTTTATCTTTTTAATTCAGTGGTTTCAGCAAATAGCACTTAGTCCCGACTGAAACCCACTAGTAGCACAGAGGCTAACACAAGCTAACGAGGACATGGAAAGTGACAATGAAATTGGCTCAAACATGCACAATATTAGTCGCCTCACCTTGGAGCTCCGTGAGAGCGACCGTGCCACCATTGCAGATCTACGAAAAGAAGTCCTTCGTCTCACCGCAGAGTTGAATGAGAAACAATCTCTAGTATCCAAACTTTTTGAAGTCGCTGGTGGGCAGCACTCACGGCTGATGTCACTGAGCGCTGCATATTGTGACACTGTCGTGTGGGAGAGATCCGTCAGCTCCGGACCCTCTTGTTCTACACCTAAGCGCCCGCTTCCGAATAACGAGCCCGCGGATTCCGAGGAGCCATCCTGCGCCGTGGCCCATGTCCCGAGTCTGGCAAACCGCTATGCAGCCCTCTCCACTGACATCCCGGCCCCCTCAGCAGAATCCCTGGACACTGCAGCATACTCTACTGCTCGAGGATCCAAGTCCACTGCGAGGAAAACGCTCCTAAAGGAAGCAGTCCTCAGGCGAAAGAGCGGTCCACCAGCCATGTTGGCCTGTTCCCCTTCTTTGACCCCAGTGCAGCAGCCTCAGACTGGGGTAGCGAGCCATCATTACCACCGCTCACCTCCACCGGGTCAGCAGCAGCGCCCAGAGCCAGCCCCTCTCACCGCTCCAGCGTCCCCGAGCACACAGCGTGGGTCGCCTGTAGCTGAGAGTCAGCACCCCCGCTCCTCCTCTCCATGTGTTCAGCGGCGCTCAGGCTCGGGTCCTGCTTCGGGTGAACTCGCTGGTTCCGTCCACCGAGCTCCTTCTCCGAGGCCACTCTTCGCCCCGACCACTCTGATTATTGGAGATTCCATCGTGAGACACGTCCGCTTCTTTAACGCGGTCACTCGCTGTATTCCCGGAGCTACTGTACCAGACCTGCTCATCCGTCTCCCTCCTCTGCTTCAGTCCCTGCCTGATACCGTTTCCAAGGTAGTCGTGCATGTGGGAATTAACGACATGAAACTTCAGCAGTCAGAAGTCACTAAGAAACATTTTATGGATCTGTTCCACCTCCTTCAATCCACGGGATTATCTGTTTTTATCTCTGGTCCAATCCCGACTGTAAACAGAGGTGACTGCCTCTACAGTCGTGTTGTGGCGCTGCATATGTGGATCCAGGCTACATGCAGCTCTTTTAACTTTGTCTTTGTGAATAACTTTGCCCTTTTCTGGAAACGTTACGAAGCCTATCGTCCAGACGGATTACACCCAAACAGATACGGTAGCAGCCTGTTGATGGACTACATACGTTATGTTGTTCAGTGCTCCCCGAGGGGGGCGTGACTGTTTACATCTGAGCCCCCTCGGACCCCACCGCACTCCCCCGCCTCCTGCTCACCAGCACCGGGTGAGTACAACGGTGCAAACACTGCTCCCTGTCCGTCTGGCAGTGCATTACCAGTCCAAACACTGAACTGTGCTGACTCCCTTCTGACTCTGGGAGCTAAAGAACAACAACAAGGGTTTTCACATTTTAGGCCAATTGAGACTGTGTGTGTTCCTCGCACCAGCTCAAAAATGTTTTTAAATTCTAAAAAACGAAATCAAAACAGGACAGCAGTTAGACGGTCCAACTCTGCAAATCTAATTTCTGTTCCCTGTAGAAATCAATCAACCACATTAATCGACTCTGACGTTATTTTTAAACTTGCTATGCTTAATGTCAGATCTCTATGTAACAAATCATTTTTAATTAATAATTTTATCACTTCCTATGATCTTGATTTTATGCTTATGGCTGAAACATGGCTGGACCAAAATACAGGAAATGCAGTTCTAATAGAAGCAACACCCACCCAATTTTAAATTCGAATCCGAAATACGAGAAAACAAAAGGGGGGGAGGCATAGCTGCAGTTTTTAGAGAGCACTTTGTCTCCCATAGAATGCCCCTTGGAAATTTTTCATCGTTTGAGTATATTTCTTTTAAAATGGAACAAAAGCAATCTTCTACTCTTTTCATTGTCCTGTACAGGCCACCACAGTCATGTTGCGATTTTATTGACCATTTTACTGAACTACTTTCATTCGTGTGCACAGATTTTGATAGTTTAGTTATTACAGGTGATTTTAATGTACATGTTGATAATGTTGATGACAGAAATGCAAAGGAGCTGGCTTCTGTATTTGAGACCTTTGGTTTCATTCAGCACGTGAGTGGCCCCACCCACAGCAGGGGGCACACTCTTGACCTGCTAATTACAAAGGGGGTTAATGTATCAAATGTTAATGTAGTTGATGTTGCTTTGTCAGATCATTTCTGTGTATTTTTTGATATGTGTTTTTGCTAGCAAACCACCAGCTGAATTTACAATTGTTAGAAGAAGACACATACATGAAAACACAAGTGAACTGTTCATGGGAATGCTAAATTTTGAGAAAACTCCATGCTCTACTGTTGATGAATTGTATAACTCTGTCACCACCAGTGTTCTGACTGTTCTGGACGCCATTGCTCCTGTGACGGTTAAAATAGTTACCAGTAAGAAAAAGGCCCCATGGACTAAGGCAGACTCGGTTAGGGCACAGAAGCAAGAGTGCCGGAGGGCCGAACGGAAGTGGCGAAAGTCCAATTTCCAGGGCGATTATGAAATCTTTAAAGATGAGTTGGGTGAATTTAACCGGGTTCTACGTAGAACAAGAGAAATGTATTTTTCTGACATTATTGGAGGTTGCAGTAACAATTTTCGTGTTATGTTTTCAACAGTTGGTAGATTAACGAACCCCCCTGTAAAGTTGCCCCTAGAATTTTCCTCTAAATCTAGGTGTAATGAGTTCGCACAGTTTTTCGATGACAAAGTACAAGGAATCAAAAACACTATCACCTCCACAGCACGTATAACAATGCAACAGCCAGAGAAGCTTTTTGAGCTAACTCACTTTGCACCTGTGGATACTGAAACTGTCAAAAAGATAATCATGAGTCTGAGCTCCTCCACATGTAGCCTGGATATATTGCCCTCTAAATTTCTGAAGTCCGTCCTGAGCAGTTTGTTACCTTCACTGACACAAATAGTAAACATGTCTCTGTCGTCAGGAACATTTCCTATGGCCCTAAAAACAGCAGTCATAAGACCTCTCCTAAAAAAGAGCAGTCTGGATCCTGCGGGACTTCAAAATTATCGCCCCATATCGAATCTGCCATTTATTGGAAAAATTCTTGAAAAAGTGGCCTCCCAACAACTTACTGAATTTTTAACAATGAATAATTCTTTTGATATGTTCCAGTCTGGGTTTAGACCCCACCACAGCACTGAGACCGCTCTAGTGAAGGTAACAAACGACATTCGACTTCACACTGATGCAGGTAAAGTCACAGTTTTGGTCATGTTAGATCTTAGTGCCGCGTTCGACACTGTCGACCATGAGATCCTCATGCAGAGACTGGAGGACTGGGTTGGTGTCACTGGCACAGCCCTAGACTGGTTTAGGTCTTACCTGGAGGATAGGAAGTACTCTGTGGAGATTGGAGACTGCGTCTCAGATGATGTGGCCCTGACCTGTGGTGTACCACAGGGGTCGATCCTGGGACCTCTCCTATTTAATCTCTACATGCTGCCGTTAGGTCAGTTAATACAAAGAAACAAAGTGTCCTACCACAATTACGCCGACGACACTCAGATCTATGTCTCACTGACTGCAGGAGAACATGGACCACTGGATTTGCTCCTTCACTGTATCCAACAGATCAGTGACTGGATGCAAAATAATTTCCTCCAGCTAAATGCAGACAAAACCGAAATCATTGTCTTTGGTCCCCAGAAACAAAGAGAGGGCGTCATTTGTCAACTTCAGTCTCTCTCCCTACTTCCTTCAGACAAGGTCAGAAATTTGGGGGTAATACTGGACTCAGACCTAAATTTCAATAGCCACATAAAATCAATAACATCAACAGCTTTTTACCATCTGAAGAACATTGCCAAAGTTAGAAATATAGTGTCCAGGGCAGACTTGGAGACTCTTGTCCATGCATTTGTCTCCAGCAGGCTAGACTACTGCAATGGCCTGCTTACAGGTCTGTCCAAACAGACCTGTAAGCAGCTGCAGTACATCCAAAATGCAGCAGCTAGAGTCCTGACAGGAACCAGGAAGTATGACCATATTAGTCCGGTCCTCAGGTCTCTGCACTGGCTTCCTGTGGCTCAAAGAATAGATTTTAAAACGGCTCTGCTTGTGTACAAGTCTCTCCATGGCCTTGCACCAGAATACATTAGTGACATGCTGGTGTCATATGAACCGGCCCGGACTCTGAGGAGCACAGGGACTGGCCTCCTGCTGGTGCCCAGAGTGAGAACCAAACATGGGGAGGCTGCGTTTCAGATCCATGCAGCTAAGATCTGGAACAATCTCCCTGAAAATGTGAGGGAGGCGTCTACTCTGTCAATGTTCAAATCCAGGTTAAAGACTGTTCTGTTTGCCTGTGCATACAACTGAAGGATTTTATCTCCATTTTTAATGCACTGCTGTCATTTATTTTTTTTTTTTAAATTTCTTGTGTAATTTTGAAAGTTTTAATGGTTTTATTCTTTTGTGTGATTTTAATGTTTTAATTGTGTTTTAATCTTTTGTGTGATTTTAATGTTTTAATTGTGATTCTGGTGTTTGTTTTATGTGATGATTTGTGATGTGGACTGTGAAGCGCTTTGTGTTGCCCTGTGTATGAAAGGCGCTCTACAAATAAACTTTGATTGATTGATTGAAGATGATGGCCATGAACGTATACTATATTAACATGAAGGTTTTCAGATATTACAATCATATAGGATTGCTATAATAGATCAGGAGTTCACACTTGACCCTGACTGTGACTTCATGATACCAGTGAAAAGAGTCAAACATGAGGAATACAGTCAGTACCTGTTGTGGTGAATCAGAAGAGCGTATGTGGTGATTACCCTTGTTAGCTGAAAGGTCTCCTGTGGAGAGGCAACTGTTTGGACAGATGAGTTGAGAACAGCGTTGATCTGGAGGATTACACTTCATCAAACCAAACAAGACAAAGTGTCCGCCCCTCTCTCTGCGGCGCACAGCCTCTGGTGTGAGAATATCATCTGCAGGCAACAAGACACACTTCTTTAAAGCAGCATAAACTGCTTACTGTAGTGGCCTAAGTGGGAGGATATCAATCTAATTAGCCTAAAAGGATCAATGCTAATCTATTAAAGATGCATGAGAAAGTCACCTGCTGCTACATCCTGAAGCAAACACAACTGGATTTTGAGAAATACTCAATACAGCGAGGCTGTGGTTTCACAAAGCATAACATTATTTTTCAGATTGAAGAGGAACGCAAAGAGGCTGTAAGTCTCGAATTCAAATGAACTAAAAAAGTCCTTTGTAGATTGAGAGTAATGCATGAGAATTGCAAATAAATGTATATAACATAATGAGTGTAATGTTTAGAACTAACCATGTTCTAATCAAGTCATTTCATGTCACTGGAATAGTTCACATTAACAAAGAATCTTTACATTTATCAGCATGGTTTGTGCAGATATATTTATCCGATACATTTATGGATGTTTTTCATTTAATCAATCAATTTTATAATAAAAAATATTAAAACAATAGGAAGAATGAAATTCAGCTCAGAATCCAAATTTACTTCCAGGTTTTTAACTTGTGACGATGTATTAACAGAATGTGTTGAGTTTAGGTAAGGTTGGTTTTGTCCTAGTTAAGTTGGAGAAAGTTTTCTGTCATCCAGGATATGAGGTCTAAAATGCCGTTAAAAAGATCTTTTTTTATCCACTAAATAGCCCACTCGTTATAATAATCTATATGACCCTCCCTTATGTAAATAAATATATATTTTTACATCTCTCTTTCTCTCTCTCTATATATAGTGTAGTTACATAATTTGGCTATTATTAGTTCATTTTGTATTCTTCCTATTTAAGTTGCACAAATTATGTTTTTGTGGGACCTCCTGTGAACTCTGGAGCCCTTAGTGAGGTTCAATAGGTACGAAGAGTTGATGCATACATTAAAAATAGTAATTGACATGTTCTTCCTGCATTATAAAGCCAGCTAAGGTGCTGTCCATGTTGTGCCTGTGCAGACTCAGGGCCCTGGCTCTCCACGCTCCTCTCCCAGCCACAGCTTCAGTCGACCGATCCCCACACCCATCATGTCGGACTCTGCCTGCACCACCCCCACGCACACCCCCCAGGACTCTCTCATGGGTGTAGGAGGAGACGTACAGGAGGCCTTCGCTCTAGGTAACGACATGCGCTCGTCATCAATTTCACTTCAATTATTTACAGAAGCATGTTTTTCACAGGTCCCAGGCGAAACTTAAGGACTGACCTGCTTATTGCTGCTGACTCCATCACCAACACAATGTCATCACTGGTTAAAGAGCTCAATTCAGGTGAAATAGCCACATGCAATTGAATATTATGCTTTTTTTTTGGAGTATAGTGAATAAGAAGCAATTTTTTTGTTTCAGAGGGAGGGAGTGAGACCGAGAGCACAGTAGATTCAGACTTTGGACGTGACTTTTTGGCTGCAACATCTTCAGATTCTTTCTTCAGTTATAAGCCAAGGTACCACACAACATTACATTTAAATTTATGATTGCTTTTCTGGCTGTAAGTGTACCATTAAATTGCATAAAATCTACTACTCAGCATTATTTCCTATGGATGCAGTTCCCAACGGATGGATTATAATACAAATCCACAGTTTTTGATAGATAATTTACTATAGAAAGGGCGATGAAAGACTGCTGCTGTTACAAAAGTCGCCCTTCACTGATCAAACACGTGGTAATACAATAGCACCATCTAGTGGACAAAGTGGTCAAAAGACATGCTGACATGAAGAGGTTTCTAGCTTCTAGGTTTCAGTAAATACAGTACAGTATTTTACCTAAATGAAAATAATAATTCTGAATAAACAATTTATTACACAATCAAATCTCTTTCACACCTTGTGCATTTCAGGCCACATGCTTTGCAAACTTGTTATAACACTATTTGTCACTTTGAGGAATTAAGGCGGTCCTCTCTTTGTCACTGAAAACCATTAATAATAATAGTAAAACACATCTTTATTTGTATAGCACTTTTAAAAACAGTGTTTACAAAGCGCTGCACAGTCAGCATAAAACAGTCAAAAACAGTCAATAAAACAGTCATATCAAAAAGAAATACAGCAGATTAAAGCAGACAGATGACAAGAGAGACAAAACAAAGACAAAGTGGAACAGTAAAATCCAACGTGTGAAGTTTAAAACTAGTCGTTAAACTTCCCACGTTGATAGCTGTTTTGAGAGATAGGAACTAGTTTTATAGGCTTGATTACAAAGTTCAAATGTTGTGAAAACATAAACATGTTGGTCCTATTGGTCATGGCTCATTAGCCCAAAACAGTCATTATTTGTCATTTTTGGAAACCCCTTTGTGGAAATAGAACAGGTGTTTTGCTTTTGGAACCGTGTGGGGGCCTCTTCTCCACTGAGTTTAGGTACATATGAGGATATTTTCTTATTCCTACAGGACTCCTACTGGTGCCCAGTATCAGAACATGCAGCTAAAATCTGGAACAATCTTCCTGAAAATGTGAAACAGGCCTCTTCCCTGACAATGTTTAAATCCAGATTAAAAACAGCTGTGCACACAATTGAGGGATTTTTTTAATGTACTGGAATCATTTATGATTTTAATGCCTTGTGTGACTGTTTCTACCTTGTTTTGTTCAGCACTTTGAGTTGCCTTGTGTGTGAATTGTGCTATACAAATAAACTTACCTTTCCTATTGTCTGCCTTTTGTAGAAACTTGGCCAAAACTCAGACAGTCCTGGGTAAATAGGGTCGTCTGGTTAAAACTTTACCAGCCCAGTATTAGTATGAGCATTAGACTTTTAAATTCCTTCCCCTGTGTTTACTGTCAAATAAAACTCATAGATTGTGGCTTTGGGGGGCTGTGTTCATGTTTTGAAACGGGCCATTGTCTTTCAGACCCGCCAGTGGGGCAGACAGTTACGAGAACAATCTGGAGCAGCAGCTGGAGGACGAGCTTACGTTGGAGGAACTAATGAAGCACAGACCGGAACCAGACAAATCGTGCATGGTGAGTGCAAAGTTATACAAACAAAAGCACATTCTGAAATTATAACTAAAAAATTACTGGAAAAACAGTTTCTATAATGTACAATGACTCATGTTGCTGTCCTGAGGAACTTGAGCTTAACTGAATAATGTTAGCTGTAGAAAAGTTGGTTACTTTTGTCTATTGTCCCATTTGTAGATCATTCTAAATATTCATGAAATTCAAGCTATTCTTACTTGTCTAGATATAATTTAGAAGTTAGATACATAAATTATATATCGGCATGGTGGCTGTGTGGCTAGTGTGTCATGCTTCTCAGCAAGATTCAGCAAGAAGGTCCTGGGTTTGATTCCTGGTCGGAAAGGGGCCTTTCTGAATGGAGTTTGCATGTTCTCCCTGTGTGTGCGTAGGGTGCTCCGGTTTCCTCTACCACTAAAAACAAGTACACTATGCATGCGCCTCCTGTATGGCGACCTCGCTCCCATCTCTGTGTGGAGGGAGAGACAAATGCCCACAATGATTGTTGAGTGCTTTGTGACTCTGGTCTGTGAAAGGTGCTATATAAATAAAGATTACTTACTTACTTACTTACTATAACTTTATTAATTGTGGTTGTTTGTATCGTGCAGGTGACGTTGCAGCAGTGACCATGCGAGCAATAGAAAAAACAAGACACTGGACAAAACACTGGAATGATTCAAAGCAATTTCATAAGTACTGCTGAAACCAACCGTTTATGTAAAGATATTATATTTTTAACCAATCACTTATAGGCTATTTAAGCTAATACTGTGAGCTGATGTAAAGAGATTACTTCTGAGCTGTCTATTATACCACCGGTGCCATAAAATTACACAATTTGGAACTTTTTTTTGAAATGATATATGTTTTTGTTAAGTTAAACATATATTACACTGCCAGTGCCAATTGGCAAACTTACTTTGAACACATTAGATATTGCTTCATGTGCCATCTAAGATCAAAATTTATGACAATTGCAATATGTATGTAACTTTGTAACTCATTGGTGAAGGATGAATTTCACAACTGATTTTATACCATTGCTTTAAAATATTCTAAATGTTTTATTTATACTTTGGCCCCCAGCTATTTCATTTGATGTATGTATAAAATTGCACTCAGGCTTTGCTGCTGGAGTGATTGCTGAAGACGTGCATTATGTAGCCAACACTGTTACTTGCTTTATGTTCCGCATCTCTGAAGTTGAATGTGATGTTGGTTTTTCAACTAAAGAGACATTCTGCTTAGCAACAGGGTGGATGGAGTAAACACAACATGCTAAAACATGCTTTATTACCATGCATCTCCTCAAAGCTGACAAAAACTCCAATAAGATGTTTGAATCTTAACTTTTGATTCACTGCGTCACTTCCAGAAAGCTTTGTGGTGTTGCTTTAAATTGAGTTTTGTAATTTGAAGACCTAACCAAGAAAAAACCACAAGTTATTGATGTAAGCAACAATGCAACGTAAAAACAGTCACCCATCTCTGCTGAGGAAAGCATTACATCAAGCGATGATTCATGAATTGACAAAATACTGATTTTGGCACATGCCATTTTACACAGAGTTGTATGGCTAAAACACAGACTCTCAGACCTGTGGGGTGTGTGGGCATCAGTCACTTTGGCGAGTGTCAAGCCATTCTAACAAACAACTTAAATGTGTGAAATTTATTGAGTTTCCTTTTTTAAATCATAGTGATTTTGCATGGTGGTGATGCGTAATAAAAAATGTTGACATAATATTGGTCTGTTCGAGCCTTATTTCTAACGTCCTCACACTGTAGAAACTCAGGACTCAGGACTTGTATAAGTCAATAGTCATGATCATACTTCACAATGTTACAAAGACAATCAATCAACGTGTATCAAGTATAATATACAAAAGTCGTTTGGTTTGGAAAGGCCAAAACATTCACATTCGTATGCCATTGACCTTCTCCATCAGCATTCGCAGACCCGCAGACTCCAACTTCCTCACTCCCATCAAGACAAAGTGCTGAACCTTGGGAGACTGAGCCTTCGCTGCAGCTGCCCCGACTCACACTCACTTCAGAACTTCCAAGTCACTTCTTAAAATCCACTTTTTCTTAATATTATTATTATTATTTAATCGAGTACATTTTGTCTGTTGTGTGTTTTGGTACAAAGACTAAAAAGTGATGATGGATTTAATTAATGTTAGGGAAAAGCCTGAAGAAGGAAGGCTCCTGTGGACTCACCACCCGCAGGAAGATCAGTGAGGGGCTGGTGCTAAGTGTACTGGGTGCAGCTCTGACTCCAACTGTGAATGGTTGGTGGTGGTCGGAGGGTCGATGGCACATACTGGTTGCCTCGCTTCTGTCAGTGTGCCCCAGGGCAGCTGTGGCTACAGTAGTAGTTTATCACCACCATGTATGGAGTGAAAGAATAATGACATGTAAAGCGTCTTTGAGTGTCCAAAAAAGCGCTATATAAAACCGATGTATTATTATTATTTGCCATTAGTATTCTACAGAAGGCTAATACACAACGCCTATAACAGGGATGTCTGTTAATATATACAGTCTATGGTGAAGGCACACTTTAGTTAGGACTTGTCAAGGGGCGACGACCCCTTGTTCTGAGCTTTAAAAAAGGGTATAATAAGTCCATATTGATTCACATTTGACAGAATTGTTGCATCTCACCACATCTACATTAGCATCATATATGGAATTTTGTGACTCAATAGAAACCAATTCTCGATACATAGAAAGACTGGATTCCAGAGTTTACGAGGTACAGTTTGCGTCTATCAGCACATTCAGCAGTGCACATTGTGTTTATGATCTCAAAGACTACTTTGTGTTAGCAAGGTATAGGCCCACATAACATGACACAAATGGAAATAATGGTCTTAGTTTGGACATGCCTGCCTTTATAGAAGGTCTACTCACAAATCAGATTTCAGTAAATGCAATAATAGGTTTTGCAAGATACTGAGCAGAACCCTCAAATTCACAAGCCTCTGCTGGGGAACGTGTGAGATAGGAACCAAACCAGTACCACTACTCTACACATTGATTTTTTTTAGTTTAAACCATTTTCCACAAATACTGAATAATTCAACATTTTCCAGATACAAAACCCAACATCAGCGCGGCCCGGTGTTGTGAATGATCAACGCACCGACTCCTGATTGGTCGCCGGTGAAACAGCTGTCACGCCTTAACCAACCAGCAGAATGATTGACAGGTCTCCAGCCAATCAGAGCGCGCTGTAGTAGGCGTCAGACAGAGGGGCGTTTGAGGGTGGGGTGACTCAGCCGGAAAAGCTTTTCTTTACATCTTTAAACGTGAAAAAGGGACACTTCACGGGTGAGTGGCACAACATTAACAAACCACGCTTTGACCAAAAATATTCTTACGCTCATGGGCTGGTTTTAACGCGGGGTTTGCGGTTCCTTTGCGTCTTGTAGCAGCAGAACATATGGCGCCACTGCTTTGACTTGAACCTCCACAACAACCTGGACAATGTGTGCTTTTGCAGCCTTCAAAAATCATTCTTTTTGCTGAAATCAGTGTCATGGAGCAGGTATGAGTTAGCATCGGCTACTTATGAGATTGGATCAGTCGCATGCACACATCTGGCTCACACATGCCTCAACTGCATATCTCATTGAAACCAATACTTCAAGATAAGACAATGAAAGCTATTGATTGCTACGAATACTACGAATACTACGAATCACATGACCAGGCAATCACAAATTCAGCCCCAAATGACTTCATCTATCATAATTTCCCCATGATTGTATCCCATTCTGTATCTTGGTTCGACATACGATATGCAAATATTTGATTTAAAGCTGGGTTAATATGCTTACCATGCAAAATGTGAGCTGGTACACGTGTTTCTTTACACAGAAATGACAGGCTAGAACAGACATGTCAAAGTGGCCACCTGAAGCTATTGCCGAAGTCTCATCTCTGCTTTTCAAATTTGCAGGTTTTTGAATAGGGAAATACAAAGTCACGTGTGCATTAGGGGTGGGAACCTCAGGGTACCTCGATACGATACGCGATACAAAGCTCACGATAAAGATTATATCACGATATATGACGATTATTGATTTATTGGTCAGAAATATACCATATGCCAATTTATGGCATAAATAAAAGAAAAATGTTAAGTGAAAAAATACACTATTTTATGATAAATGGAATGGAGATTCATAATAATAATAATAATAATAATCTTTATTTGTATAGCACTTTTAAAAACAAAGTTTTCAAAGCGCTGCACAGTCAGCATAATAGAAAATAATAACATAATGCAAAGTCAAAATAATTAGATACATACAGATACAAACACAAGAAGGGAGACACAACAAAGACAGAGAAGACCTTAAAATACAGCATGTGAAGTTTAAAACTAGCAGTTAAAAGTTGTTTAAAATAAAGTGGGTTTTTAGAAGTGATTTAAAAGAGGATACTGATGGTTAGAGCTGCAACTAACAATTATTTTGTAATCGATTAATCTATCGATTATTTTTACGATTAATCGAGTAATCGCTTGGCTGTGAATTGTGTAGAAAAAAAAAAATTTCATCACAAAAAGTTAAAGTGGCAACACTCGAGGACGTATTGATGGCGTAAACTTAAAGTAAAATAGTTTTCGACTATTGTCGACTATTTCAATAATCGATTAGTCGTCGATTAATCGATTAGTTGTTTCAGCCCTACTGATGTTGCTAGCCTTATCTCCTCAGGAGCCCGGACAGAGAAGGCTCGGTCACCTTTCGTCCGGAGCCTCGACCTTGGAACGGTCAACAGGGACCCGCCCGAGGATCTAAGGCTGCGGGGGGGCTCGTAGGGGGTTAAAAGTTCATAAATATAGCTGGGTGCCAGACCTAAACGAGCTTTAAAAGTAATCGGTAAAATCTTAAAATCAATTCTAAAACGCATAGGGAGCCAGTGGAGAGACGCTAAAACAGGGGTGATGTGCTCCCTTCTGTTAATACCAGTGAGAAGTCTGGCTGCTGCGTTCTGGACCAGTTGGAGGCGGGAGAGGGATTTAGCGTCGAGACCGGAGAGGAGGGAGAAGATGAGGGCGTTGACAACTTTATGGAGATCGGGAGGAGTGAGAATGTTTTTAATCTTTGAGATGGTGCGGAGGTGAAAGAAGCAGGACTGGGTGGTTTTTTTGATGTGGGAGTGGAAGGTGAGTTGAGAATCAAAAATGACACAGAGGTTACGGGTGGAGGGAGTGATGTTTGAAGACAGGGGGCCGAGGTGGGTTTGGATGTGGGATATTGATGGAGGCGGGTTGATGAGGAGGACTTCAGATTTGGATGTGTTGAGCTGTAAAAAGTTGTGGGCCATCCAACTGTTCACCTCATTAAAACAGTCGACCACAGCAGCCAGACTTCTAGGGTCGTTTGGTCTCAGCGGGAGGTATATCTGTGTGTCGTCCGCATAGCAGTGGAAGGACACGTTACGATGGGCCATAACGTGCCATAATGTAGTCATATATTGAGTATTGACACTAATAAAAAAAAAAAATTGATACTTGACAAATGCATATCGATTGCGGGAGAAAGTATCATAATATTTCGTTATATTGATAAATCGTCACACTCCTAGTGTGCATTGTCATTTTTGTATTTGTAATATTTATTTATTTTGTTTGTTTTTTTGTCAATTTTATTCTATTTTTGAAATTATCTTTTATCGCATAGAAAATACACACAGGAACAGGACATGCATGGTCATACTTGGAAGTGACAGATAGCACTCTCTTGTCATACTTTCAGCTGTGTAATATAGTTCTGGTCTTACATTTATATTATATGGTTTGAACACTGCTTTGGTGGACATGCATATATTCCTGGTTCATTTCACTCTTTCAGTCTGATATGAGTTACATTGTGTTGACTGTTTCAGAAATAGTACCCCTTGGAGAGCTCTGAAGATAAAATGCCACCATTATTCTAATGCAGTATCCTTCACTGCGCTTATATTACAGATACTTTACTTTTCATTTAAATAGTAAACAAGAAAAAAGTATTTGCATGTCCTTTGTTGCCTTTAAGCTCCTTATTGCAAACCTCATATGACTCACTAATCCATAGAAACACGTTAAGTGAACCTTTTTAGTTAATTCTTTTTGTATTTAATTTTTTTTGTATTTAATTTTCAGGCTTACATTAATATCATTTATTGTGGAATAAAGTCTTGCGCCAATTTGCCTCATTAGAATTAAAACAAAAACTTTTCTTATGTAACCCTTGTGTCATTAAATTAACAAAAGTCAATTAGGAAAAGTCATATTTAGACAACGTTTTGATAAAATGTGGTAAAACAAGAAAGCAGGAGAAGACTTAAACATTGTGCGTACAAGTGTGAGAATGGTGGCTGGAAGCTCCTTTTGGATATAGGTTGAGGAGCTCAGTCACAAGGGGGAGCTTGGAGTAGAGCTGCTGCTTGCTCCTCCACATAGATATGAGCCGGTTGAGATAGCTGTTTTGAATGCCTTGTGGATGAGGAGGCTCCTGGGAAGGTTGAGGACACTCTGTGGGACTATGTTGAGCTGGTGGAGGTGTGTGTGGAGAGGGGTCGAGGCTTCTATAACTGCCCAAGTAAAAGCTTTAGAAAATGGATGAATTCAATATCTTTGGTTCAGCTTCCTTGGTGGAATTTTTATGTCGTGGCTGCACTCGTGGAAAATGTAGAAAATCCTTTGAAGACAAGCCTAAAGTTAACTGCCCCATAGTTGAATAGAGTGATGGTGAGAGTCAGCGCAGTCAGGAAGTAACATGTCTGAGTGAGACTATATTCTTCTCACAATACTTGATTGCACTTTGCTAGAAAGTGTCTAAACTGAGCCATTTACACTGTACATTAATCATTGTACAGCCTTTATTATAAACTTCAACACAAACTTTGAATCCATTACAGCAGCTCAAACGGCCATACGGGGGCAGCATTGTTTTTATCTTCTCTTTGGCAACTTCAACCTGAGCTTGTCCATGTTCACATTGTTCTCCACATAAGTATCTGCAGTTAATCGATTAGTTGGCATTACTACCTCTGCATAATCGGTTATTAGTTATTTGTCATTTTTATTACAGAAAGGCCTGTGAATATGGGATTATCAATCGACACAAAAACAAATCCTGAACCTCTTCATAGAGATGACTTGTTACACATTGTCTGATAAGAAATATTTTGTAAACACATCTTCATTTCATCCTAAAGTCAATATTGAATTATCTGAGTCATAAAACATAAAACCTCTTCTCAGCATCTTTGAGGCCAATTTAAGGTAAAAAAGGATTTACCAATAATGTTATTCATATTGATTATTATAGTATCTGAAAAATCTATTGATCAATAAGATTGAACTATTAACAGAAAACCTTTTATGCACATAAAATACATGTTTTAGACAAAATGATTTATAGTTTCTCTCTGAAATAACATGTAAATCTTAATTACAAATGAATATGTTGCTTTGTTGTAGTATGTTGCAGTGCAGGCACCATGTGGAAACATTTCTGTGTGAAACAAGTGCTGCATCACTGATGCTTTACAAAGTTTTATAAGACGTTTAAAATATCTGAATAATCGAGCCAATTACAGCGTTTAACTGGTTTCAGCTCTAATGTCCCTGATGTCACTGAGTCATGCTGCAAATAGTGAGTGGTCTTTTTATTTCTAGCCATGCTGAAGAACAATTATGAGTTTTCTATTTGAGTCTGTCTTAATGGGACAGTATTAAAAGATTTGAGTTTAAATTACATCTTAAATCACATTCTCCGAATACAAGATCATAAACTGATCACATTTGGCCTTTTCTAATCAAATGTATCTGTAAACTTTTGACATGTGATGCTACTTTAAGCACCCCTTCCTTTTTTTGTTATTCATAATGTTGGGCAATCATTATTTATAACAAAACATTGTTACGTGCTTTAGCCCTGACAGGGGTCTTAAATGTAGTCCAGGTACAGATTTGCTCGTCCTGTGAAAACATGATGTAAAGTATTTGATTTGAAAGTGTATAGACTTTAAACTCTCAACCCTTTTTTAAAACCACAAATTGCATTCGTTTTATTAAGGAGTCGACTTGAAAAGGCGAAGCTGGCTCCACAACAACTGTCAACCATCCCAAAACCAAGGAAATGAAACGGTTGTACAAAATTCCATTGGGTTGGGGTTTACATTGTCTTTACTTAATTTCAAGGCAAATAACTCACTCAATGTTTCACTCAAAGTACCCTTAGAAATTATTATCAAACATTTATTAAACTACACTATTGATATATAGCCAGTGTAGGCTACATGATAAAAGGACCCTATACCAAGAGAATAACATTTTGTCACAGAATAGAATTACTACCATGTCGTCATATAATAAAACTACATTGGAATCTATGCATTGCATGTTTGATAAATCTTATTACCGTCACTGTTATACCAGTACGCCTAGATCATTACATTATTGTCATTATAGTGTTCAAAGCGGAGCATAGTGTTTTGATGACGCCCAATATTTGATTATCTTATGTTTGGCAATCAAATTGATTGTAATGGTGTGCATCAGTTCTATTATGCATGCAAATGTGAGGCGGACTGTTATTCCTTGATTGATCGGCATTTGTTATGGGGATTTCCACTGACTCTCAGCTTTGAAGCCTGTGATTAGGCTTTAAAAAAAAAAAAACACTGATCAATATCATTTGGTGTCCTACTGAAAAAAGGGCCACAAGGAGCAAGTAGCCAGCCCCATCAGTCACGTGGTCCTGGCTGCGCAACGTCATGAGTCTGGAGATTTGTGAAGAATAAGCAGTAGATCCAGGCGAGAGGAGAGAGCCCCGAGGTGCGACACGTTCCGAGCCGCGTATCCGTTCGTTTCCTCGGCCAGAGACAGAGCAGAGCGTCTGTTCAACATTACAGCGACCCAAATGCCCGGTCCCACCCAAGCCCTTTCCCCAAATGGAGAGAATAACAACGACATCGTGCAGGACAACGGCACCAACATCATCCCGTACAGGAAAAACACAGTGCGGGGAGAGCGCACCTACAGGTAAAGGCTTTAAATGTCAGATGGATTTGCACCTTGGAATACGCACGCAAAAGCCACTGCTGCAACCAATGCCCTTGCGTCGGCGTAGCTTTGCACCCAGCTGCGATCTCTCTCCCTCTGTCATGTTGGCTTGCTCTCGGCTCCTCTTTAGCAGACACCATTTCCCCACCAGTCAGTCGGCTTTTTGCTCCCAGCCACATACGCACTGGTGTGGCGAGTCCGCGCTGTACCACCTCGCTGCTGTATTGTGCCAAGAATGACGCGCGCGTATAGAAATCACATTCATACACATTCATACCCATTTATGCAATCTTTTTAAAGCAGATTTACATTTGGCAGACGCCCTTTTTTTTTAGCACGTCCCACTTCTGACACTAGCCCTTTAATGAAATATATGTCATAGAATAGACTGCAATGTCCAGGTCACGGCGCCTGGGAGGCTCGGACCAGGCCCGGGGGGGTTCCCAGTCTCGACCCCGGGGAGGAGGCTGCCCTGCCCGGTGTCTGCTGGCTGTCTCTAGGCTAACAAAGCAGCTAACAGCGCACACATCCGCTTTGTTGACATGGGAGCAGAGGATGGCCCACTTTCCTTCCTCCCTTCATTCAAACGAGGCTTCTTGCACTACGCCCCCATTATTAATATTGATGGAATATTTCACTCATTCTGATGACCTTCCAGGAAATTGTGATGGATGGTTTGCCAGAATAAACATGCACGGTTATCATTACTCAGCTCATTACTTAAACGTGAGGTTGAAAATGTATAATCATGATGGCTCTAATCTGCCATGTTATTTTTATGCTGCTGTTTATATAGTTACTGTAGATTTGGTTGGATGACAGCAGTGAAAGCTTCAGTAAGAGTTTAGTATGTGGTTTCTTTAAACCTGGGGTACATAACTTTCAAATCACAGCATGATTTTTTTACTATCATAACATTTTCATTTGCTCAAACTCAAAACAATTTGCTTTTATCACCATTTCACATGCATGTATCTGCTGGCCTTTCTTACAAGTACGGTATGCAGAAGAATAATTATAATAATAATATTTCTAATAATACAACGAATACAGGAAGTTGTGGTCTGATTTGTTCACAAGACACTCTCTGTATTATTCATGAGGAAAAAGTTAGGTATGCCAGCTTTAAGGTGTCAATCAGTGTCAAACTTCAGCCGGTCTGTTTAATTGTCTTGTTGCCTAATAACAGAATAAACAAATTAAATAAGATTTAAAGTAAAAATAGTACTGTAACTATGTGAAAAGGTGATGTCCCTATACCTTCCTATCTGTCATATTGACCCCGATGCCGCGTCACATTCAGTAGTTTTGAAAAGTTCTAAAACTATGTTAGAAGTGATGGAGCAGAAAGCCCTGATGTCCCATTATAGTTTGAATGGAGTCTGTGTATCTGATATCAGTCTTGCTTGATAAATAAAATATGCCGCCATGAAGAGACTGCAGTACAGGAAACTCGATGCTTTGCAGTAGTCCCTCAAAACAAGTCCAGCTGCAAGTTAGAATTATGATGTATAAGCGTTTCATCTTTGGGAACCACGCAACCTTCAGATCTTTGCTCATGCCACGGTGGGGAAAAGTCCGGGTTGCAACGCACAGCACAGAGGGAATAATCCAGATGAATAGGAGAAATTGGGTTGACAAAAGTATCGATAAATCAGAATCTGCATGTTTGGAACAAGTATATAGCTTTGTGGTATATTGGTAATAAGAATAGTGTTATTTTGCACTATTGTTTATTTGTGTTATAAACTACAGCATACTTGCCAAACCGCATATCTAAACCACAATGATATTAAAAATGGGTGTAAAGTAACAATCAAGTTTATTAATTGGTCAAAATTAAATTTGAAGTGTTGGTATCCTGACTACATATAGGAAGCACAAAAATCCTTTGAATCAGACCCAATATGTTAAAAAGTATTTAGCGCACGTATAGAAATACAAGCACATTGGATATTATGAACTTAAGTACCTTCAGGACACACAATAATGACTGCGGTATGTATGTGCAACAAATGGAATGGACAGAATAATTAGCATAGACCTGACATGTGAAATTGTAGTAACATGATTATAATGCATGTCTTCATTGGGAACTTTTCATTATGGTGGAAGTGAAAACTCTTGACTTTGTTTGTGGTAGCCATGGCGATGGTGATATTCAAACTAAACATACCAACTGCAGGTGAAACTCTATTAATGTACTTCTGTAATAAGCTTACAATGAGGAACAATACACCAATACATGACAGATACATTACATACAGAATTACATATCCTTTGTTTGTTATGATGTTGATAATTTGGCTCACAGCTGTAAAAATCCCAAATAAAACATTACAATATTTGGACTGTAGAATAGATGGAAGATGGACTGTAAGCCATATTCATCAACATGAGGGCAAGCTTAAGGGCAAAAGGGCTCGTCTTTCTGCATGTAATGAATCCATATTAATCATCAGTTTCACATTTTATTTTAATTACAGAAATAAATGAACTTGGAACAATATTCTAATGTTCTGAGTCCCACCTGGATAGCAAGTATCGGTCAGGACGAAACCTTCAGATACTAGTAGTTTTAGTTTCGGTCATTATGGACATAAGAAATTAGATTCAGAAAACGTTATTAATCCCAGAAGGCAAGTAGTTTGCAGCAGAATCTCAGAGAAGAACACACAGACTCTGCACAAACACACAGCGAGTCAGGCCTTACAGTTCACGCAGCAGCAGGTTACAAGTTAAAGCAGTTTATAAGTTAAAACAATACAATACAATACACAACAGTTCCCAAAAATGTTTTATAGCAGAGGGCACAAGATAATTGGAAAGAAGATTTTAGATCAAATGTTTTCGAAGATCTCATACTTTTTACATTAAGAAAAAGAGAAATATTAAAGTGTATATTTTTGCAACTAACCAAGCATCTCTTCTGTCTGTTACAGCTGGGGGATGGCGGTCAACGTTTATTCTACCTCAATAACACAGGAGACTATGAGCAGGCATGATATCACTGCCTGGGTCAATGATCTGCTCTGTCTAAACTACACTAAGGTGGAGCAGCTGTCCTCAGGTGAGTGACTCTTTAGTTTCTAACACTATTCTCCGTTTGGTCACGCTCGGTTAAGCTAGTATCTGTGCCTTTATAACGTTTGAACCTGGGGGAACGTGCACACCTTCTTGCCAGAGTTGTCTAAAAATAAAGTTTCAGCCTGCCGCGTTCTCCTGCTATGACCATGTAATCCAATTTCAACTACTCCCCGATTAGACAAGGCAGCCTCCAGTTTGCAGCTCGAGTCAAATTCAGTGTCAACATTGTTTTTGCCCTCAACACAAACATTTGTATTTGTCATTTTAGTCATTTTTAATAGCCAAAATTTAAAATCATACTATGAACAAGTAAACATGTATTAATTTATTATAAAACAATACAAAAACACCATACAAATCTGAAGGCAAACTGTTTTTTGTAACTGACTGTTATTATTCCTAAAGTTTGGAAAGAAAATTTTACCTTTGTTAATATTTAGTGACAAAAAACTGACGTTTTGGTTTCATCCTAGTATCACAGTATACAGAAAGTCTGTGCCAAAAATCAAAAGATAGTGATCTTAACTTTGTTCAATGTCAATTTATTAACAATCATACAGACAAATTCAATCATGTAGCCGTACGGATGCAAGTGGCCGAAGGGAAGTTACACAAACTGAACCTGGACAGTTAACTTTTCTTCATTCATGTTTGGCTTCAATATTCTCACCTTTATGCTAACTATTAATACATGTGCTGTGCATTTTTAATAACATTTTTCTTTTTGAATCATTGAGATTTTTCCCCCATATTGTACGATTCTTAACTTATCTTTTATGCAAACTTGGTTCACTTGGTTTATCCTTAGATTTACTTGTAGAAAGGAACCAAACATGAATATAGGGATTCCTTGCTATGACTGCAATGAGCGATTTATACCTTGACAAGTGAAATATGTTACTGGCATTTGATGTTATTTATTCATCTTGAAATTAATTCTTATTATTTGATTCCTTTTAGGGGCAGCCTACTGCCAGTTCATGGACATGCTCTTTCCTGGATGCATCAGTCTTAAAAAGGTCAAGTTTCAAGCTAAATTTGAGCACGAATACATTCACAACTTCAAAGTATTGCAACAATCTTTCAAAAAGATGAACGTGGATAAGGTGAGTTTTGGAAACGCACACTTTACTCTACAAAACAGTACATCTAAGTGGATTGTGCTTTGTTTTACAGATTATTCCTGTGGAGAAACTGGTAAAGGGAAGATTTCAGGACAATCTTGATTTTATCCAGTGGTTTAAGAAATTCTTTGATGCTAATTATGACGGAAAAGAATATGACCCAAAGGAAGCGAGACAGGGGCAAGATGCCATCCCTCCCCCAGACCCAGGAGAGCAGATCTTCAACCTGCCAAAAAAGTCCCATCATGCAGCTAGCTCCCCCACCGCAGGTACAGTGTCTCTTCTCCAGAAGGTCAACTTTAAAAGGATATAAGGGTCGGTCACATAGGTTTTTACAAACAAACTAGGCCAAGTGGCCCGGATCTCCGCCACAGGGGTGTGAAAACGGCCCACGGTCACATGAACGTTTTGTCTGAACCGTGCCAGGGAAATTGTGCTGTAGTACAACACTCGGTCCAGCTGGTGGCGCTAATACTAACACCAGAGACTACCTCGTTGCCCTGGTTGAGATCCGCTTCTTTTCCTGTTTACATTCTGCTGCTGTAGCTAACAGCTAACAGCTACAGCTAAAGAAGCTAACAGCTTAGTACGGATCGCGTTGTTTGGGGAAAGACACATCTCACACTTGTCCAAATTGCTCTGATGCAAAGTGCAGCAGTTCAGTGGGTAACGTGTGAATGCACAAGTGTGTGTTTGTGTGTGTGCGCGCCGCGGACACACACACACACACAGCAACGAGCGTAAGAGCGCTGAGAAATGAATGAATGAGAATGAAGGAATGAAAAGTGTGGAGTACGAGCATAGCGACCGCAGACAGGGAGGTTACAAGTGTGTGTTTGTGTGTGTTCTGGGGATTAAATAAAGACTGATTCTTGAATGTCTGAAGTGTTATTGCAATAGCACCACACTGAGAGCGAGGGTCAGGACAGAAGAGGGCTATACCCGTAGGAAACGCTTCCCTTTGGCTCTGCAGAGAGACACTCACCCAGCGCCCCTCCAGCTCAGTACGTGGGCTTATATGAAAGGTTTGACACAAGCGGAGAATACAAACGTGCAGGAGAGACGTGTGTGAAAATGCATGTCACAGGAAGACGTAATGTGACGCGCAATATCAAGTCCTCCCCGCACCTACAGTAATCCCCCACTCCCCACCACCCGCCACACTGACCCCCTCATCTGCGCAGGGAAGCGGGCCCTGGCCGCAGTTTTTAACCGGGCCAGAGCATGAGTCCAGGAATCGTGCTCTGGCGCGAATGCCGCGGTCAGATGGCACCTAAAACCCGGATCTAATCGCGAAGCGGGCCCTGGCACAGTTTAACCGGGCTTTAGGCTGCGCATGTGACCGCAGCCTAAGACGACAACGTTGATTTTGTTCCAGGAGCATCAAGAATGAGTGCAACAACCCCCAAATCCACAACACCCACGTCGAGACCCTCGTCGGCCAAAAGGACCCCCACAGCCACCTTTACGACTGCGAAAGGAGAGAAGGAACTGGAGGCTCAAGTCATACAGCTCACAGACCAGGTACAGGAGAGAGGATGTAGTAACTTTACACGCTGAGGAGTTTTTACCAACATTCACAGCCTTAAAGACCATATATGTTTTAGTTTTGCTACAAAAATATTGGGAGAGTCCTTTGTCTTGATTAACTACTCAAAAATATGTTAAACCGTTGAACCTCAACTGCACATAATTAATTCCTGGACTCATCCCCAGATGTATAAGCTCGGCTTGATCCAGGTGGGTTTGGGAGTTTTACCTATAGCGCATGGTTTTAGATTCAAAACTGAATTAACTGAACTTCTAATCAACACCAGAAAACACAATGGAAGAATAGTTTATTAAGACACTGGAACAATCAGACCAAAATGTATTTACATGTTGCTGATCTGATTAAAAGTTTATTCTGTTCATATTGACATGCATATGCTTAGATCAGTACCACTACGTGGTCTTCATTTTATTTGGCCTGTTGTGGATATCGTGTAATCAAAAGTGGTCTATAACTGTATAAATCAATTGAACCAGAATCTCTCATCTCCCTTTGAATTATATTTCCAATGCTCCCTTTTTATGGTAAAACTGCACAACGCTGAATTCAGGGAGTGACAAACAGCAAGTGACAGGTCAGATTTAGGAGAGATTTAACACCTGCTCCAATGACGGCTATAAAAGCAAATATTACGTTATTTGTATCTGATTGGTCAATTTTGTGTTTTTTATTTTTCATTTATTTTTGCTTTAATAATACTTTACCAGAACTGACTAACTTCCCAGGAGGTGGAGATTATGTTAGAAGTGAGAACATTTGTGAAAGGGCAATGCCATTTTCATAAGACAAAAATATCACCCATTCACAAAAAACACACAATACACAATACATGCTTGAATATAATCTCACCTGCCTAATGTTTACATGTTCCTTTTGAATCATGTTTGTCATGTAAACGTTGTCCTTTGTCACAGGTGAACACATTAAAGTTGGCATTAGAAGGAGTGGAAAAGGAACGAGATTACTACTTTGGTCGACTGCGAGCGGTGGAGCAGCTATGCCAGGAACAGGCAGAAGAAAACGCTCCTTTTGTGGATCAGCTAATGGAGGTCCTGTACGCCGCAGATGACCAGGTGAGTCCTTTACTTTCTCAATCATGCCCCTGCTGTGTTTTCCATGTCCGTTATAATTCAACTGGAGACCCACATGTTGCTCCTATTGGCAACCATTATACATATTATACGATATTATAGTTACATATTTGTTACAGAATTCTGTCAGAGTACTGCCTTCTGAATACTTTCTCTCTCATTTGGATAATGGAGTAAAGGTGTTGCATGGATTTGAAATTAAATTAAGACATTGAAGAATTGGATTCACTGAATTGTTGATAAAAACTTAATTTACTTTTGTAGATTTCTTTAAATTGACCCTGCCCTTATCAACTCGAAGACAAATAGAGACAATATTTCAAGATGTTTTGTATCAATGTCCTTGGTTTCAGAGTCTGTTTCTGTTCATAATTCAGTTTTATAGTAATGTCGAATCCATATAAAGCAATAATTTGTGAAAACGTACAGTATTATGTATTTTAATCAAAATTCTGTTTTTATCATACTCTCAGCTTGGTTAGTTGATGTCTGATCATGAGTACTTAGGAGGGTTTGAAAGAAAAAAACCGACCAAGTATTGATATGTGTTGGATCTGAATAATATGAATCCATTAAAGCCTAGGAACAATTATGGACGGAAAACACTGGCTCGGGTTTGGATTATTACTAGTACTAAAGATATTGTAGCCTGCTCTTGAATTTTTCCCCAGATGTGGTCTGCAATAATCACATTTTAGTGGCATAATCATGTGGACGGACTGTGATTTGAGAAGAAAAGCCTCTTTGTGTTTGATATTTTACTGGGTCTGCAGCTCTCACATATAAAAACAAAAAATTTTCTTTAATTTTCAGGATAGTGGTGAGTTGGCAGAGGGAGACTGCCACGACGGGGAGCTCCTCGCACACGAAGTCCCAGACGATCAAGAAGAACAAGACGAATACTGATGGTCCCTCCCACAATCACACAACCTTTCCAATCTGTGAGAACTGTGCAAGGATTTCATTTCTCCACAAGTTTTGTTTTGATCTCAAAGACTGAGCACATGAAGCAATCGGCGTAGAAACACCATCAGTTTTTTTTTTACATCCTCAACTCTGTGTTTTTTGTGACTTTCGGTAAATGCTGTCGAAGCAAGCAGCAAACATCTCAAAACAGGTCAGATCATCGCACGTTCCTAAGGGATCGCGTGGACTTACCACTTCAAGTTCTAGTCGTGATGCTAGTTTATAATGGGTAGCGTTTTACCCATGTGTTAACTTTGTATTTTATTCTGTTTTAATTTGAAAGCCGCCATAAATAGTCAGACAATGCAATAAGAAATCGTATTCTTTTATTTAAGCTCCCTCCATTTTTTGCACTGATAGTTGATTCCAGTACTGAACAATCTGTCCATTTTATTTGTATTTATTATTAAGCCTTAGGAGTAGTGCATATTTACTTAACACGACAGACAACTTCATGAAGGAAGACAATGCCGTCATTCAACTATAGGAACAATTTACAAGTAATGTTTGTGCTTGTTCTTCATGCCCTGCAAAGTTTAAGCTGTTTATTGGTTTGGTACCGCCGTGAATATACAGGGTTTTTTTTCCTTACAATGCCGTGTTTAGTGTAAAAGCTAACTTCATCTATTTATGTTTTGTCAATTTAGTTTTCTGGAAAAAAACATTGAACACATTGAGAAACATAATTTTCCATAGTATACCCATTCTTAATATTATAAGAACTAATATAGACCTGGGCGATGCACCATAATGCTTATGTCATCATGTGTAAATGATAAGGAATGTAAACCTGTACTGTCAATAATAATGAATGGTAAATGTTTTTTTTATTGTTCCACTCATGCATTCCCCAAAAATGTGTTGCATGTTTGCATTTTATTTGTGAATAACTTGACCTGCTTTTTACATATTTAATAAAAAACATATGTTAAAGGAGCAATATGTAATATTTGCATGTCAAGTCATCATTAAATGACCCGAATATTTCAAAAGGCATTATTAAATCATACTCTTTTCGAATTCATCTTTAACTGATAACAGTAGTTCAGCCGAGATATTTGATTATCAAAATTAGTTTTACGACCCGTAAAAGTTGTTATTGTTTTGATTTTGATGTCCTACCCTCCGCCGTTTCGCCAATCAGGAAGTGTCATGTAAGTCCGTGATCGGGTTGCCAGAACTCCGTGCGGCTCATTAATCTCAGAGGTAAAATAACATGTGGCGCAGAACTAAAAAAGGTCTTGTTATGACTCTCAAATCATTAATGACAAAACAAAGACTAAAACGAGGATTTATATCGGGATGCCTTTGAACAATTGAGACAGCTATAAAAGTTCACGTGTGATGCAGAATTTTCTAGTTTAAGCCCGTTCTTCACAATTTATTGTGAACCGGTGGCCTAGCGGTCTAGCTGTGCGCTTACGAAGTAGTAACCCGGGTTCGATCCCGGGCTATGTCTTTTTGTATTTATTGCATGTTATCACATTCTATGACAGATTTCTCTAAAAACGGTAAAAGATGAAGGTCAAGACGTTTTTTTTCAGATTATAGCTTAATTGTAAAAATAATCATTTAAGACCACATGTACCCCAATTAAAATAATGTTAGTCTCTTTTTGATGTGGGACTTTCACATGTTTGTCTAAAAAATAGGGAATAAATAAAATTGAAAGGTGATATCCTCTTGAGCAAACCCTGATGTTGATACGCTGAAGAAATACGTTCCAACATCCATTCTTCCCACTCCTATTTTGGACATCAATTTCTTATTTATTTTTTGCATAAACTATGCATAATTACAATGCTTTTATTTTGTTTTTGTTTTTTTATCTCAAATGTCCAAATAATAATAATAAAAAAACATGAATCAAAACATTCATTCAGCATTAGCACGGCTGTCATGCCAATGTGAATGGAGACGGACAAACAACTGATAACATAATTCCCTGTGTTTGCTGCTGGATTTGGTGTGAATCTGGCAACCTGAGTCAGGGAGAGTGGGAGAGGACTACAAAATATTGACTGTGACTGCAGTACCACTTTTGGCCAGATTTTTACATATTGCTCCTTTAAGTGAACTTTGGCTTTAAATACTCGATTTTTATACTTATCATATAGAATGTTGGAACGGCAAATGTTCCCAAAACTATTACTTACTCGACCAAACGGTACTGACAAAACTTGAAAAAGTATTTAGGAATAAGAATTAGCCGGACTATCTATGATAAATACCAATTCTTACCTTGTCTTTTCAATCTTACCCCTAGAAATTGAAATTTAAGCAAACAGCAGTTTGGCAAACAAAACATTTCCATAAATTGTCAGCAATTTAGTCATTGGTGAAAGTATTGAGCACTTGTTCTCTGAATGATCTATAATATGTTTAGTCCAATTTAAAGCATTAATTAGCAACATTGTTCAATACAAAAAAATTTAAACTTCAAAACTAAATTCTCTAATCATTAAATATTCATGTAAAAAAAATTATATTAATTTTATTTTAGATTTATACAAATATATTGTCATTATTAGTATTATTCATATTTGGTATTTTTGTATGTACCACTAGTAAATAATGCTGTGTGATTTGAACCAATGTTGAAAATAACAAACATTATTTACGTGTAGCATTAGCTCTGTTAGCATCAGCTGTCTGCATGCTGCATTCACAGGCAACCGGAAAACTGATCGATAACTCATTTTGGTTCAGTTGTGGGAGACGTAGGGGGCACACAATCTTAAACGATAATACAAAAATACCTTTTTCTCTACTTGATATGCATGTGAACATTTTCAGTCATTTATTTTTAGTATAACGGCGTGCAATATAATAAGTTATAATGACAATCACTCACTCACGCCCTGGCCCCTCGCTGAGTTAGCGCGGTATCCCATGTTAGCATCCTGTTTCACCCGTGGATCACTGGCCATAACATTTCACGTTAAACTGTAGGAATTAACCTGACGTTGTTTTAATGTCTTTCGTAGGATTTTAAACCATGTCCCTGAAGAAGGTAAGATACTATAAAAGACATTGCGTAATTAGTTAGCTAGCACTATTGAACAAATGCATTATTTTTCCAATGAATGTGTCTTAAACCCAAGCCAATTATTCCATTAAAATGTCCCATGAAGACAAAGAATCGGTCTCATATAGTTAGATAATATTGTATTGGCATGTGTCGACATCTCGTTACAGTTGCTTTGTGTTGGTGTTGCGAAAGTTTGGTCAGTCGGCTCCAAAGTGCTTTCCTTTCACTTTATTCAGAGGAAAAAGTATACCTCGGACCTTAAGTGCGTTTTCTTTCCGGATGAGCTGGATTGCGGTGTGCAGAAAGGTGGAAAGGACTCTGCACTTTCAGTAACATCTTCAGTGAGGAGCTGGGAAAAGTGTGGAGAAAGTTTTCTGGATACTACAACCAAAACGGTAAAGAAACTATTCATTTAATATAAGTGTTGTTGTTTCTGTACCTGTAACCCATTTGTTATAGAAGCCCAAGTCATCAGGAAGGACTTTATCTGCCATCAGAAAGTTGGCTCTTGACTTAGGTGATTCTCTCATTTTTTCATGTTACAGAACACAAAACTCATGGATGACATTGTGCAATCACTAATAGTACTGTAATGTGTTATCTACGCAGATCCTTGTGTTGCTGAGCCTCATGAAGAGCCATTGCAAATTGCATGGAGCGACAGTGATAAGTCTGAGGAGGAGACCAAAGAGCCAAAAGTTTTAAAAGTTGTTCCTAAAAAGCGGGCTACAAGAAGTGGTGTTGTCAGCTGTCAGTCATACACCAGCGCCCTGAACCTGCTCACAGACTATAATGGTAATTGTGTTCATAAGTAATTTGTAATGTGTCACAAGTTGCATCACTATGTGTAAAGACTAAATACAAGAATATGAACGTAAAGAGAACAAACTGAGACTGTAAGGATGTGTGAAGGGGTAAATGTTTAGAAATTGGTTCAGGATTGTATAAAGATATAATATAATATTTGTTTACATGTATTATTTTGGGGTCCCGCCTATAAACTAATGGCGTTTCCTGGGATTTCCCTTTTACCATGCAGAAATTACAATGTGCATCATTTTGATTGATTGATTGATTTGAATATGAAAATTGTGTTTTTTCAGAGGAACCTCCTGTTATTGACACGGACAGTGACATTGTTCAATCAGAGGAAGAAGTGGACGGAGATAGTGGGCAACTCATTTCTGACTGTGACTCAAATGGCTCTGATGAGGCAGAGGACAAAGTGGCTCCTCACTCTTCAAATGTATGTGTTATTTTTGTTTTGCATATATTGGTTCCGAATACGAGTGTAACAAGATAATTATTTATTCACAGCTAATCAATTGATTATTTAGCCATTAATTAATTGATTTTCAACTATGAACAGACTTGAAAATACAGAGAAGAGTTTTTATGACCCAGAGATAATTGGGAAATTACTGTAGAATTTGATGAATATGTGTATATCCTCAAACAACTAATGCTTTTGTCAAACAATTATCCACAGAACTTTTGTGATCCAAGCAACTAATTGATTAAATAATAATTCAACTAATCCATTCTCAAAATATTTGCTAATTCCAGCACTATCTCAGGACATGCCATTACATAGAATTCAGAACGAAAATCAGAATTAATTTATTACTATTGTAAGGAGCAGAAAGTCTCAAACTTGGAAATTGCTTTGGCTCAAGGCGCAAACAAGTTGTATGAGTGAAAATAGATAGTAGAAAATAATAAGCATGCAAGGAAAAAAAAACAATCTTCATAAAATGTCTTAAAATGACTAATACTATTTTACTATGCTAACAACTCTGAATTAATTACCTGCAGCACCATCAAAAATAGTGAAACTGATAAAAGGATAGTATTTACAGACCACTTGGAAATGAACACTCCTCAAATTGAATGACACTGATAAAGACCAACAAAGAAAATTAATTATACCGTTCTTCCTCACTTTGATGTAACTCTACTTATGACCACTAGATGGAGCTAAAGTATTTTGTGTTAGGACAACCAGCTGTCGACTACATCTGAGTGTAATAAAACGTTTGACTGATTTCTGGTCCAAGTTTCTTAGTAAAAATCTTGTTCATTTTGTAATTGTTAAATGCTATATGTAGATTTGCTGCTATAGATCCTTTATAATATAACTTTAAACTAAAGTTTCAAAGTTCACATGCTGAGGTGGTTGTAAATCTGGTGGAATGTTCCAGCTCTTCTATACAGCTGCTACACTGTCACCACGTTTTAAAACATGTTCTTTTGATACATTCAATGGAAAAATATGATAATTTCAGTTATGCACAGTATCAAGTGTGTATTTTAAATCTAAATCCGTTTTTATTTAACAGCTTGTGTTCAGTCAAAGATAAAAGGTCCATATAAACATTTAGTGCTTGATGACACCATTTTTGTCTCATTCAAACTTTACACCACATTAGTCGAATGAATCAGTGCTGTTTAACTCTTCCTTCCCAGAAGTCATTCAAATACTGTTTGACAAAGGTTGGGCAGGTATCGGGAGAATGTGGGAGGAGTGGTCAAGTGCTGTGGTCAAGACGGCAAACATCACTGCTCAATACTGTTTGTAATTGATCGGTTTGACCAGTTGTTGTGGTTTAGCTAAAATGATACTCGTAACATATAATAATAATAATAATAATAATAACACATTTTATTTAAAGGAATAGTTCACCGTTTTTACATACTGACATATGTTCTTACCTTACCTTAGACTAGTTAATATGTACCTGTCTGGTCTTAGTCCGTGCGCTCTGTCATGCAAACGGAGCAAAAACGGGAGCACAAACGCAGCCTCCTCTGTATACTGTATAGGACCCAAAAGGTAGCTCCCGCTAGAAGCTACCAAACTCTTCCAAGTGTTCCCTATTAAATGTATATAGTTACGTGACGTGTTACACTGCAAAGTATAGTAACACAGAAATGTAACAGTTGATTTTCTCAGCGGATAAAACGGGTACTATATTGTGAGGCGTAGTAATCTGAGGAGCGCTACGTCCGCGCACTAACTTCTCTCCGGAGACTTCTCTCTCGCTCACTTCCGTCAATAGAAGCAGCGTGACTTGTAGTACGGAGAGAAGTTAGTGCGCGGACGTAGCGCTCCTCAGATTACTACGCCTCACAATATAGTACCCGTTTTATCCGCTGAGAAAATCGACAGTTACATTTCTGTGTTACTATACTTTGCAGTGTAACACGTCACGTAACTATATACATTTAATAGGGAACACTTGGAAGAGTTTGGTAGCTTCTAGCGGGAGCTACCTTTTGGGTCCTATACAGTATACAGAGGAGGCTGCGTTTGTGCTCCCGTTTTTGCTCCGTTTGCATGACAGAGCGCACGGACTAAGACCAGACAGGTACATATTAACTAGTCTAAGGTAAGGTAAGAACATATGTCAGTATGTAAAAACGGTGAACTATTCCTTTAAAGGTGCCTTTCAAAACGCCAAAGGACACTGTACAGGACATAATAAAAACATTAAAAGCAGGAGCAACAGAATACAACAGTGCAAAATGGAATGGTGCGTGTTAAATAATGTGTGTAAGGAAAGTGATGACAAAAAAATCATTGCAAGTATTATTTCAATGGCATTACTGAGTTTACACACAGTATGTAAATGCACTTTTTGAGCTGGTAAGCACCGACAGCGGAAGCCTGTGGACAGATTAGCGTCACTCTTGCTTCCTTTTTTTCAGACCTTTGCTTCAATCAGCATTCTGTTGTGGAGTTTTCACATTACAGAAGTTGAGGCTTGGGGCTTGTGACATATGATTAAAAAAACAAGTTTATAGATACCTTTTAAATTAGAGAGGCATTAATTTACTGAAATGCAGACCCTTGACATTCAAACAACATTTTTGAACATTGGTCATCTGCCCCTTTATGGACCATTGACTTTGTGTTTTTTTTAGGGCTGTCAAAATTATCGCGTTAACGCACGTTAATAAAAAAAAATCATTAACCGCGTTAAAAAAATTAACGCATTTGACGCATGCCCATGCATCCCATAATAACACTCAGAATTCCACGGACACATGCGCGTGTGTAAGATGGGGACAGAGCAGGTAGGCCCTCTGGGAATTCAAGTTTTGAAAGAATACACGCGTGACCGCGGGGCACTTGTATAGTTTCCTGTATGAACTCTGCATGATGAGCTGCGGGCGCGACAGCGCTCTGGACAGCAGTTCCCACTTCCAGCGGCTGTGATCACGGCGAATGGCGCCGCGTAATGGGAACATATCCAAGACCACGCACAGAACTATTACAGAACTATTCTCTAGTGTGCGTACGTGTCTTTGCGTAACCGATGCACACAATATGTACAGCGCTGAAGCTGGACTGCGGAGACTCAGTCTCCTTCGTGTCTTCTCCCGAAGCGCACTCGCTAAATTAAAGCTGAGGTACCTAATTTTCCTTTCGACCATCAGTTCATGTTCGTTGTGCCAAAAAAGTAATGGTGTGAGCAAATCAAACAGATTTAATGACATTCTGCATTTCAGACTATTTTGAAATGTCCCTCATCTGTAACAAACAATAGTTTTGGTCTGAGTCTAAACAAAGACAAAATGTTAATAATGTTAATTCCATTTTGTATGGATTTATTGTTATAACAAACAAATACAGTACATATGTTCACTAAGCTGTCATTTATCTTTCCATTCAAACAACAATTTACAGAAAAATACAGTGCCTTGCGAAAGTATTGAACCTTTCAACATTTCGCCACATTTCAGGCTCCAAACATCAAGATATAACATTTTAATTTTTTGTCATGAATCAACAACAAGTGGGACACAATCGTGAAGTGGAACGAAATTTATTGGATAATTTAAACTTTTTTAACAAATAAAAAACTGAAAAGTGGGGCGTGCAATATTATTCGGCCCCCTTTACTTTCAGTGCAGCAAACTCACTCCAGAAGTTCAGTGAGGATCTTTGAATGATCCAATGTTGTCCTAAATGACTGATGATGATAAATAGAATGCACCTGTGTGTAATCAAGTCTCCGTATAAATCTATCTGCTCTTTGATAGTCTCAGGGTTCTGTTTAAAGCACAGAGAGAACCATGAAGACAAAGGAACACACCAGGCAGGTCCGAGATACTGTTGTGGAGAAGTTTAAAGCCGGATTTGGATACAAAAAGATTTCCCAAGCTTTAAACATCTCAAGGAGCACTGTGCAAGCAATTATATTGAAATGGAAGGAGTATCAGACCAATGCAAATCTACCAAGACCCGGCCGTCCCTCCAAACTTTCATCTCAAACAAGGAGAAGACTGATCAGAGATGCAGCCAAGAGGCCCATGATCACTCTGGATGAACTGCAGATAACTACAGCTGAGGTGGGAGAGTCTGTCCATAGGACAACAATCAGTCGTGCACTGCACAAATCTGGCCTTTATGGAAGAGTGGTAAGAAGAAAGCCATTTCTCAAAGATATCCATAAAAAGTCTTGTTTAAAGTTTGCCACAAGCCACCTGGGAGACACACCAAACATGTGGAAGAAGGTGCTCTGGTCAGATGAAACCAAAATCGAACTTTTTGGCCACAATGCAAAACGATATGTTTGGCGTAAAAGCAACACAGCTCATCACCCTGAACACACCATCCCCACTGTCAAACATGGTGGTGGCAGCATCATGGTTTGGGCCTGATTTTCTTCAGCAGGGACAGGGAAGATGGATGGAGCCAAATACAGGACCATTCTGGAAGAAAACCTGTTGGAGTCTGCAAAAGACCTGAGACTGGGACGGAGATTTATCTTCCAACAGGACAATGATCCAAAACATAAAGCCAAATCTACAATGGAATGGTTCACAAATAGACGTATCCAGGTGTTAGAATGGCCAAGTCAAAGTCCAGACCTGAATCCAATCGAGAATCTGTGGAAAGAGCTGAAGACTGCTGTTCACAAACGCTCTCCATCCAACCTCACTGAGCTCGAGCTGTTTTGCAAGGAAGAATGGGAAAGAATTCCAGTCTCTTGATGTGCAAAACTGATAGAGACATACCCCAAGCGACTTGCAGCTGTAATTGCAGCAAAAGGTGGCGCTACAAAGTATTAGCGCAAGGGGGCCGAATAATATTGCACGCCCCACTTTTCAGTTTTTTATTTGTTAAAAAAGTTTAAATTATCCAATACATTTCGTTCCACTTCACGATTGTGTCCCACTTGTTGTTGATTCTTGACAAAAAATTTAATTGTTATATCTTTGTTTGAAGCCTGAAATGTGGCGAAATGTTGAAAGATTCAAGGGGGCCGAATAATTTCGCAAGGCACTGTATGGCATAATTTTGCCAATAGTTTGAAATGTGATTAATTACGATTAATTAATTTTTAAGCTGTAATTAACTCGATTAAAAAAATCGTTTGACAGCCCTAGTTTTTTAAAATAATTTCTTGTGTTTGATTCTCTGATCTGTGTTGGCGAATTCAAAAGTTTTGTGAAGTCCTCTGTGATAACTACTGTTGTGATTAAGGGCTAGACAAGAATAAATTGAATTGAATCGTTCAAACTGGGGCTATATATTAGTTTTTGTATTTGATGTATTCACTGAAACTTCCAGATGCTTTCATTCTGCCAGTACCGAATTCAACCGGACCTAACAGGCTCCACTGCAGAATTACTACTGCTGATGATAAGCTGACTCATTCACAATGTGCTGCCAGGTTGTAGTGTTGTTGTACTTGCACCAATTACACTCAGGTGGCGCTGTGTGGACCGACTGTGATCTCTGAAAAGTGACCACTGAGCGTTGGCCAAGAGTCAACGCAGGGCTGCGCTAGATCAGGCTTTGTAAACAGGGCGAGAGTATAAACATATTTTTACTACTGTTTGTCCAGGAATATACTCGAGGATCTATCATGACTATGTTGTTATAATACACTGAAGCTGCTAAAAACATTTTTGAGAGCCGGCCAGGGACATGGTGTTCCTCCCCTCTCTTGCTCCTAGCAGCATGTTGCAGTGTGACGTCTGCTGGCACGCGGCCGAGCAGGGTCAAGTTGATTCAGATAGAGCAGCGGAGCATGTTGTCTCGCTCAGCCCGCTCGGTATGCTGGTCCTGTCGGCACATGACCGGAGCTTGCCTCGCACTGGGATTTTTCCATGACTGAATGTTCCCTGCGGTGTGCTTGAGTGAGACAGCAAAAAGGCTGCATTGTTGTTGGGTTATGATCAAGCAAGTTAATCAACCCACTGCTGGACTTTTTGTTCCCTAAATCATCTATGTTGATTATTTCTTTAACTTTCTTTTTATTTTACCAGGATAATCAGAATGAGATGCAAAAAGCTCGGCAAGAGGCATTTACAACACAAGTGTTTGCTGCACGGTACACAGATTCTGTTTCCCACATGTTACAGATTGAAAGCGGTATGATATTAAATCTGGTGCAGCCATTTTTTTAATGTAACTGCACATTGTCCTTAAATAAACAAACTTAAGTCGAGTTAAGAAGATCGTGGGCGTAGCAACAAATCACACGGAGAGGGCCAGCTCCTCAGGTACATACTTTAATTCAACTTAACATGTTAAGTCAGTTTTTATAGTTCGTACATGAACTCACCACCGAGTTCACATACCAACTTCATAAACTAATACTGATCCGTTATTAGAAACAATAATGATCATTGATGGTGTGCCATAGCTACAAGATTTTGGATTTTTAATACTTTTCCATAAGAATTTACAATCTGTAGTTGCACCATACTGAAAATACATTTAGCCTCTTTTGGTCAGATTTTATTGACATTGTTTTGATTGACTTTGAGTAGTCGTGTTTGTTGCATGATAACAAATTAATCAAAATCCACCCAACCTCATTGATCTGGTGACATATTTTGTTTCTATGGATAAAGTCAATATAAAGGGACTGTATGTGCCATTTACATTTTGAATCATAGCACAACATTTATATTTGTCCCCCATATACATGTAAAAACAAACAAAATTTAAAGGGGATTTATTCTACATAATTAAATACATTAAATACATGATGGACATTATGTTAAAGGTTTCCAAGCAGATCATGGAGCAGAATGTCTCTCATCTAGGTTGCCAGTTTCTTTAGTAGCAAAAATCAAGAAAAAATTGCTGCACTGTTTCTAGCTGAGCAGGTGATTTGCATCTACAGCCTTTGGTGCGAGTGAGAGTGTTATCTACTCGGCCACCGTGCCGCCCCGTGAGTGGTTAGCACTCTCGCTTCTCAACAAGAAGGTCCTGGGTTCAAATCCCGGTCGGAACAGGGTCTTTCTGAGTGGAGTTTGCATGTTCTCTCCGTGTCTGCGTAGGTGCTCCGGTTTCCCCTACCATTAAAAACATGTACAATATGTTAATAGTCTGGCATGCGCCTCCTGTACTGGCGATCCCCGCTCTCTGTGGAGTGGGAGACAAATGCCCAAAAATAACAAGTACTGAGAGCAAGTACTGTGTATGGAACGCTTATACCCGGACTCTCTGATTATTATCCTGGGGGATTTTAATAAGGGAAACTTGAGCCAGGAATTACCCAAATACAGACAGTTTATCAAATGCCCGACCAGAGAGGAGAACACTCTGGATCACTGTTACACCACCGTGCGCGGAGCTTTTCGCGCTGTTCCCAAGCCAGCCCTCGGCTTCTCAGATCACTCCATGATACATCTGGTTCCTGCTTACAGACAGAGACTAAAGCTCTCGAAACCTGCAATGAGGAGCTCCAAAGTGTGGTCTGATGAAGCTGTGGAAGAGCTGCGCGCATGCATGGAATCTACAGACTGGGACCTTTTCAGAGCTGCCACAGATAGTTTGGATGAATATACGGACACTGTGACGTCATACATTCACTTCTGTGAGGATAGCATCATTCCAACAAGGACCAGGGTCATCTATAACAACGACAAACCCTGGTTGACTGCTAAACTCCGGCAGCTCAGGAAAGCAAAGGAGTCTGCTTTCAGGGAGGGGGACCGCAGCGGCTACAAAGCAGCTAAATATCAGTTCAGGAGAGAACTGAAAGCAGCCAAGTCCCGGCACAGAGAACGACTACAGGAGCAGTTTGGTAACAACGATACTGCTTCTGTCTGGAGGGGCCTACGGGAGATCACCAACTACAAACCCAAAGCCCCCCCCTGTGCTGACGACCACAAGCTAGCTGACTATCTGAACTTATTTTTCAGTCGCTTTGATGCTGCCCCTGACACCTCTCCCTCCCCCCCCCCCCACTACTCTAACGACCCACCCATCAGCCCTGCCCCCAGCCTAACAATAGCCGCTAAAGAGATTAAACAACTCTTCCTGAGGCTGCACCCCCGCAAAGCTCCTGGCCAGGACCACGTGTCTCCGGCCACTCTGAGACACTGCGCCAGTGAGCTTACTCCTGTGTTCACGGACATTTTCAACACCTCTCTGCTGTCCTGCCATGTCCCGGCCTGCTTCAAATCCTCCATCATTGTCCCCGTCCCGAAGAAGCCCAGGATCACAGGACTCAATGACTACAGACCTGTAGCACTTACGTCTGTCGTCATGAAGTCATTTGAACGCCTGGTTCTCTCCCATCTCAAGTCCCTCACCTCCCCCCTCCTGGACCCCCTGCAGTTCGCCTATAGAGCCAACAGATCTGTAGACGACGCCATTAACCTGGCCCTCCACCACATCCTACAGCACCTGGACTCCCCGGGGACCTACGCCAGGGTCCTGTTCGTGGACTTCAGCTCTGCCTTCAACACAATCCTGCCATCCCTGCTCCAGGACAAGCTCTCCCAGCTCAACGTGCCCGATTCCACCTGCAGGTGGATCACTGACTTCCTGACGGACAGGAAGCAGCGAGTGCGTCTAGGGAAGAATGTCTCGGACTCTCGGATTATAAATACAGGAGCCCCACAGGGCTGTGTTTCTTTCTCCCCTGCTCTTCTCCCTGTACACCAACCACTGCACCTCCAGCCACAACTCCGTGAAGCTGATCAAGTTCGCGGACGACACCACCCTCATTGGACTCATCTCCAACAACGATGAGTCCGCCTACAGGAGGGAGGTGGACCGGCTGGTGTCCTGGTGCAGTGGTAACAACCTGGAGCTGAACGCCCAGAAGACAGTGGAGATGATTGTGGACTTCAGGAAGAGCACTGTCCCCCCACCCCCACCCTCCGTGATGGACTCCCCCATCACCTCTGTGGAGTCCTTCCGTTTCCTGGGCACCACCATCACCCAGGACCTCAAGTGGGAGCCGACCATCAGCTCCCTCATCAAGAAGGCCCAGCAGAGGATGTACTTCCTGCGGCAGCTCAGGAAAGCCAAGCTGCCTGCACAGATGTTGGTGCAGTTCTACACGGCCATCATCGAGTCCATCCTCACCTCCTCCGTCACCGTGTGGTTCGCTGGAGCCACAGTCAGGGACAAACAGAGACTACAGCGCATTGTGCGCTCTGCAGAGGAAGTGATCGGCCGCAGCCTTCCATCGCTGCAGGACCTGTACGTCGCCCGAGCTCGAGGCCGGGCTGGTCGTATCACAGCCGACCCCTCTCACCCTGCACATGGACTATTCCAACCACTCCCCTCAGGCAGGAGGCTGCGGTCCATCAGGACTAGAACCTCCCGCCACAAGAACAGTTTCTTCCCCTCTGCTGTTGGACTCTTGAACACTTCTTAACCTGTCCCCCCGCCCTTTATAAAGTCACTTTACTGCCCATCATACGTCACTTTACTTCACTGTACTGCTGTCACCTTACATTGTGTGCACCATGTGCACTTGTATATTGTAAATAGTAACTGTAACTCTATTTTAAATTTAAATGTATTCTTTAGAAGTGTTTTTTATTCTTATTTTTATTATCTCTTTTTGACTGTTGCACTGAGCCAAAGCAATTTCCTAGTCTGTGACCTCCTGTTACTTACGTGGCAATAAAAATGATTCTGATTCTGATTCTGATAACAATTGTAAACTGCTCAGTCTGTGAAAGGCTGTATATAAATAAAGATTACTTACTTACTTGATGAAATAAGTAATGACGATCAAATATTATTGCAATAAATGTTTATCAGATTTGTATTGCATTTCACAGCCACAGGAACTAGAAATATCAGGCTACGAATCTGACGAGGCCAACGACAGGATGACCGTGAGTGCTCTGGGCAGCGTGGAGGGCAGGCAGAGGTCGGTCAGCCACTGGGTCAGATCCGCTCAGGCAATGCTGCAGACGCCTACGAAAGCTGCAGAAAAGCCATCCAAGACCCCCGAAGACTCCGCCAAGAAGAGGAGGAAGTTTCAAAGGTCAGAAAGTCTAGAAGTGTTGGGTAACATCAAACAAAAACACGGAAAAAAGTGTAAAAGTCAAGCAGTCTTTCCGCTGTGTAGTATTGATAAAAGGGACACCTGCTCTTGTTGTGTGGGCGCCAAATGTCACTTCTGCAGCCTCTCGACGTGGATCTGTTATCTGATCAAAACGTGCTTTAGGATCCATATAGCTAAAGGTAAAGCTGTGGTATAGCTGACATTCAAACCACAAAAAATGAGCAAAGTAATAAAATCCATCCATACAGTAGTTCCTACCTCTCAAAACAGTAAAAAAACTAGTAAAAAATGTGTCAATATTTTTTATGATTATTAAGGACACAACGGTCTATAGCTACAAGACCATATACAATGCATCCACAATATTACATATAGAAAAAGAAATATGTTTATATTTTCAGTACATTTGAAAATGTTAGTACAATTTTATGATTAATATTGATCTCAGAAAAAGTTAGCAATTCAGGGATATTTATCAATCAAGTAATATTAAAAACAGAATAAAATCACAAGTAGTCTTAGTGTTTCAAGTAACAATATTTGTGCAAATCCTTCGCTCGTCACAGATTCAGGCAAAAAAAATCTGGAAAAATAAAAGGTTTAAAAGTGAAAAAGCAGTTCAATTTGTATTGACGCTCTTTTGAATGCGTGTTTCTGCGATTTTCTTCACAGCGGGGGCTTGGCCGAGAGACTTCACAGGCTCCAGTGCAGACAGAAGTCGGCCATAAGTTTCTGGAGGCACAAGTCTGTTTCTGATAACGCCATAACAGGTGATCCCAGCTCTCCACTGTCAGCATGGTCATATTTACATTCTACATGTTTATATTATGTATTTATCTTTATGCTCGAAGAAATCACATATTTCCATAGCTGCACTCATAAGCGGCTGTCTGTTTATCATTGTGGTCGCATCAAATATACTTCTAAATATAGGCGACAGGATGACCTCGTTCCAACTCTGTGGTTTACCATCGTACCTGTTTATCTCAGAGACTAAAATATGATGTGTGTAATTATAAATACATTTTTAAAATCTTAGTTTCTGTTTCAAGCTGTTCAGTATTTGTGTACTTGTTACTTGATTCTCTTGGCTGTCACTTTTCAAGACTGTGATGTAACTTCTCTCTCACATGCCCCTGACGGAGACGGAGTTACTATCGGTCATTCACACAAGAAGTACTACACTACTACTGTTATCATTTTGCAACATGTTGATGCAATGGTTTTGCAGGAATGTTTGTAAGAAAGTGAGTGGGAATATTATATTTTGGCATATTGAAATTGGCAATTTTTTTTTGGCAAGTTGCCTTTTCGCTTCAAGACTTTTTTGATATCTGAGAAAATCATTTATATTTTGACAATAATAATAATAATAATTAGGGTTGTCGAAAGATGCCAAAAGCGGTATTGAGATTAGAGATTGTCAAATATATTGGGATTATATGTTTGAAATATTAGGTTAGCATCCAGGTGATATGCTACAAGGGCTTTTTTATAAAAGTTTTCTCTGTAGAACAACAACAAAGTTTATTTAATTCTATACATTGTTAAATTGGCAACTTAATCAATAAAGCGGGTTGAAGACACAACACTTACATGGACAGAACCGACAAACTTTATGACTCATCTGTAGATTATTATTATTAGTAGTAGTGGTAGTATTATAAACTAGTGCTGCACGATTAATCACAATCTAAGACTGCAGATATTGGAGCTTTGACTTAGACTTTGATAACGAATGGACAAATGGACCCATGAGGAACAGAAATAGATAAAATGGCAATACATACAAACACATCATACATATAAATAAATATATATTAACTTCTTGCACGTTTTGAGGTGTTTATAGTAAATCATTTAATGGTTTCCAATGTCCACAATCAACAATGCATTACAGAAACATAATTACGATTACAATTAGTTTGTTAAATTAAAAGAATGAATAGTTTGCCAACAGTTTTCCTGCTCTGTTTCAAACTACAATATAAAGACAACATAGTTTTTAGCATTTAAAAATGTTAGTTTTGGGTTTGAATTAACTTTTGTTTCTCCCTGTCTAATAATTGCATAAAATGTAAGGCAGTCACACACATGTATTATTCTTTTACGAGCCATCATGCCAAGACAACTCCAGAAATGATTTTCCCTTCACATTGAATCGCTCTTAAACAATGATTTATGATGTCATATTAAAACACTCCCCCAGGGTCCCTTTGTGTATTGTCAACAAGCACCATTCTGCTCTGCATTTAGTACAGACTTGAACAAATCATAATAATGAAAAACTTGCATGCTGCCAAATTTGTTCCTTATCACGGTTTTGATTTATTGCGAGAGGCTGATGTGCTGATTTGTTCCTATCAGACTCTTGAATGTGAGCCAAATGTATAGAAAAACTGAGCAAAATTACATTAGGCTGCGTGAACTTTGATTATATTTACTCATGTCCTGGCCTCCTGACTACGCTAGCGAGGCAGATCCACTACTATACTCTTTACTCATGTCCTTTGCATACAACTGAAAATGAAAAAAGTGGGGGAATAACGCTCTCCCAAGAGACAAACAACTTGGTACAAAGACACCAAACAAACAACACATTCACACAAAAGCTAAAAATGTCTAATAATCAGAATTTCTTTTCAACGATAAGGCATCAAGAATTGTATCCCACCTTTTCTTGTGCTTTTTTTTCTTCTTTTTCAACTGAGGGTTTTTCTAAGTTGTGATAGTGCTCAACATAATTAATAAAAATTGCAGTAATTAAAGATCTTTCGTTACTAGACTTAAATATGAAATGTTTCCCTTTGAGAACAAATACATTTACAATCTCTTAAGGTTTGGGTTAGGGTTAGTTTTTCTAATCTAATTCTAATCTGTAAAAATGAAGGACACAGTTCAAATTTTACACTTACAACACTTTTAGAAGTTGGCTCTCCTTTATGTTTGTACTCATGTCCTGGCCCCTGACTATGCTATCGAGACAGATCGACTATTCCATACAACTGAAAATGGAAAAAAAGCGTTGAAAAAAAGCACTCTCCTACAAGGTAATGAAACTACTGGGAGATGGAACACATGGTTACAATCTGCATTTCAACTCTAACTTTCACAAAAACATGGTCTTCTGGCATTATCGCTAATATAAGTGCTGTGTGGTTGCAGCGGACCGGCCCGGGGTGCTGGTCCTGGAGATCACGGAGGTCCACGAGGAGTGCAGCATGCGACTGGTGCGATGTAAGCGCTACAGCCCCCCCACAGAGGCCCCCCATCACCGCCAGGATCAGCCCCCCACTGAAGCCGAAGAGAGGGCCCCATTACTAGTGTTATTCAATAAGGAAACCGCGGCTCAGCTCAACCCACTGCCTAAAGACGTCATCCACATATACCCGCCATGGTGAGCAAGAACAAAAAAGTTATTTGGTTTTACAATTTATACTGCAATACAAATATACAAATAGATCCCTTTTGTCAACTGAATGTTGTGGATCGATATATAGTCAGTAGCTATGTCCGGTCTGAACAATACATTTTTTGTGCAACGTCCCTGTTAATCTAAAGATGAGGCTTTATCTTTTTATTTATCTTTTTCAAACAGAAAAGCCTGTAATAAAAAAGCTCAAGACTATAAACTTAAATAAAATCTATAATATATGAAGAAAGAAAATGTGTTGAGTACTAGAAACACACCCACCCAGTGACAGAAGTGAGTCATTACATTACTTTCTATACAACATAGAACACAGTGGCGCGTATTTTAAACCATGCAGTTGTTAAGAAATTCGACTGGAGACCTTTCTAAAACAATATTAGAGCATTAAGCACCAAATGTAAGGGTCTTGTAAAAGGTATAGTACATTTTGGATAATATTTTTTTGATAGATTTCTTTGCGCACCACTAGCTCAATTATAAATGGTTAGATTATATTCCTTGGGGAAGTTTCAGTATCGCATCACTGGTGACAGAACAGTAGAAATGAGGGGCACCCAACACAAGATAAATTAACAATAACTCTATACTCAAAAAAAGTATAATCTATAGGTTTAGCCTAATGAAGAAGCAAGTTTAAAATCGCTAGCTTTATCATAATAAGGAAAGCCAGAGATTGTATACTGTTGCTGTCCAGGCTATACTAATAAATACATCTATATACAGTATATTTATTAATCCTTTTTCTAGTCATTTTCCAGTTGCACCATATCACCGTACCGTCATCAAACAAGGGCCATTATTTCATAAACGTATCTATAATTTTCTGGGGCTCACATGTCTGTGGTGTGAACTGAATCATGGCGTGACGTTTCGCACACGTTGCTTTGGAATGTGTTGGATGTGTTTGTTCCAATTTATATTCTTTCCCATTTATCCCAAACACCTCTCTTTAGGTCAGTGGACGTAACTCTATTCTATTCAGTTTGGTTTGTATAATTTTTCTAACAGCTTCCAGTGTATGAGATCAGCATTACAAACTCTTCTTACTCACATACTTAGGGTCATTTAGCGTTCACCAGATAAGAGGACAGAATGTTTAATCAGATCATCAGCGGCTCTCAGTAATAGTCTTTGTACAGATAACATAATAAATGGATAGAAACCCCAGTGTCATTAAAACACATTCATTTTGATGGAGCCATTTACAAGGCGTTAAAAAAGTTCATCGCATTTGGGAGATTGTGGCTGTAAATGTCGTCTACATTCAGTATGTTTTTCTACAGCACTAAATCACAACTGTAGTCATCTGGCGGGGTCATTACAAGTTTAAAAGTTGTCGATTCTCCAACAACAAATCAGAGAATCAAACAGTTAGAAAGCAGGAAATGCAATAATAACAAACACATAGAAGGTCTGTATTATGCTGAAGTGAAAATGAGAAAAATCAGCTGTGTCTGGAGAACAGATGGAGGCAAAGCATTAGTTATTGGCTTTAGAAAACATCATAAATATATATATATACACCTACATACATACATCAAAAGTTTTTAAAGATTTTTTATAAAGATTTTTTTTTTTTTTTTACTGAAAGTTCAAACATGAGTAACCGACATCTCTGAAGTGAAAGCAAAAGGATTCATGATTTGTTTTTTGTTTTTTTACGGAAAAGTTGGGCGCGCCTCCAGTTATGAAGCTGCTTTTCTTCAGCAGGGACAGAAAAGAGTAAGAGTTGATGGGGGATGGAGAATAATACAGGGCATTGTTGGATGAAAAGCTTCTGGAGCTGCAGATTCCACATCGTACTCAGAAAAAGCATGGACTCATTTATTAAAAAAAAAAAACATAGGGTTAAATTTTTTTAAATTTGGATTTTAAAGACCCCCAAAGTTGATTTCCTTGGATATCAACAGCTTTCCATCTCCACTGCTTGAAAATGTAAACTTTATTTGACAAATTGGAAGATAAAAGTCATAAAAAGAAAAAAAAACATCTCAAAATAGTAGTCGAGTATTGTAGAATCAAATTTGGCATCGAGTCTGTTAATTATTGTCGAATTTAGTTGGAAATGTTAGTACTGTGACGACACTAACGGGTAGATTATCACAAATAGCCAACAGAAGCTTGTTTTATCTTTTAGGAAGTTTCATTTTGTCTTCATTAAACTATGTCTTATCTAAATTCTTCCTGTAAATAACATCAGTAATCCCCACGTGTCCGTATCGCAGCACTGCTCTCCAAACGTAGTACAAGTGCGGTATGTGTATGTTGAAAAGGAGCAGAGGGGCGTGTTGTTTTGGAGAGCGGGCGCCAGATGAGTCCAGCTGTTGGGAGTTTGACTGGAGCGATCACTGGTGGATCCTAGAGTAGGGGCCTCCGCAGAGCTCTGACGTCAGCCACTGCTCCAGGGAATGCTTCACATTCCTCTTCCTGGCAGTTGTTAGGTCATTTCCAGAAATCCGCGGAAAAAACCCACTAGGATCATTTTCTGGAGAGATTTTGGGAGCAGCGTGTGTGCATGGAGCGGCCCAGAGGAGACGAATTGAAAACATATGCTAGTATCTTGGAGAGCGTCTTCTTATGTTTTGTACTCAAACACCCCCTGCTACGCTCACAAGAAACACAGCCTTCTTGTTTCTTGTATGCAAGGTCGATGGCAAATGCATTACATCTGTACTGCCTTCAATAGTGCTTCCCAGTCAAACAGATAGGGCTTTGTTGAGGGAGGAATACATGGGATTAATCATTAGACTGCACAATACAGCACTCACTACTACCCTCCACTAGCCTCTCTTACACCCCAGTTACAAAGGCATACCAAAAAGAGTGCGGATGACACGTTCATTCATGTTCTGTCCCACTACGAGACAAGGCAACAATAATAGTTCGTCACTGAAACAGAATAAAAATGACTATGCTATTACTGTAAAAACTTAGGTTAGTGATTAAAGCTTTGTCAAAGGAAGTAACTCACAACCAAAAAACTCTTACTAAAGGACAGTTGCAGGAAAATATTTTGTGGTCATTTATGAGCCCCTTACGGACCAAATGGAGATAAAAAAACAGCAAATGTGTTTTTATCATTGCATTTGTTGTGCTTGATTCTGATCTGTCATGGCGATTCAAAGACTTAATAATAATAATGCATCAATGCTTCTGACTCAAAGGCCAATGCTCTACCAACTGAGCCACTGTCGCCCTGAAGTCTGCACTTCTGAAGTCCTCTGAGATAACTACTGATTTAGGGCTATACAAGAACACATTGAATTGAAGTATCATTCAATGTGTATCATTCAAAGTTTAAAGAAAGCTTTGCACTCTGGTCATTATTGGAGAATGACCAGAGTGCAAAGATGGTAATTATGTATTGGTCACAATTCCTTTGTTAGTTTTTGTTTCTCTCAGACCTATGTTGAACGCTGTCATAGAATTGAGGTATGAGAAAAAGAAGTCGATTTAGATGTGAGCTGATTACTTTTCCACACAACGAGAACCATACTCACTGATTTGCTGGTTTTTGATCTCCATTTGTTTTTTTTACCAATTATGTAATTTGTCCTAGGTTAGTGAAGGCTGGTGCACTTTAATAATAATGCATCAGATTTACAAAACACTTTTCTGGACACTCAAAAGCATTATTACTTTTGTTAGTAACTTTTAGAATGATGTTATTATTTGTTTGTATGTGTGGTGCCTACTGCTGCTTTACTACTGCTGGACACCTGCATTTCTCTTACAGGGGATCAATAAAGTATATCTATCTATTGGCAATGATAAGCAATGGATTGAGCATTATGTTGTCTGAGTGGTAGTGCTCTGATCTCACACCAAGAGGGTTCCATGTTTGATTCATTGACAGTGCTTGACTATGTGAGCAATAAAGAATCTTATAAAATAGACAAATACCCTCTGGCTATGAATTAATATTTCATTACCTGAATGGCAAATAAGAAAAAGTACACCAACACTAATTGTTTACATGGATAGATGTCTACACTGTGTACTTTTTTTCAATGACGCACAAGTCTGTCTCTCCTTTTTTTTTACTTCCACCTCAGGGTTTAAACCGGAAAAACGTAGCATTTTGTTTAGAGTGAGTAAAATTCCTCTGTTTCATCTTCCGGCGCGACACCTGAGGGCTCGACTTCCTTCAAATTTTGGGCTGTGAGTAGGCAAGCTCCGCCCTCCTCCCACGCTGCAGTTTGTGGGACCGTGCGTAGGCGGAAATACCTGTGAGGATTATTCACTTACGGGCTGTGACGCCTGTACTGCTGCCACTCCTTGTACCTGTGCTGACTGCTGCCCACTCACCTGTTCGTAATGGGGTCATAACTTCCGGTCCCCTCCTTCTCTTTTGAACACTGTGCTCCGCTTCAATAATATTTTACTGTAGCTGTTCTGATAACTGATTTCTCATCTCTTCTACGAATAATTGCGTCTGTCCAGACAAGTTATAAAGCAGGAATAAGGTTTGGCAGTTCCAAGAACATTTATATGCTGTAGTCAATGTGGCTCAGAGATTTTAAGATTAAGAGAGATATTGTATTTCTCCCACAGTGCATTTCAGAATTCTTTGCTAAGTGCACACCATTGTTAGTGATTTTAAAACCATGCAAATCTGGCTCAATGCAATTAAAAAAAAATCCTGATCCCTGGTCTTTCCCAGAGGTCAGGTTGGTTCTTAAACTTACAATTATTTCAAGATCAAATCCCGGTCGGAACAGGGCCATTCTGAGTTTGCATTCTCTCCCCGTGTCTGCAGAGGTTTCCTCTGGGTGCTCCGGTTTCTACTACCATTAAAAACATGTACAATAGTGAGAGACAAATCCCCAAAGCGCTTTGTGACTCTGATCTATGAATGGCGCTATATAAATAAAGATTTCTTACTGACTTGATGATTTTCTTTTGCATTTCATTGTAACCAGGCTAATATTGTGCCACAAAACACAATAATTTCAGTGATATTGTGTCATTATAACTCAACAAACATCACTTTAATTGACTTAGTATTTTTTTAGTTTTGGGAGTCCCTGATATCCCCTGCTGTAGATAAATTAGTGTGACATATATGTTGTTCCGAAAGTTAATGCTTGACCTGTTATAGCCTCATATATTGTTGACCAGTTTAATATGTAACATGTTGTAATCGGAGAGACGCTAGTAAAGCTGCTTCGGCTGCGAAAATTACATACTTTCAACAAAATATTATCAATATCTCCTGAGAAAGCCAGGTGTAAATGAAAGACCAGGATAAAAGAATTGGGGAAATGCTGCGTTAATTATTCTTCCACATAATTTTTTTTATTTTATTTTAGAATTAAAATACGGTGCGCATCTTCTGTGACAATTGTTTCCGGGGCCTAAGGAAAAACAAAAAAATTCTATACTACTCGCTGTATGTAAACATGAGTGTAATACTAAATGCTGTCATAAATAATAATAAAATGATCTGCCATCACATGCCACATTTCCCGAAATTGTTATTCTTTATTTTATAAAAAACAGTGCTGCACATTTTTTTGAGTTTTGATTGATGGATTTCTATTCAACATAAAAGCATTCCAGTTCATCAAGACGATGGTTCATTGACGCTGAGTCATTCTAGTAATAAACTAGTGTTTGTACTAGTCTCTGTCATCCGGCACGTGGACAGGAAGTGGGTCAGAATATTGACTAATCCATAGTCTGCATTTATATTATTTAATATTATTAATTCATTTTGTTTTATTTTCCATGTTATATCATTATATTGACAGTGGAATTTCATGTCTATTCAGGATAGTCACTTTCACACTGACTGCTAAAAAACTATTCTAAAACTATGCTTGAAGAGACTGATTTGAAGACCAAGTGAAAGAAATGATTTTGAAGTATTCAGGTTCATCAAAAGCATTGAACTGAACTAGTCAAAAAGGCCACATTGTTAAAATTTCTTTTTCTATTTTGGCTTGCCATTTTGTTTGTTTCTTAAGTTTAACAAAGAACTAACAACACATGGTTTGAATGTATTTGTATTTAGCATTTGTAAGAGCAAAAACATCAGTGCAGTAACGTACATTTTCACTTCAGTCACTTAGAATCATCTTGAAATGAATCTTTTGTTGTGTTGAATTGACCCAATATTTTGTGCAAAGTAATTATCGAGGTATTCGTTCTACAAGCAGTATTTAAACAGCTATTATTCAGCTACCTGCCTACGTGCTGGGCAGGCTGTGACTCGTTTGATAGTTTGTGTAGCAGTGATTTTGGCTCTGAGTCAGGGATAGGCCGCCGTATTTTACATCTGTCACATGTGGGAAAAATTACACTTAAACACACACTCGCCACAGTATTATTAACAAACCTTTTCGTACTCATTTCACTGTGAGATTTGGCACAAGACTCTCCGCAGCAGTGAATAAACACCTCCAAATTCCAGAAATGCAAGTTCTCTGTAATAGTCCTTCTTGCCCTCACTCATAAAGCTCTAATTTAATCCCCTTTAACGACGAAGGCAAACCAAAAGTGCATTTAAGGTGAGACAAGTTGCTCAAAATGTCTCCTTTTTTTTGCTTGAATCTGGCCCACTGGATTTTTTTTGTAGGCGTCAAGACATTTTCCACACTTGACGCAACATTTTTGGAAACTACGCTTAAGCTCGGCATGGCTCGATTTAAGACAGTGTTTTGTGGAATAAAGCAATCTATCATCAGCTGCGCGTTTAGATGGGGGAGGTAAACGATTTGGCGCTTGGTGGTGCGAGGTGCGGAGGTGGGTCGCGTCTTATCTGAGCGTGACATTCTAACTGCCAGCCCCCTTCCATTTACTGTAAAAAATCAGAATTCCGTCTGAACACAAGCATTTGCCATGCTTCATCACACAGTGGAAAGGTAATTGTCAGAACCTACAACATTGTAATCAGAAGTAAACTTGAGATTCCAAAAGCAACACATACAATATTGTAGAGCCTGGATTTTTTAAACTATAGTAGTCTAAAGTTACTTCACACTACTGCAATCGATTTATCCCCCTGAGAAATGACATAGAGCAACTTAAAGATGCAGTCAGTAATTTTTTTTCCAGACACATTTTTAGAAATATATTGTGGGAAAACGTCCCTAAACCCTAAAAGTAGTCAAGTTTTCATGTGTTTTCATCAAATAGTAATGGAATTGACCAGATGCGAGTTGTTGCTACGGCTAAGCTAACAAAATCGCTTACTGCACCTTTAAGTGGCTAAAAGAGTGAGGATAAAATGGGATATAGTTAGATTCCTGTGATTGAATCTATAGTCAATTTATCAGTGCCATTTTCAGTAGAATATTTGTCATTTCTATTCTATAACCTTGAAACTACATTAAAGCCTCTATAGATCATACATGCATCATACAATCTGCCACTGGTGTGATATTACAGTTTGATACATTTGATAAGTGTGCCCTTATCATTCTCTGCTAATTGTAAATAAAAGGCCAGTTCATCCATGTCTTGTATTATAATGTCTACACTTTTCAGTCACTTTTGTTTTGAGGATTGTTGTCATTCACTTAGCATAGTTACAGCGCTAAACAGCGCTAATTTCTGGAATTGAATCAATTCCAACATTTTTTGGTTGTTTTGTAAATTGTGTAATTGGTTTCTCCTGGAAATAAATGTAATAAATATGGCTGTAAAACAATGTCATGGAGGGCCGCATTTGCCTTTTATTAGTAAATTTGGCAACCCAAAGCTTTGTATATTTGTCTTAAAAGCGGAAACAAAATGGAAACTAATCTTGTCCTTTTGTCTCTGTAACTCAGAGGTGTCCAAACCGATTCAGAAAGGGCCGCTGTGGCTGCAGATCTTCTATCAGACCCAGCAGGAGCAGAGCAGACCACACCCCATTTCCTCATCAAATCTTCAGGTTAAGACTGAATTTACTTGAGGAAGTGGGTGGAGTCTGCTCTGCTCCCGCTGGGTCTGATAGAAAACCTGCAGCTACAGCGGCCTTTTCTGGACCGAATCATATTTCTTTCCAGTGTAATTCCTAAAGCAGGGGTCTTCAACCTGTGGCTCGCCTTTTTAGGTAGATCCCCAGAGAATTCAGGAATTTGACTCATGATCCTAAATGATTACATTTTGAGTCATTGCATATCCAACCTAACTCTACATGTTCACAAATGTAGGGTTATTCAGTGATATGGTGCATTTTACAAGAGTGTTGTCCAGGATTGTCTGCAGTTATTACATATAGACATAAAAAAAAGAGTAGGTCTCTGTCATTTTTGTTGCATAAAAGTTGGAGAGCCCTGTCCTAAAGTCTCTGCATTCCGCTTATTTTCCTTCGCAGGCAGAGTCTATCAGTCGAAGGCATCAACTACGATATTATCCTGAATACACACTTCAGCCAGAAAGTCTCCTCTTCGTCTGAATCTCCCGTGTCATCTGTTCCCGGGTCGACTGCAGCCAAAAGCACGCCATATGCACTTGATAAGGACTTCGGGCTGCTGGAGCTGTGCATGACGACAGAGGAGAATCATAACAAAGAGGTATATTTTCTCATCAATGTCTGAATTGTGCAATAAATAAATAAAAAAATGACCAAAGTGGCAGGTGTGCTTCTCTAACTGAGCAGGTTTTACAGTTCACCACTTTTTCCCACTGTAAGAGCTTTGACATCTTGACATCTGTGGTTAAGAAAATCGATGTGAAGATAATATGTAGGTCATTGTTGTGGTGGAATGTTTGTGGTTAAGGCTGGATTCTTTTGGAATGATCTGATTGGGATTTTTCCACAGAGCTTTGCCTTAAAGATTTGATTCAACTTATGTTTCAGTAGAAAATGTTTCACGTTTGTCAATAATTCACAGCAAAAAAAACAAATAATAAAGTTTTAATCAGATAATAAAGTGCTTCTGTAAAGTATCATGTATATTTGTATGATTATGTTTAAAATAATATTTGCTATTTTTTTCTTAAATAAGAAAAAAATTGGATAAGACTAAACGTTTCATTCCCTGTTTTTTTAAAAGCCAGTCAAATCTAAATTATATTTCATTTCAAACATTTTTGTCATTTTTGTAGTTTTTCTGCTTTTATTGATCAGTCAGTTATTTTTTTATTGCACTATTAAAATAGCAATTTCAATTTTCTCTAAAAAATACGTTTGGGCTCTGTCTTTTACAGCAGAATATTAACTAACTCTACAAAAAAAAAAAAAAAGCCCCATTCAACATTAATGTAACAAATTCTAACAAACATCACCATTGTTTCCTCCAGGGCGATGGGCTTAACGTTGGGGATCTCCTCACTGGTCCTTGTCAGTCTCTGCTGGATGCCATAGAGGCCTTGGGGCAGGCGGGGGCAGTGGGGCAGACTGTGGAGGTGGTGGTCCAGAGGGTCTACAGCATCCCGGTCCCAGACTCCAGCTCTGGGTCTGTCCTCAAACATCGACTCAAGTCCACAGGTGCTTCTCCAGCTCCTGCAAACCAAACCAGGTATGTTTTTAAAATCACCTGCAAACCTTCTATCTAGTCTCATTCACACACAAAAACATGGATTAAACCACACATTTCACATTTTGTCATTTACATTTTAGTTCTATTCTGGTTTAGTTTTGTCTTGTTTATAGCCGGTAAGGACTCGAGCAGCATTCATGAACTTAGGTATAGGAAGTTAACCAGCAACCACTAAGTAAACAAGGTCCAAAGCTTGTCTAATTTACTCAAGAGTTATGAATTGACAAGAAGAAATCCGACACAAGACATGTGTTTTGTTAATTTCTGCGTATCTGCTACAGCAATTTGTTTTTTTGATTGATTGATTTGGATTAATTTTATAACGTGGGTGTTAATTCCTGTTTGTTTACGATTGTTTTTTAGACAATTACAAACATTAACAATGGGTTTCTCCATACCAAACAATGTAATACCAATTGAAAAAGTAGACAGGCTCTATCTCCAAAGCTTAAAGGCAAATAATAGTAATAATAAAACCATCACATCTTTTATATTGAGCCCAAATACATTCTTCTCATTATTAATTTATTAGTAATGTATCTTTACTAAATATCATGCCTTACCTGACTTTACCATTTCACTTCAATGCATCTGTTGCATTTGTGTGTGATAAAATTCCTACTTTTGTGCAGATACTTCAATCCGCTTCCATAGTCACTGTTAAAAATCAATTTTAATCATTGAAGAACAAAATCAAAGAGCCTTTTTATGCTACAAACCTCACAAATGAGTAAAAACATAATTTTAATCCATGTCTGCAAAACTGTGATTATCTAATTCAATAGAGTGTTATTTTGTACGCCTGGTGACAAATCGTGTTCCCGTATTAAATCTGCTGCAGTAAGTTGTATTAATTGTTTTGTCTCTAACCATATGGCAGTGTTTGACAAAGACACAAACATTTCTAATGGATTCCAGCTTGTCTGTGAACACTTTGGCCCAAAAGGACTGCCTGATCTTTTCTAAACTGACGAACTAGTGTTGAAAACTGTGCTCTGCTTATTCTCCACTGAGGTCATACTTCTGAACGATACCAAATCTGAAATGTACAGAGATGTGTAGTGTAGAACGACTTACAGCGGTCCCTACTATAGCGAACTCCCAACTTTTGCAGATTTTTTTTACAGCGTGCTTCTCATATGCTGTGTGTCTATACCCAACAACATCATATATAATATACAGTATATGATAATAACTAGATAACCACCAATATAACATGACTATTAAAGTCAGAAGATAACTTTTGCAGCTTGTGTGCACCACAGTGATTAGTTCAAAGGACAACCGTAGTCTTCCCATAGCCCTCAGTCCTGTCCTCTGCAGCTGAACGGCAAGGCAAACAAGTTCATACACAAGGCAACTCAACACAGTGTACAGCTTTTGACAGATGCAAGGGACCACTCTACATTTATTTGAAAATGTCCCTTTTTCAACACTTTAGAATTAAAAGTGTTGAGTTGGAAGGTTCCGTCTTTTGTTAAAATGTTGTTATAGTATATAACAGTATATCTGAAAATTGTTCTATTTGCAAATACTAAACTTCTTTATATTAAGCCTATGAATGGTCAGTATCTAGGTAATCCAGACTTATACATTTAGGCTGACAGACGGACTAAAGTTAAGACTGTAGGACATGAAATACCACTGCTTGTTGTTATCCTATATAATAATATAGGAGCAAGTATGTTAGTAAGTAAGTAATCTTTATGTATATACCAGAGAAGGGAGTAGGGTCGTCAGCACAGGAGGCGCATTCCAGACCTATTGTACTTAGTGTATAATAAAATAAAAGAAGAAAAATCTAACATTTATTTACACGTGAGCAACATTTTGGCATCTATACAATCATCAGGCAAAGGCCATAATGCACTGATCCACCTGATTATGAGAATGCTGTGCAAAGCTTCTCTATACCAGTCCTTGATGAGGTTAAAGGTTAAAGGTTGTATAAAGAAGTACACTTACTAGTCTACTTATTTAATTCCCCAGTGTGCAACTTCTTAACAGAATAATAGCATCTTCTCAGTTTGCATGTTTTAGGTTTTTATGACAAAAGCATGTGAGGCAGCTGACGTTTTCATTGTTGGTGAAAAATTACAGCCAGAGCAACATTCCTATGTAAACAAACATGACAAAACTTTCCACCATGTGACATAAAACATGTATAATTCAGATGTATCCAAGAAGGTCACTTTACTTCAATCGTATAATTATCAAAATTAAAGTAAAATCTGGGTCAAAGTTAGGAATGGGCAAAAAAAAGGAATTGAATTTTTTTCCGCTGTGTTGATAGATTTTGATTCATTACTAAGTATAAATAGATAAAAGTGCATTTAAAAACACAAAGAACAACTGCTATGACAAAAAACATTATTATTATTATTGACAAACTTAAAGGGACCATACAATCAGAATGAGAATTATTTGTATTGTATGTGGCAGGAAGTCACAAACTAGGAATTTGCTTTGGCATATGGTGCAAACAAGTTACAATTTTAAAAAATAGATAAAGAAGCATGAAAAATTATCTTTAATCAGTGGTCTAATGAAGTTACTACAATTACAATGCACCTTTTGTTGTCAGAACCTTACAGCCTGTGACACAAGGAGCTTCTACAGATTACGGCCCCTTTGGATTAACTGTGTATAACATTTAATCCAATCCCAGTGGAAGTGAGGAGAGGTCACATTTTTTCATCAAGATTTGTTTCAGTTTCTTCAACCCCTTGCTCTGTTTCTTCCACGTTATTGGTGTCTTGTTAGAGAAACAAATAAAACGCCATAAAACAAAAATATGTCAAAAATTTGGCAAAATGTATTGTCATTTGAGCACATTTTGACTGCATGAAAACATGATTTGCCAATGGGGACAAGCAAAAGAAATGTCTCCCTTGGAATAAAGCAAAAGTTCTTGAAATAAGACGGGCTTGTCCCATTTGCAAATCTTGTTTTTAGACTGTCAGAATGTACTCAAATTAGGCAATTATTACCTCATATTTATTGTTTTTTGCAGTGCTTTCAAATAAAGAAAATACATTGTTTTGCGGTCAAATCTATGAATAACTTTTCCTCGAATATCGATATTTCTGGATCACCTCTCTCTGATCTCCTGTTACCTGCTGTGTATGTGCTGTTGAGGAATAAACTACTTCTCAGCGCGGTGGGGCAAGGAGGGGACGGCGAGGGGAGGGCTTTGAGCTCTGGTGACCGCTGTCCAGCTCCAGGAGCATGGGGTCAGACATGGATCTGGTCCCCTGAAACACAACACTCTCCTCCTCCATGAATGTCACACTGCTGCTGGTGTCGTAAACAAACACTGACCGGAAACCAAAAGTTTTCAGTGTAACATAAACACAAATAGAATACATAGAATTGTATTTAGTAAAAATAAATACATTTTGATTAGAGTAATGGTAAATATGGACTTTCTGTTAACAGGTTTTGGCAATGGAACGAGCCGCTCTACTCTATATGAAAGTGCAACAAAAAATAAGAATTTGCATGTTGTAAAACCAAACGTGTTGATATCGTCACATCTCAAACATTTTTGTCATTTTTTTGTCTCCAGCATGAGCAGATTTTGTTATGGATATTAGTTTCTCAAAGAGCTGGAAGAGACATTGGCAAACCTTTCCTCCTAATGTGATAGCCCACTACTGAGCTTGTCTATTTAAATGCACCAAAATACCTATAATGGCAAGTTAAGAAAACTAAAATCACAAAAAAGCAAATTGATGCAAACTATTCATGCTTCACCAATGTGATTCAGAATCTCTTGCCCAATAAATTATAGAAAAACCTGCAGTGAGGAGCTCCAAAGTGTGGTCTGATGAAGCTGTGGAAGAGCTGCGCGCATGCATGGAATCTACAGACTGGGACCTTTTCAGAGCTGCCACAGACAGTTTGGATGAATATACGGACACTGTAACGTCATACATCCACTTCTGTGAGGATAGCATCATTCCAACAAGGACCAGGGTCATCTATAACAACGACAAACCCTGGTTCACTGCTAAACTCCGGCAGCTCAGGAAAGCAAAGGAGTCTGCTTTCAGGGAGGGGGACCGCAGCGGCTACAAAGCAGCTAAATATCAGTTCAGGAAAGAACTGAAAGCAGCCAAGTCCCGGCACAGAGAACGACTACAGGAGCAGTTTGGTAACAACGATACTGCTTCTGTCTGGAGGGGCCTACGGGAGATCACCAACTACAAACCCAAAGCCCCCCCCTGTGCTGATGACCACAAGCTAGCTGACGATCTGAACTTATTTTTCAGTCGCTTTGATGCTGCCCCTGACACCTCTCCCTCCCCCACCCCCCACTACTCTAACGACCCACCCATCAGCCCTGCCCCTAGCCTAACAATAGCCGCTAAAGAGATTAAACAACTCTTCCTGAGGCTGCACCCCCGCAAAGCTCCTGGCCCGGACCACGTGTCTCCGGCCACTCTGAGACACTGCGCCAGTGAGCTTACTCCTGTGTTCACGGACATTTTCAACTCCTCTCTGCAGTCCTGCCATGTCCCGGCCTGCTTCAAATCCTCCATCATTGTCCCCGTCCCGAAGAAGCCCAGGATCACAGGACTCAATGACTACAGACCTGTAGCACTTACGTCTGTCGTCATGAAGTCATTTGAACGCCTGGTTCTCTCCCATCTCAAGTCCCTCACCTCCCCCCTCCTGGACCCCCTGCAGTTCGCCTACAGAGCCAACAGATCTGTAGACGACGCCATTAACCTGGCCCTCCACCACATCCTACAGCACCTGGACTCCCCGGGGACCTACGCCAGGGTCCTGTTCGTGGACTTCAGCTCTGCCTTCAACACAATCCTGCCATCCCTGCTCCAGGACAAGCTCTCCCAGCTCAACGTGCCCGATTCCACCTGCAGGTGGATCACTGACTTCCTGACGGACAGGAAGCAGCGAGTGCGTCTGGGGAAGAATGTCTCGGACTCTCGGATTATAAATACAGGAGCCCCACAGGGCTGTGTTCTTTCTCCCCTGCTCTTCTCCCTGTACACCAACCACTGCACCTCCAGCCACGACTCCGTGAAGCTGATCAAGTTCGCGGACGACACCACCCTCATTGGACTCATCTCCAACAACGATGAGTCCGCCTACAGGAGGGAGGTGGACCGGCTGGTGTCCTGGTGCAGTGGTAACAACCTGGAGCTGAACGCCCAGAAGACAGTGGAGATGATTGTGGACTTCAGGAAGAGCACTGTCCCCCCGCCCCCACCCTCCGTGATGGACTCCCCCATCACCTCTGTGGAGTCCTTCCGTTTCCTGGGCACCACCATCACCCAGGACCTCAAGTGGGAGCCGACCATCAGCTCTCTCATCAAGAAGGCCCAGCAGAGGATGTACTTCCTGCGGCAGCTCAGGAAAGCCAAGCTGCCTGCACAGATGTTGGTGCAGTTCTACACGGCCATCATCGAGTCCATCCTCACCTCCTCCATCACCGTGTGGTTCGCTGGAGCCACAGTCAGGGACAAACAGAGACTACAGCGCATTGTGCGCTCTGCAGAGGAAGTGATCGGCCGCAGCCTTCCATCGCTGCAGGACCTGTACGTCGCCCGAGCTCGAGGCCGGGCTGGTCGTATCACAGCCGACCCCTCTCACCCTGCACATGGACTATTCCAACCACTCCCCTCAGGCAGGAGGCTGCGGTCCATCAGGACTAGAACCTCCCGCCACAAGAACAGTTTCTTCCCCTCTGCTGTTGGACTCTTGAACACTTCTTAACCTGTCCCCCCGCCCTTTATAAAGTCACTTTACTGCCCATCATACGTCACTTTACTTCACTGTACTGCTGTCACCTTACATTGTGTGCACCATGTGCACTTGTATATTGTAAATAGTAACTGTAACTCTATTTTAAATTTAAATTTATTCTTTAGAAGTGTTTTTTATTCTTATTTTTATTATCTCTTTTTGACTGTTGCACTGAGCCAAAGCAATTTCCAAGTCTGTGACCTCCCGTTACTTACGTTGGCAATAAAAATGATTCTGATTCTGATTCTGATTCTGATTCTGATTCTGAGAAATCACGTGTTCAAACTAAAGTGAAGGTGTGCATGTCCAGTGCAATGAAGAGTTTGTACATTTTTGAAATCTTTAATGATATTTAGGAACAAGAAATGTTTTGAGATATTCTTCTGCATTCAAGATTCCATGGCTCTGATTGTGAGATTTGATCCTTTCGAGTTTAAGCCACAGTGAAGTCTTCCTCTTTGAAACTGAGTAATTGTAAACACCTCTCAGTTGTTGTTTTGTTTATAGTTTCAGTTTAGCATGTGCATATTTGTGCAGTTAACCCCGCAGCCCAATGGCCTCATTCTTTTTTTATTTGTTTCTCCAGACTTTGTGAGTCAACTGTATGGTTAGCATCCACATTTGATCTTTCTGTTGTTTAGCGTGTGTTAGCATGGGCAGGAGCGAGGCCAGTACGATATTTAGCCAAAGTTCCCGTAAATGCAGCAAAAGAATAAACAACAAGATTAACTGTTTGCAGGAAGTGAGGAGAGGCTACTTTTTTCTTTGACAGAGAACACAATGTGCCTCTGGGATCCTGTTACAACCGTGTTTATCACTTTCTCTGCAGCCATTGGTCCAAAGCGCATAGCAAGGAATCCCGCCTGTCCACCCCACCAATGAGGCCTCTGCTCTGTATTCTTAATGTGAGGCTCTTGTTCACTTGGTACGTTGCCAAGTAGTGTGCATGTGCCTGGATACATGCGGCGCCCATGTGCAAAGGGGCATGTGTGAGTGTTTGCACAGGCTCGCTGGGCTGTAGTTCCTGGAAGCACACTAGGCTGCTCAGAATTCAGAGATGGCCCGTGAAAACATAGCTTCAAAACTGCAAGTGGGAAGCTGTGGTGGAAAAGTGGTGTTGTGTTGGAGGAAGTGGGCCTGCGTAGGCTGAAAGGGGGAATGGTCTGACATACTGAGCACGGTTTGTGTCCAAGAAGAAGACTGCAGAGACGTTTCTGCTGTCATGTCGTCTCGGATCAGATTTTACACTTGTAGTTTGAACCTGTTTTGCCAGATTTGGGCCTGAGGTTTTGCCTGAACAATTACACTTGAAGCTCCCTTGACTTCCTATTGAATACTGAATTACTTTGCAAAATATCATATTGAGGTTTAATACATGTATAAGCTTCATCTTTCTGTCACCCTGTATATCCACTGTGGGTTTAGCTTTACACGTTTAAAATATTTATTAAAGAGCTCATTTATATATGGTATTCTCTTTAGAACAACCCTTTAACATTCACTCCTTGAAGAAAGCAATGTAGTTTTCTTACTTGTTTGTATTATCTACTATGTAGGAGCACTAATAACACAAATAATTTGTTTTTAAGGTATTTTGTATTATGGGTTTGTACCAAATAGTTGAGATGCAGTTAAATGCTTAAAAGTGCCTAAAACCAAGTGAGATGCCCGAAAGAGGTATATTTCAGTTCCAAGCATGCCTTAAAGAAGATATATATAGATAAGATATACTTTATTGATCTCACAATGGAGACATTTACTCAAAAGGTGATCTACCAAATGAGGAAACCATGAAAGGGTTAATGACACAAAAATGTGTTTGTTCTTTATCAACCATCTCTAATGTCCATGTTGATATTGAAGCGTCTCATCAGAACATCAGACAGGCTCATGTTTACGATGTGGAGACGCATATAGACAGAATCAGGTGGTTGAAAACCGTCTCCAAATGTTCCCATCGTCTCGGATGTGTGCCTGCATGCAAAAGCATGACGCGCAGACTGCACTTCCTCCCGCACTCCTGTTTTCCTTCTCCTGTTCCCTGGCAGTTGCTTGTCAAACCAGGGCTGTGTCTGGGCTTGAATGATTCAGATAAAGCCGCCTGTAGCAGTAGCAGCGCCTCACTCACTGGGTGCAGTAGAGTGCAGGAATAGTCAAAAGTTTACTACCAGTACTCATTTTCTAGGGCAAAGGTCCGTTTTGTCAACAGAAGCCTGTCAAACCAGCCAGCAGGCATTAGCTCTGGGTTTGTTTAAGTGTACCTGGTTTCAGCTTTGAACAGGCTTCAGAATATTCATTTCATAAACGTTATAAATAGCCCAAATGTTTCCACAATATGTTTAGGATCCCAGTGGATCATGCATTATAATCATATTGCATAGAAAATTATGATTGAATTATTCTATCTATAACATTCTCCCGTATATGTTCCTCCTCCAGGCTCTGTGTGCTGGTCCAGGACAGCTATGGCATGTTCAGTGTGGTTCAGTTGCACCTGCTGCTGTCCACAGACGACCTTCAGAAGTACAGCGAGATGTGGCGAGGGAGACGCTGTCTGCTGAGGGCCATCAAAGTGGTACAGCGCGTCACACGAGAGAGGTTAACAATCGAGTCTCATATTGCAGCATTGAAAAGTATATTAGGAGATGTGTCTGTATTAGAAGTTGGTTATAATGTATTATTTTTGTTTTATTGTTGTTGTTGTTGTTTTGTTTTTTTATCAACACAATACAGTTTGAATAACAGTCATACAATGCATAATGTGGAATGTTAGATCAAGATTTGGAAATTGGGATAAATGCGACGATTACGATAGTTATATGATTGCCATTCTTAACATAAGCAAGTATTAAAATTCGATTCTGCGATTATATTGAAATTCATGTCCCTCATATTATTCTTAAGCATTATAATTATTGAGGAAAGTAAGACTGCTCTACTCAAATGTCACATTTATTATGGTCTGATTATTAACTGAAGAGCAAAAATTTAGGAGGGTAGTGCAAAAACATTTTCCTTGAACATTCAGGACACCTCCCCAGGACATAACTTAAATTACACTAATACTAATAGACTAGAGAGTAATAAAAAGCAGACATAATAGAGTAATATAAACCTCAGCTGTAAACTCGGAAACATGAAAGTGAAACAGATTATGATTTATTTAAATGCCTCAATACTTTGCTCTACTGCAAAATATCACAATACTGAACAGAATCCATTTATTCCCCACACTACTACTAAAGAATACGCAAAGCCTAACTCTTGCATGATCATAACATCATATCTCATAGACTGATCTAAAACAGTTGTGCATGCCGGCCTCATGGGGTGAGGAGCCTCTAACCTGTCCTGATATGACACTGTACGCCGGCTCCCACAGGCACAGCCCTGATCTAAAAGCTGATTCAGGATTCCAATATGAACTTTGTCCATCAACAAATAAATAGTTCTCATTTTTATCCTCAAACGGCCTTTCTAAGCAGCGCAGCAGAGCTTTGCGGTAGAATACAATGAGCAGTTTAGAGCTCACATGAAGGTGATTACTCTACCACACGTCCCACTCTGTTTACATGAAAGGTGACACTGAGGGGCATGTTCCGATTCCCTTGTGAGTTTCCATCGCTGACATCCCAGATTAGAAACAGTTAGTAGAAGTGACACAGGAGCGTTTGGAGAACATTTAGGGGCCGGCGAAGGGTATGTTTACATCCTTGTTATTTTCGATACCACCGCAGCTTGCCCTGTGTCTGGTGGTTGTCTGGGGCTGTGCCTTGATGAATGGTCCACCTTCACAGGGCTCCCCAGTTCGTGCTTCGTATTTTTGATTGGTCGGGATAAAGCTGGGGTTGTGTATTTTTTTTTTTTACAGAGACGTCTATAAGCAATCTTATCATTATAGCACATACCACACTCCACCTGTAAAGAGGTGCGACCTGCAAATAAAAAAAGGAGAAGCCAGCTGCAAATAGGCATGGACCGGAGCCAGTGCAGTAGAATGAAGGCCTATGTAGTGCTCCTGTATAGAGGGTCTTGTATGTTTCTCTAAAAATGTAACTAAATTGCAGCTTTTCCTTCATTCAATAGCTAGGGTACCAAACTTGCTTGCAAACCACAAAAAATAGACTTTGTAACGCAATCTATCTCACAAGTTACCAGCCCCTAAAACAGCTGGGTGCTTCCACTAGTTTTCACATGCATGTATTTGTTGTCCTCCATCACGTCTGTTGATCAGCCCTTTGCACAGGACCCCCATCATTAACAATAGTACAAAGTGTCCAAATATCAAAAATACAAACGTCACATACTAATCTATACTCGTAGGGAATGGTTTAATTATGTGATGTGAGAGTAACATTGTGCATAGAATAACAGCTCTCTGTCCCCAACCACTCCCCTTCCAAGCCACTGCCTTATGCCCTGCCCCCTGGTTCATTCTGCCTGTCAACAAATGTTATTGCAAGTACAAAGTTTGATATTTCTAGAGCGGTTTTATACATTATCACCACCAGTAAAAGCTTGTGGTTTCATTTTAATAAGCTACAGTATATATGTGTATGTAAAAACACAGCACATTAGTATATAGAGTATCAAGTCAGTATATCTAGAGGGTCACGGAGTTTGTACTTCACAAGAAGGTACTGGGTTACATTCCACCGGGTCCTATCTGTGTGGAGTATGAATGAGTATGAAGGTTATGATTGGAGGCTTCGATGCGTCAGTGTGTTTGACATCTCTCTTCTACCATCAAACGTGTGAAAAATATTGCTACTCCAAAACATTGTAAAGCGCATAGGGGTGTCCAAACTTTTTAGTAAGAGGGCCACTTTAGTTCACCACACTAGTCCAGTGGCTAGTGGACGCTGTTATATGAACGGAGATGAAGTTGACTGAATGACACATGTTTACCGTCTCACAAGCTCACAAATCAACACCTGAACTCCAGACGTACTGGGCTTTAGAACAAGGTCTATATTGTCTGAGCTGAAGTTCGATGGATGACACAGTGAACTTTATTTTTATGATCTCAGAGACTACATTGGGTTAGCGTGGCAGAGGGCCACATACACTGACACTGAGGGCCGCAACTGGTCCCCGGGCCTGAGTTTGGACATGCCTGGCATAGGCTGACCTTGGTCTGGGAAAGGCGTTATATAAATAAAGACCACTTCCTACTTACTATATATCAAAATCGAGTGTGTAATGTTAGGTACTAGATACTAACTTAGTAAAAAAATAACTTCAATTCAGTAAATCCATGTACTGTGAAACTTTCATGAAGTACTCTCAAAACTGTTTTGTTCGATCACTGGCCTTTTTCCCTCTGTCACATCTTTAGATCAACTTTTTCAGTGAAAGAGAGATTACCAGCCCTCAGCTCTAGATACATAGATACTTTATTAATCCCCTGTAGTAGAAATTCAGATGTCCAGTAGCAGCAGAAACTAAGTATGTAAGTAACACATTTTCTAACAAGATGAATCCAGCATGTTGTGGTCTGATTTGTTCTGTGAGGACAAACAAAAATGTATTTATGAAACAAAACAAAAACGTGAGGTACTCCAGCTTTAACTATTAGGAGCTCGTTTTAGTGCCAAAGTGGCCAGTAGCACGGACAGATTTATGAGCTGTATATGTTATGTCTGACGTCACGTTTCAAGACGGCAGGTTCCAAGAAGGATCGTTAGAGAGGGATCTGAACTGCTGACCTCCTGCTTTATAGGTCCACCTTTTGCCCTTCTCATCACTGTCACTCACACATCTAAGTTTAAACTGCTGCTGTGAGTCTGCTGCGCGACGCAATGGTGGTGGTTGCCGAGGCTCAGATCTGCAGTCTAACTTCCGGCTGTCTATCCCAAGGGCAGTTTACCACCACACTGTGCAGAATGATGCCATGTGTCTTTGAGTGTCCAAATGTCCAAAACAGGAATATGTAAAACCAATGCTTTCCTATTATTTTTAGGCAAGGCAAGGAAAGTTTATTTGTACAAGGTAACTCAAAGTGCTTAATAAAACAAGAAGGAAACAATCACACAAGGCATAAATATTCACAGTACATTAAAAAGAGTGAAGATAAGTTCCCTCATTTGTATGCAGAGCTAAACAGAACTGTTTTTCTGACCTGGTTTTGAAGGCTGTCAGAGAGGAAGCCGGCCTCACATTTTCAAGAAGACTTGCATACATCTGAAATGCAGCCTCCCCATGTTTAGTTCTGACTCTGGGCACCAGCAGGAGTCCAGTCCCTTTGCTCCTCAGAGTCCGAGTTGGTTCATATGGGACTAACATGTCACAGATGTACTTTGGTGCGAGGCCATGGAGAGACTGAGCCACAGCAACCAGCGCAAAGACCTGAAGACTGGACTAATGTGATCGTGCTTCCTTAAACTTAATGCAGATTAAATGTCCCTTGTGAAAAGGGTCAAAATGGAATCAAAGTAAAGAAGGCTGTAAAATATGTTGATGTCTACGTGCTTAAGAATCCTTAGCTGAGGTGGAGGGTTGAAATCAGGCTAAAAATCTGTTAGTCCGTAGCCAGCCGAACTTTTTGAGGTATGTTACAAACTACCAAACAAGCCTGGGTATTAGCTCTTTGGCGGAGGGAAAAATAATATATAGTAATTTGCAGGATTAGCTGTTGTGGGTTATATTTGTACATTAGACATGAATGCATGCATTAAGAACAACAGCTAAAAGAAAGTGCTTCATAAATGTCTAATGTTAATTGATCCTCTGGGAAGTTTCATTTGTAATATATTGTGTACTTAAAGCAAGAGCTAAAGGACTTTTAAGGAAACCGATTTGTTTGCATAAAAAAGATATTTACAGCAGTTTCTTATTTTTGATTTTCTCATCTTGTTTAAGTATCAAGTTAAGATTTCTGGTACCCTCTGCTGAACATTCTGCAGACATAGACCGGGTCATATGCAGTTATTGAAAAAACTCAATGGGGAAAGTTGCTCCTGCTCAAACTCTCTGTCAGCGTGAGGTGAAGCAGAGGATTAAAATCACAAATGAGGCGGTCTTATACTTTTGTCATGTAGCACAGCTCACCCCATACTTGAACGGGCTGCAGAACCAGTTCCGCACAAAGGAACCCTGTCATTAAGTGCTGACTAACAGGTTGTTAAGCGCGGGCTGATATGACGGCACCTGTACGGATGAATGAGTAACAATGGCCACAAAACTCCACAAGAACATCTACCAAGATACAGTAAAGTTCTCACCATGTGTTCATTTCAATACATAAACATATTTCTTTCTCAATACTTTGATTTCCAGACAACAATTTTGAACAAGACAAAGCAGGTACTAGATCGAGAGATAGATGGATACTTAGCAGCAGAAACCTGTCCATCCATACAAACAAAACAAATGCATACCGGTAATTCTAAAAGTCACTAACTTCTGAGAAGCAGAAGCCACCACTCACTACACATCTGAAAAGAATTTGGATAAAGGAAATGCCAATCTTCTGCATTTTCTGTCATCAGTGTTGGGGAGAATACTTTGCAAACGTATGGTTACTGAATCCTTTCATTTAACATGTTTTATGTACCGTATTCCGCTACATTGCTCAGTCACAGTGCTGTATTCTGAATATTTGCAATACTTTCATCCTAATTTGCATATTGGCATAAACAAGTGCCACATGTTTTAACACGTAAAACTCACTTGCATGCAAATAAATGTGTACTTTTTATTCATTACCATTTCTGTAAAATTACCCCTTTGAAGCCTGTATTATATTAATCCTGTATTTTAAAACGGCAGCATGCGTTCCTATGATTATTGAAAGTAACTTCTACAATACATATTTTAAGTACTTACAAACACTGTTATATATTATATGGTTCTATAACTTAAAATGTACAATAAAACACATTTACTTATTTAGAGTTAATGATCTACTGGACTAAAGTGCACATCATATTAAAAAAAAGTATTGTTTTTATTATATAAGTTTATTGGTTTTTGCTTTATAAATATATTTATTTTTTTACTTTTTTGTTTCAGATTAAAAGAGTAAACACATAAATGCATATATGGATTTTTGGCCAAAAAGTTTTTAATTTTTCCCCTGCAACTTGACACACATTGTATCAGCAGCCTCTGAAAGATACGGCCACCATGATACCTACTTTAAGACCCCCACTGATATCTTTTGTTGTTGTGTCCTTGGGCAAGACACTTAACCCCACTTTGCCTGAAGCCCCCACTGAAAGATCCAGGCTCCTGTGCACTCACCACCTGCAGGAGGATCAGTGAGGGACTGGTGCTCTGTCCCCGATCCAACAATGGATTATGGGGAAGAGAATGGATGTATGGATGGATTTCTTTGGTCAAATTAAAATAAGCAAGAACATTTTCACAGACAGAATGGGTTTGGGCTGAAGTTATTTAGCCTTAAACCCATATCATGCTTTGGTGCAATATCTTGAACTAATGTCAGAATGTGCAATATAGAACCACATGAGTCACTTTGTCCCAGACCATCACATGTGCAGATGTAAACACACAACAGTCTATCACTTGCTCTAAAATATACAACATTTTATACTTCCTTATTATGCTGAAGTCAGGGGTTTTTGCACTTAAGTCTTGCTTCTTCATCATGCTAAGATTGGAGATTTGAAGACTTATTTCCTTATTAGGCTAAAGATAGAGATTTTATACTGCTTCTTTTTATGCTAGAGTTAGAGAAAGTATTTTATTTTATTATAGAGTTATTCATTTGTCTTGTGCTGTGTGCTCCTCATCCCTACTGTTCTGTAACTTTTGATGCAACACTGAAATTTCGCCACTGTGGGACGAATAAAGCATCTCTTCATCTTAATCTTAATATAATAATAAAATAATAATAATACATCAAACTTATATATGCTTTTTGGACACTCAAAGACGCTTAATATCATAAGAATCTGTGCGTCTGAAGACTGTTGTAGTGTAGTGTAGTTGGTGGGTGTGCTCTGCCAGCCCCGGCTTGCTGCTCCGCCGAGTCTGACGTGAAAAGAAGCTGTGCCTTAACAGATTCATGTTTCAGTGGAAGTGAAACTGCTGACAAAGCTCTCTATCTTCCCCAAAAAGGTGGTGTTAAGGAGTTTCTTTCCCCCACCCCACCAAAACACCCTCACCCTTACACCCCCACCTCCACCTCCACACCCACATTCTCCTCTGATTGTACATGCCCCTGATTTTAATTTGAGTTTCTTACTTTCTTCCCTGTTTTTTTCCCAGACACGCCCGACTTTTTGGTGTGATCGACAGTCTCTGGCCCCCGTTGGTGCCACTGAAGTATCATGGAAGCACAGCCAGTATGCAGACTGTGAGTTTTGTCGATCATGCTAGACTTTTTATCTATACCAGACAGGTTACGTACATGTTCTACATTTATATTCCTATCACCGACCATTACAACTTCATTATGGGAAAGAAATGTCCAAATAATTCCCCAGATTATTATTTGATTGTGATTAGATTTAAAAAACCTGCCATTTTTATTCTTATGTCTGAAAGTCTGGTCTACTGGCAAAGGTCATGTACATGTTATTGATTAGTGTCACCTCAGTTTTATGAAAATAATGAGACCATAGTTGATGCACTGACTTTGTTTCATGTGGATTTCCTCAAGAATTACAGAGAAAATGGCTGTAAACTCTTTGAAATGTTGTGATGTCACATAAACGCAATCTCTTCTAAAATAGTGATGTTATGAGTGAGTTATTTTGTTTGCTTTAGTGGTACAAGATCTTCACAAGTGCAATTCAAAAATATACTAAATATATATTAACAGATCATTATAGTCAGACATGACACTGACCTACATTAAAACAAATCAGTGATACGATTATGAAACTTGTCATTTGTGCTTTCTTTCATTTGATGATCTTAATTTGAAGCATTTACAGATATGGCTGTTTGGCGCAGATTTTTTACCTTTATCTTACAATGAAATGTATTTGCCATTGGTGGTTATTCATTTTTAAATACACATTATTCTTCCCCTCTCCATAAATATTGAAGTTGTTTTTTTATTCACACATGTAAGCCTTAAAGCTGCAATATCTAACCACAAAAACATGGATCTAAGTCAAATTATCTAATTATCTAGTTCCTAACTCTGAAGGCTGTTTTCTTCATGCATCTGCTACTATGGCAGGTTATTTCAATTATTTCTCTGGAAAACAACCACATCAACTCAAAACATAAATTGTAATTATTCATCCAAACATCTGTTACAATTCCCAGTCAGATCTGACTTTGGTTAAATTTTGGTTCAGTCCAGCAAAAAGAAACTCATTTTGTTCAGAAAAAAATGACAGATTTGAGTTGTAAGAACAGCCTCCAGGTTGAAATGATCTTATTCTACACTTTTTCAGAATGTTCCTGCACAATAACTCCTAAATCCCAGGGATAATGAGGGTCTTGAGCAGTGTTCACACTCACTAACCAGCTTCTTAGCAACAGCTTAAAAAAGTGCATAGAAAATATCGTTTTGTGCATGATTTTGGTTTGCTTTTGCAGAAAGGCCTTGTTGCTGGTCCACCTCCGAGTTTCTGCTACTTACTTTCTGGTCTGGAAAGTTCTGTGGAGCCCACGGAGGAGTCTGCACTTTACTTTCCCCCAAGAATACAAACATTAAAGGAAATCTTATTGGTTCGTCCACAGTCATTGTTTGTATTCGTAATTTTATGTATTTTTTTAAGCAGTATTTTCATTTTTTTTTTGCAGAGGGAGACGAAATCCTGCCGCTGCAGCTTTGTCGCCACAGTTGTATACCATAAAAAACAGGTGAGATTTGTGCAAAACCACTGAATAAATCTAGTCTTGATCGCTTCCCTTTGTATTTTACGGATGTACGTCAGCTTTTATCCCTCCTGAGATAATTAGGAGCCTCACACAGATAAGATAGCATGAGGCCTGTGCTGCTATCGCTCTATCTGGGGCGCAGAGCTCTTTTACCATTGATTGTTGAGACCTTTAAACCGTGAGCACTTATCAGAGCAGGGAAAAGCAGCCGTGAACTTTGAATCACGCTCACACCACTCACTGAAGCGCACTTAGCAGAGCAGCCCTAGAATGTGTTGTTGAGTAACTGATCTCGTCAATGATCATTTACATCTCCAGCCATTCACTTATGTAACAGTGTGTATATTATTTCTCCTGTTACAGCTGGTTGGCTCTGGTTTCCCTCTATTTATTTAGCTTTTGTTTCAATTTTCATGACTTAAAGTAATGCCTGATTGAATGCAAGATCTTTTTCAATTGTTTTTGCCGACCAGACCTTTTTCACACCAAGTCTGATCTTTAATAGATAGTCACTAGTCAAGAATCTAAATACATATAACCATATAAAATATAAATACTGGTGCCAAAATAACATTGTAAACAAACCATTGCAGACAAAAAGGATATTTTATGTGAATAATACACGTCTCACTGAACAATAAATCATGAACAATAAATCAGTGGCCGTGTCTCTCAGATCGTCAAGGGTGCAGTGTCTGCGGCATAATCCAATATAAATTACTCATACTTGCATGGATCCATTTAAATAAGATAAGAGAATCTTTGTTCGTCCCATAGTGGGGAAATTTCAATGTTGCAGCGCACATACGGGACAGTAGGAAACACACAAAATATAAGATAAACTATTGATCACATGTTCATAATGTTAATGCCATTTTATGTGGATTTATTGTTATAATAAACAAATACAGTTCATATGTTTACTATGTTGTCATTTATACTTCCATTCAAACAACCATTTACAGAAAAATATCAGCATAATTTCGCCAATAGTTTGGAATGCAATTAATTACGATTAATTCATTTTTAAGCTGTAATTAACTCATAAAAAAACTAATCGTTTGACAGCCATAATTAAAACATCTACAATGAACAGGTAAGTAACTGCTCACCGACTGACATTGGCCTCTTTTGAATATTTCGACCTTTTATCTATTTCTCTCTTTTTTTCAGAAGGGTAATATAGGCCAGGAGCAGATGTGGTTAGCGCTAACAGACCCCAGTCTACAAGACGAGGAGAGACCACCGATGCGGACTGTGACTCTGTGCATTAGTGCTTCCTGTGCGCTCACTTCCTTTGTCCTAGAAGCTCTGAAGCAACGCATCTGTCGCCTGTCGTTCACGGACGTCATCAGAGAACATGGTAATATCTTCAACAACCAGCAATAACTCATAACAAGAATGACGGTCAAAAAAGTCATGTTATTTTCATTTTTACAAGAATTCTTATTTATGAGCATATGACTCTATAGTATCAGGTCAAATGAAAATAGTGATAGAATATAATACCGGTAATAACAATAAATCAGTGGTGTGGCTTGACATCATTTTGTCCAATCAGGAAGCTGTGGCTGTGGTAGAAAGCATGGGCCACTGCTGAGTCTGTGCACCTGTTCTGATAATCCACTACTCCCTTTACCTGCTGTTTTTATTACTGCATTATTACGTATTTATTTCATCTGATAACTGTTCTGATAACTCACTACTCACTTTACCTGCTGCTATTAGTACTGTTGTTTATCCTGGTCACATTCTCTGCTGCTAAAACACAATATACACATCTGTAAACACCTCATCATGCTGCTAACTACAAAGTGTACTTATCCTTGAACCAGTGCAATTATAGTTCCAGAGTTTTATTATATTATCTTGGTAAACATTGAGAATGAGGGCAGATAGGTCCATAAAGCCTTGTCTTTTTAATGCACTACACAGAAGAGGTTCACACACAGCAGTCGAGTGGAATCATTGACAGGGGCTTAGTCCAACTCTCAATGAATGCACCACATGTCATACTATTAGGAAAAGAAAAAACATCTACATGTATTATTACGGTGAAATATGGAACATAAATTGAAAACTATTGCTGTTTTTGGTTCTCATCCACAAGCTGATGATGATGATGGTAAAATCTCTTGTGAAAGTCTGAATCTGTTTGCAGTCGCTTAAATGAAGTAAATTATATGTACCTGTAAAAATACATTGTAAAACTACTCACCACCACTAGGCAAGACCAGGCAAGGCAAGTTTATTTATATAGCACAATTCATACACAAGGCAATTCAAAGTGCTGAACAAAATAAGAAAGCATTAAAATCATAAATAATCACAGAACATTAAAAAGAAAGATATAAATATAAAATCCCTCAGTTGTATGCACAGCCAAACGGAACTGTCTTTAACCTGGTTTTAAACATTGTCAGCGAGGAGGCCTGTCTCACCACTACCACCACTACCACCACTAACACCACCACTACTACTACTACTACTACTACTACTACAACTAAGTAAGTAAGTAAGTAAGTAAGCTTTTTTTTATATACCGCCTTTCACAGACCAGAGTCACAAAGCGGTTTACAATTGTTATTTTTTTTTTGGGCACTTGTCCTCTCACTCCACACAGACATGGGAGCGGGGTCGCCGAACAGGAGGCGCATGCCAGATCTATTGTACATATTTTTAGTGGTAGGGGAAACCGGAGTACCCGGAGGAAAGCTACGCAGACACGGGGAGAACATGCAAACTCCACTCAGAAAGGCCCTGGTCCGGCCGGGATTCGAACCCAGGACCTTCTTGCTGAGAGGCGAGAGTGCTATCCACTCAGCCACCGTGCCGCCCAACTACCGCTACTACTTTGAAAATTCCCCACTGAGGGACAAATAAAGGTTTATCTCATCTTATATCCAGTTTATACTTTTGACTGATCAAAAGTAAAGTGTTGTCTCTCCTTTGGCCCAGGCCTGTTGCTGTGTGCGGAGCAGTCTGTCATTCAACCCAGCGCGGTGCAGGCAGAGCCCACAGAGAGCTCCGTTCTGGGGTCTCCTGGTGCCGTGAAACCAGTGCGACTGGATGAGCTGGATCCTGCCCTCTCCCCCTGCTCCCTGTGCACAGTCTCAGGTCAGTGCTTCTCTGGTTTTCCTCAAACTGGTTCCAAAGTGAGAAACAAAGCTCTACAGACGGCTGCTTTTGATGTGGCCATTGTTTCTTCTGTTTGTTATTAAAAGTCCTCAGGCTTCAGAGTGTGAAAAAGGCTAAATATCTGCTTAAGGAGGAGTTGGGCTTCTAGTTAGGATCTTCCTTTGTCATTATACAAACAGCGGAATTACTAAGGATTCTCTGATCTGTGAACCGGTAAATGTTTAAGATTTTGTGAAGTCCTCTGAGACACTGTTATGATTTAGGGCTATACAAGAATAAACTGAATTCAGAGCGACTCAGAAAGGCCCTATATCCCTGTATGGATGCCAGAACATTCTAGCTGAGAGGCGAGAGTGCTATCTCCTTAGCTACTGTGCTGCATTGTAATAGCTTTTTGTTTAAATTTTCATCTTAAACCACGGCTGAGTAACTATTGAGACATAAAGCTCCTAGGATAAAAGTAGGTATTACTAGTATAGTATGGTGTATGCTTATAGTGCATTCAAATGTATTCAAATAAAAAATGTCCTCATGGTAAGTGATTTTGTATCTCCACATCCGTCTTATTGTTTCCATTGAAATGTCTGTGTTGAATGTTCCACACTACAGTTCTTTAAGACTAAAAGTTAAATTCAATTTATTCTTTTATAGCCCTAAATCATTACAGTATCTCGGAGGACTTTACAAAATTGTCAAATGTCCCGGTTCACAGATCAGAGAATCAAACGGTTCAAACACAAGAACTGCAATTGATTGGTTGCAAGCGTTAAAAGTAACTCAGCGCAGTATGCCTCTGCTAAAGTCAGAAATATTGTGATAAAAATATAGTACTTTTCTGGTTGCCTTGCTTACTGTATATATTTACACATGCAAATATATACATATAAATATACAAACAAGCCACAGTATTTGCCATAGTTTCACTATGTGTTGGTATGTATTTACAAATGCATTTCTATTTACAATTTGTCTGCTCAAAATGGAGTGGGAAAGAAGTCAAAACGTGTAGACTCCCACCCAATGATAAAATAACACATAGAAGTCATTGGTCCATAAGAGGCAGATGACCAATGTCCATACATGTTGATAAATGTCCATGTAGTGTCCTGGATCATCACCGCCTGCATCGACAAGGAAAAACTCTAAAAAGATGTTTGTCAAAGGATTATATATATTTTTTATTTATTTCACCTTTATTTAATTAGGAAAGTCCCATTGAGATTAAGAACCTATTTTTCTTATATATACACTACTGTTCAAAAGTTTGGGGTCACCCAAGTGTTTTCCATGAAAAGTCACACTTATTCACCACCATACGTTGTGAAATGAATAGAAAATAGAGTCAAGACATTGACAAGGTTAGAAATAATTATTTGTATTTGAAATAAGATTTGTTTTACATCCAACTTTGCTTTCGTCAAAGAATCCTCCATTTCCAGCACAGACATTTCAATATGACCCCAAACTTTTGAACGGTAGTGTAAGTATTTATAGATGAAATGCTATCTAATACTGTAGGGTTGAGATCATATGTCACACACGTGACTTTGTGAACTTTTGTGTATTTTCTGAATTATGCAAATGTTGCCCCCAAAGTACAGATAATAATGCGCATCTGTTGCTCAGTGTCAAAGTTTAGGGAAAAGATCGCGGCGGCGTTAGGCCCCTCTGGCTCTTTGTGTTTGGTCAGGTGGCTGAAAAAACAAACTATTTTTCCCAGTTTGACAGTAAATTATCTGGAAATAACCTGCAAAAAGAGACCGGAATGTACATCCGTTTTTATCAGTGTCAAAGCGCACGTATTGCTGTAAGTCAACTTAGGAAGTAAGCTAGCAGCAGTTATCGCTCAATCTTAAGATTTAAAAAAAAGAGGTATGTTTTTACACACATCTTTTTTCTGGTGAAACACTCCTTTATCATGTCATAATCTCCCAACCACAGCTAAAATAAACTGCACATACCGTTTTCAGGGGTGGTAGTTGGTGTGGATGAAAACACTGCTTACTCTTGGCCTGCGTGCGACCGCTGTGGAAGTGACCAGTTAGAAATGCTGCCTCAGTAAGTTTTCCAAAGAAGTTCATATTCCTGTTCATTACTTGGCAGTAACTTACTTTTGTTTTTTGGCTTTGTTCAGTCAGAGGTTCCACTGCGTTTCGTGTAAATCTACTCTTGACAAACCAAAAACAAATGTTCAACTTGAAGTCATCTTGAGTCAATCTTCCCTGAAAGACTGCACAATAAAAATGAAGGTGTGAGGACGATAATTACTCCTTATCAACTACTTAGCTTTATACAACTTTACTAATTCTGCTGCAAAGTAGAAACATAAGGCTGTACACTGCAAAAACATGATAAAAAATTAGGTTATAATTTCTTGAGATGAGTGGATTTTGTGAATTCATTCTGACTGCCTTAAAACCAGATTTACCAATGAGTAATTTTGCCTCAAGTGTTTCTTTATTTTCTCATTCAAAGGGAGATAATTCTTGCATCTTTTTAAATCAAGATCATTTTGCTTGTCGCATTGGCAAATCTGGGTTGAGGTCAGTAAGAATGTGCACAAAATAAGATGCATTTTGCCCAAATGTTAGCCATTTTTGACTTATTTTTCATCACTTTTTGCAGTGTATTTCTGTATTAGCCTGGGTTAAGCTTTACAAACGTTTGTTTTAATTCTTCTGCTTCCCTCACAGCTGCAGAAAAAGACTATCTTGTCCCTGCTGAATATCCCTGAACTGGAGGGGGGAGAGGTAGGTTTACTCTGTGTTATGTAACTCTGGGTTTCACCAGGCTCCTGTTGAACTGTAAAGGTGAACATGTCTTCTGTCAATATGCCCTGAAACAATCACAGTCCATGTTTTACTTATGCCACTCCTGAGTTCTGCTCCTCATTTCCCTGCTCTGACCCATGTAAAGCACAGTGCACTTGAATCCACTGCTCTTCTACTTGGATATAATTAGTAAATTACCCCAAAAGGCCGGTCTGAATCCATCACAACAACAGAGCAACAGAACTAAGATCTGTGTGCAAGACATTGTGAGGACTTTAGATGTGCTCTTAACCCTTTCATTTTCACTCCTTGAAGAAAGCAATGTATGTTTTTATTTTTGTAGATGTAGGAGCACTGATAACACAAATTATTAGGTTTTAACCCATAGTTTAACCCCTAGCAAATGGTTGAGATGCACTTTGATGGTAAAAGTGCCTAAAACCAAGTGTTAAATATGCCCCAATGAGGTAGAGTTCAGTTATGTCTTGAATTTCAAGTAATCTTCAAGTAGATACAGTCCACCAAATAGTTGAAGAAACATTAAAGGGTTAAATATAATCTCCAGTGAAAGAACCCTATTGAACATTTGACTATTTTAGGCGGGAAGAGTTGTTCTGAATCTGATGTGTTTGCTTCAGTTCCCAGGCTATGATGTGGAGAGCGTCCTGGGAAAGGAGCTGGGCCCCCTCACCGCTTATGTCCGACTTATCACAAGGAAGCCCTCTCTGTGGATAGGCCTGGAAGAAATCAGCCTGTGAGGCCATTTGGCTCCAAGGATCTGTGCACTGGGCTCTACCCCCTCGAAGGCCTCCACTGCAGTGAACAGGCTGCAGAAGACAAGGTCTTGTTTGTGTTAATGATATGTGATCCTGTGCTCCAGGAGTTGACAGCCCAAGGGTAGACCAATAGCATGCAGCCTGTCAAAGCAACCCACATGTTTGTGCACATCACAGAAATGGGTTTAAATGAATCTCATTTGTCAAATTATTACTGAATGGTGCTAATTCTTTGTAAATAAATGTTGCTGTTGACATTCCTCTGTACTTTTGTTACTATTCAAAGACAGAAGTTCATTTTAGGTTCATGTCAGTCTACTCTGCAGCTCCAAGTACAAAATCAGACCAGGGCGGTGTGCACTTTTGCAGTTTGGTTTTATTATAGATTTCATAAACAAAAGGTTTCCATACAAACTATATAAAAGATCATGCTCTGGCTCATACTAAGTTTGGAATTAAACATGTACCATGTTAGGTATTAAAACATAAATGCAGTGGTAAAATAATTTAATAAACAAATTCCACATAAAATGGCAGCGACATCATATAAACTGTATTTCCAGTGCCATTATGGTAAGCTTAATTTACATCTGGTACAGATGGTAATACAAAGTGTCTATTTGAGGTATGTGTCCTGAAGATCAGTTCATTTGTACAGGAGGGGTGTCTCCAGTCTGTCACCGACTCTCCAAACTCGTGGAGCCTGCAAACGCAGAGTTCGGAATCTGCTTGAAGAAATCCCGGAGCCCCTGGAGATCTCTCGTTAGCTGCTCGATCGTTTTGTGAAGTCTGTCATTATCTGCGCTCAGCTCGATCATCTTCTGTTGCATGTCAATGTTTCGCCTCTTTGCTTTGTCCCTGCTTTTCCTCACAGCAATGTTATTCCTCTCTCGCCTCTGTCTGTACTCCACGCTGTATCTGTCCACGGACTTCTTGCCTCTTTCTCTTCCTGCTTTCCGCGGGGAGGACTTGCCCACAGACCCGGGCTCCGGACTCGTGGGTGGCGTTGGCTGTCCCATAGGAAGGCTCACGGAGGTCTGTGCGCACCTCTCGATCTGAGAGGGCAGGGACGAGGACATGTCACTGTCGCTCCAGTCGGACTCCTGCTTGATCGGAGCACTGAACATCCCTTTATTCAAGCCACAGTCCACGCTCCTCTCCGTGGGGTACCCTGTGCTCAGTGCGTTTGACAGCACTGGCGCCGCTGTCATTCCATAAAATTCCTTCTCCTGTTTCACGTTGTTGAACAGGTCAAGGAAAAGTTCATCGTTACACAGCTCCAGGTTTGGCACCGCTGTCATGGACTCGATATACTGACTGAAGTCGATCGCGCTCTCGTCATCGTAGATTGCAGGCGCGTTGCTCAGCTCCACCATGGTGCCGTCCTCGCCCTCAGCTTGGCCCCTCATGCCCGGCTTGCACACGCCTTGCTGGGGGCCACTCACTTTGATGCTCTCGTAGAAGTTAGCTGGCTCCATCGCCCAACTCATGTTGCATTGTGGAGACACGCAGTGGGAGTCCAGGCTGTATATGTCACACATGAACACTGATGTCTGCTCCACGTGGTTTTAAGCAAACAAAAAAATCAAAAGCGTAAAGCAGATGTGTTTTTTACGCACAACTTTTGCAGCTTCTCTCCACGCGCTTCTATTTACTTTTAGTTGCGCCCTGGTTCGAGATTGACACCCTGGATCTTGTCTGTCAGGTCGATCGGAGGAAGGTTGTCAAATCTTGTCATGAGCTCTTGTTTCTCTGAGGCGTTAGGAGTTTTCGCGGAGTGGTTTTGTATCATTTCACTGAGCTGACGTCAGACGCACCGCCCTCCCGCGAGCCAGTCAAGTCCAGTCCTGACGGTGTCACGTGATGTCCCATTTCAGGATGGGGGGGGGGGGGTGCTGCTGCCTTCTACCTTCTGCCACCCACTCTACTACGAGAGCATGAATGGCACGGGATTGTTTACATAGAGCGTGGGTGTGCAGGGTTAAAGCTGGGGTACCTAACTTTCAATAATGTCTTCAAATCCATTATCACCCTTTTCACATGTTTTTATTCCTGGCCTCTGCCACATAATTAATTCAGATATTATTATTTTTTTATTGAGGGGGAAAAAAAAATATGTATGTTTTTTTTATTTCATTATGGAATCAAACATGGAAAATAACGTATCGCAGAGGGGGACAACGTAAAACCTGTCAAAACCTGGCCATGGTTGTTATTAAAGAAAAAAGAATGAGGACAAGCAACATTTCTTGAATAAGCAAAGTACAGAACAACCCAACAGGATTTGGGTTTTGTTTTTTATTGTTTTGGGTGATGTGAAAGGTGAGTGTGTTGCTTATAGATTCGGTTAGTTTTGGAATATTGAGACAAAAGATTTTAAACATTTTGACTTTTGAATATGAATTAGCCAAGGATCATATACAGATTACCTATAGCTAACCTTTTCAGACAGAAAAGTGAAAAAGAGTGGGTCAGGGGAGTTTAGCTGATTTGTTTTGAACCATATAGTTAAAGTGAATAAACACTTGACACAATGTACAACGACAAACTAAAATAGTGCAACAGTAATTGTTCAAAAAGGAGTGGGAAGAAGTTTGAAACGTATTAACTCCCACTCCTTGACAAATATAGGGAGCAGTCTGCAAGATGTTGATACATGCCACAACATAGTTTACAGTTTACAACAGCGAGCTGCTTTACTGTTGGTCCAGTTTAACAACAAATCCTACCAGAAAAATAAATCAAATAAATAGAAATAAACAAAGACAGGAGGAACTCTGAAGCACAAAATGACATTAAAGGATTTTTATTTGCTGTCAAGAGATGTCCTTCTATCTCCAATGTTACCAATGTTTGTTCCACTGCTGATCCTGATGAGCACCTGACAGAAAACGACCCCCTGAAGCACTCATCTTTCTTTATATAGAAGTACATATATTAGTCAAAATAACATAATAAAATAACAATAATAGTGTAAAGACAATAAATAACATATCAGATGCAAGATAATTTTGACCACCATTCAGTTAATTTCTTTCAATCTAATTTGTGTAGTAATTGTCCTTGTACATTAAAACGTGACAACTCTTATGCGTGAATGTGTTGGGGGTCGATGTAGAGCGGTGTTTTCCAGGCTTTCAATCTTGTCCTCAAAAGACCTCCATGTGCTGACACTTCTCGGAAGCCCCATTTTCCCCAAAGGAAGAGCGCTGGACTTTTCCCAAACAGAACTGTGCATTTGATGTGAAACTGCGCCCCTTTGTGGTCATTCAACAGTCCTGCAAGCATTTACAATAATTAAAGTAGTATTAATTACATTTCTAGCTTGCACTTTTACATAGTAGTATTGTGTTTCGGGAATGTATTTATATTAGCACAGATGCAACGTGAAATATATGTTTAAAGAACTAAGAAAAAGATGACAGGCAAAGCTCAAGAACCAGATAAACAAACTAGTATATTTTAAAAATAGGGAATGGTCTTGGCAGTGGTGTACAAAAAAAAAAAAAAACCTTCTGTAATTTACGCTCACAGAATCATCTTGGTTTTCTGGCAGCATCCTGTGTAAAGCAATGAATGTAAAAGTTCACACAGTGTTGTATGTATGAATGTAATTGTGATGCACTGCAGGGCGACCCCCAAAGGCTGTCCACACAACTAGAAATAAGGATTTAAAACCAATATACAAACATGTCATTATTAACATTTATTTAAAAAGTGCTGCCATTGACAAAATAAATATTTATCACTCAAATATAGGGGGCCATATGACGTTAGTATACCTGCCCAGGTCAGGTTTGTGGTGATATCCATGTTTTTATCATATTTTATGATTTGCACACTGGGGTTTCTTTATTTGGAAGATTTTTGAGTCAGCCACCTCCATGTCAGTCCATATAAAGCACAATACCGCAATTTGGCTGTGGTTATTCTCTAAAAATAAGCCCATGGCAGTGAATGGTGTCACCTCTCCTTCTCTCCTCACATAGAACCAACCTGGTAGCATCACATGTTTGCCCCATGCTGTTGCAGCGACGTGATGGAGACGAGCAGGTGGTGGGAGAGACTCATAATGAGGAAACATCACACTCCAGGCCCGTTTCTGGGTGTAGCAGCTTTACATATATCAGTCATTTGCATTACAAATAATGGGGTATCACCATTGGTAGACAGTATCCTTTTTCGGTCTCGGTATCAACTATTCGTCCATAAAAAGTATTAGGGCTTAAACATGTATTAGACAAGTTTTTTACATGAGCATCGTTGAACAAAAAACAAAAACATATATAACTTCTAGGGCAGTGTCTCCCAAAGTGGGGTCCGCGGCCCCCTGGTGGGCCGCGAGGGTACTGCAGGGGGGCCGCGGGAGGTCATAAAAAAAAAAAAATCATCATTTAATGTTAAATTTATAATGTTTTGTTTGTAATATTAAAATATTTGTGTTCATTATTTGACTTGAATAATCCACTGTAATCATTTTTGTATTACAATGTTTGTAGCAGAGGCTATTTCCCTAAAATAAAATAACCAGAAGAGCCTATTCTTAATGTTGTCTTCTTGGTTATTATTTTGGGGGGCCACGCAGACCCGTCAGATTTTTAAGGGGGCCTCGGTGTTACTGAGTTTGGGAATGGCTATTCTAGGGAAAATAATGTAGAAAATCGGGTCAAACCAATGTACGCAGAGGTGTGCCTGACTCTGACTCAGAAGTAACTTATTACTTATAAACTACAATCTTAATAAACGAAAAGGTGAAAATAACCTGATAATACAACAGACTAATAATTTAATGAATACTCAAATAAATAAATCTTATCCGTGTCAATAATAAATACTTTGCTTCCCCCGCTGAAGGCAGAAATGAAGTAACCCGGAAGTGCTGTGCCATCTAGCGTCTGTGATTGGTGCAAAGTTCCGCGCGAAAATTACGTCACGCAGAGTTTGGCGCCACAGCTGCAGCACACGAAAAGACGCAGGGACTGAGGTAAGAGACTGCGCAGTTTATTTCTACATTTTCAGACTTATATTTGACGAAGAATCGGCTGTGAGGTTTTAAGCTCTGTATTCAGTTCCCGTATAGTTGCATCGACTCTTAAATATACCATTCCCTCTGTTAAACTACGGACATTGTTCTGTGAAGTCTCTGAGCCACATGTCAAATGACGGGGGCTTTGTCTCCATATCATACAGTCAGATATAACGCTTCCATCCATATATGGTCTATCAACAATAACATGCAATCCAAATGAAGTGGGTTGCGTCTACTTTGGGTGTTCATTATGTCAAATATAATAGGTATTTGTTTTTTTTTTGTTTTTTTTTTTTGCAAAGACGGACATTTACCCTTTAGCTACCTACGTTATTCCACCTTCCCACAACCCTTTTGCCAGAGATCCCGACCATCTCAAGTCTCCACATTATTCTGTGCAATTTCTGTATCTTCTGTATATTTGGCATCGTAATTTCATACTCTCTACAGACACTCGATGGAATCAACAATGAATGAAAGTTTTTCTTTTCTGTTGCCTCTTTATAACATACATTGCCAAATATTTTGATGTTATGAATAATATGAAGATATGTGTTACCTTTGTAGACAATTTAAAAAAGTTTACAGTATATTATTTTTCAGATTCATTTTATTTGCCATTTGCAGTACAACCACATTGAAATACAATAATTTGCAAAAGTCCCCAGTGTGCATGAGACCAGTACATTAAGTGAACTATTAAAGGTGTGTTTTTCAAAGCACGTTTTTCTTGTATTAGGTGCTAGTGTGTGGCTGTCAAAGTAATTTCCCTTGTGGGTCAACAAGTCTAAAAAATAATGTAATCAATTAGGAATTTTTTGAGGACCATTTTCTTATTCAAAATGGATATTTTGTTTAAAAATGTCAATTCAAAGTCTTTACGTAAAATCACTTTGAAATCCAAGTAATAAAGGGCAGCTCTGAAGCAAACGTCACTTGAGGTATACTGACAACAAACTAACCATAAACACATTTTGTATCTTTTTAGAATATCAAAATGTCTTCTCCTACTTCAACTCCTGGCCGCAAACGTGGAAGGAATACCAACCCTTCCACTCGTAAGTATCCAGCCCCTCTTTGCCATTTGTTTTTTGCTTTGCCTTCATATAACGCTGATTTTATTTTTGCACATTCAGCCAGCAGCGAGGGTCCCATCTCTCCCCCCTCTCAGCGCCGCAGAGGACAGGACTCCTCCACTGGGGACCTGATGCCGATGCCCACCTCCCCTGGTACCGACCTCCTGAGCCCAGCCGCCGCTCAGGACACCTCTCTGTTGTCCAGCCCGCGTCCTTCAGGTATGAATGAGGAACACATCTTTTCATTCACTTTGAAAAATGAAATACTTTGATATAATGTAACACATGTTCTATCAATTAAAAATTATTCTTGTATAGACACAAGAGTGGGTATGCTTGAGAACTTTACTAAACTGTCCTTTGCCAACACAGATCAGCAAATGAAGCGGTTCAAACTAAAGAAATGCAATGATTAAAAAAAACAATCATTATTATTCCATAAAGGACAGATTACCAATATCTGCAAATGTTGATAAATGTCCATAAACGTTTATCTACAGTGGCTCCAAATGAAGTGGACATGAGCTCCCCCCTCATGTACGGGACGCCCAGTTCTCGTGTGGACGCCACTCCACGCAGCTCTGTCCGGGGAACTCCGGCCAGACAGCGCCCCGATCTGGGATCCGTGAGGAAGGCTCCGCAAGTGGATCTGCAGTCAGAGCCAGTGGGTTCCTTTTTGCATTTGAATCTTTCACTATTGCACAAGTTTCCGGGTTGGAGGTCCAGTTTTTACTATGGTCAATCTGTTTCATGTTTTGTCTGGAATATTGTAGTTTGTAATGAAATGTTTCCTTCTACAATGGAGATGAGCAACTGACTTAACTCACAGTAAATGTTAAGTTATTCTGTTCTCAAGTTGCTCCAATCAATAGGCCATTTTTCTAACAATAAACGGTGTCAAAAATGGTCATAATATTAAGGCTTTTTATTTATTTATTTATTTTTTGACCCATTTTCCTCAAGAGAGTACTTTAATTGAAATGGAATTGGGGAAAGGATGTATACTGGTCCAGTTGTGGACTAAAGCAATTCACTTCTTTTTGAAACGGATCTGTGACATACATGGACCGTAGAAGCAGATGACTTACAAGAGAGCTGGTGTCACCCGTGGTGTTTGCTTACGTCCCCTACACGTGTGTGTGTGTGTGAGGCTGGTGTCAGGTTTGAGTGGGGAATCTGGAGCCAAATCTGAGGACCCAGCACCAATCAGGATTCATGGTGACTTTGTGAGAACTGTTGCATTTGTTTCTGTAGTGAACAATCTCATTTGACTTGAGTGCGAATAAACAATTTACTGGTCATTAGAGGCAAGGATTCTGAGGAGCGTGGACATCTGTAATGTACAAGTTAGAGATAGCAACAGGCGACTGATGGTTGTGGAATCCTTTTTATTTTATTTTATCAAAAAAAGGCTCTAATATTATTTTGTTTTGCAGCAGACTGCAGAGGGGGCTGCTGTGGGCAGTGAGACCAATGTAGGGCAGAAGTTGGTCATCTGGGGAACGGACGTTAATGTCGGAACCTGCAAAGATAAGTTCCAGGTACGACTTGAAGTTTGATTTTTGAATAGTTTTAATCCTGCTTTAAAACAAATATTTATATTTTTGTATCTCTTTATTTTCGGCTAAAGAGATTCTTGCAGCGCTTCATCGACCCGACCTCCACTGAGGATGAAAACGCTGGTCTGGATCTCAATGAGCCTCTCTACATGCAGAAGCTGGAAGAGGTAAAATAAACCTTTGCCTATAAGAATTTAGCTTTTGCGTCATGATAGTTATTCATTATCTGTATTTCTGCTTTTGAATAGATCAGTGTTGTTGGGGATCCAGTGTTGAATGTGAATTCTCTGCACATCCAGAGCTTTGATGCAGAGCTGTACAGGCAGCTTATCAGCTACCCTCAGGTATCTATAGCATTTCATTTTATTATTACATACTTTTAGTAACACTTGTTCAGGTGGGGATCCCTGACCTGCCTTTCAGTTATTGTTTCGGTGGAACATTAACCCTTGTGCTACCCTTGGGTTATAATGACCTGTCACAGCGATTAAAAGTGGAAGAAAAATACCCTTAAAAAGGTCTAAATGACCCAGGACTGGCCAAGTTAGGAAAATATATTAAAATTAATCTCAATCACTGCACAAGGGTTAAAGCTGTTTTTTTTGTTGTGTGCAAGTGTGGACTTTAGTGTCCAACTACTATTTTGAGGATGGCATGTTTTTGTATTTTTAATCAATGTTTTGTCGTAACCAAAATATATCTTGTACTTTTTCCAGGAAGTCATCCCCACTTTTGACATGGCTGTGAATGAGCTCTTCTTTGAGCGCTTCCCTGACTCCATCTTAGAATTCCAGATTCAAGTCCGTCCTTACAATGCCCTGAAAACCCGAAACATGAGGAGCCTGAACCCAGAAGGTGAGTGGGTTCAAAATCGCAGCCGGTCCTTTTAATCAGGTGCCAATAAAGTGAAATCACACTTATTAATGGGACACTTTGCTCTATACATTTCCCATATTTAACGTGTGGATTTTAGAGAATTTCCTTTGGGTTTGTGAAGTGTGAGGTACAGGCCTCATGCTAACGCTTCTGTCTGCCTTATGTTGCGTCGCAGACATCGATCAGCTCATCACCATCAGCGGCATGGTGATCCGCACCTCGCAGCTCATCCCAGAGATGCAAGAGGCTTTCTTCCAGTGCCAGGTGTGCGCCTACAGCACGCGGGTGGAGGTGGATCGCGGGCGCATCGCTGAGCCTGCTGTGTGCCGCCACTGCAACACCACCCACAGTCTGGCACTCATTCACAACCGCTCAGTCTTTTCAGACAAGCAGATGGTGAGAGCTGGGAGCAGGAGCGGGGGCACATTACAGTGAATGACACAGAGTTTGAGAATATGTTATGTGCAAATCAACCGTGTGACGACTGAGGTCATGACATCTGCTGTTTTTGTGATCTTGCCCCAAAGATCAAAGTCCAAGAGTCCCCTGAAGACATGCCAGCGGGGCAGACGCCGCACACGACAATAGTTTATGGTCATAATGACCTGGTGGATAAAGTGCAGCCGGGAGACAGAATCAACATCACTGGTAAGAAGCCCCCACAGCCGGGAGTGAAACACAGCAGAACCAACTCATTTTGTCCGACAACTTTGAGAAGAGAAACATTTGTCAGTGTCCTCAGTGGTAGATATCAGCGGTGATAAAACTTTTTATACCACATTTATGTTCTTGGCCTTCCATGTGCCGTTTCAAATGCTGGGTTTTTCATGGTCTAAAACAGCCATTCCCAAAGTCTAACACCTCCGCCCCCTTAAAAATCTGACTGGTCTGTGCGGCCCCCCGAAATACTAACCAAGAAGACAACGTTAAAAATAGGCTTTTCTCGTTATTTTATTTGGGGGAAATAGCCTCTGCTACAAACATGTAAGTGACGCACCCCATTTTGTAATACAAAAATGATTACAATTTGATTATTAAAGTCAAATAATGAGCACAAATATTTTAATGTTGCAAACAAAATATTATTCATTTAACATACAATAATTATATAACACTTTTTAAAAAATTTTTAATGACCTCTTGCGGCTCCCCTGCAATACGTGGGCCGAGGACCTCACTTTGGGACTGGTCTAAAACAAGTCTTAAAATGGACTAGACTTTCTATAGTATGGTTTCTAATGTTTTTAATGACCAAAGAAATTTACTACTATTTTACAAAACCTCAAAAGCATCATTGTGTTGATGGGAAATGTAGCCTCAGTAATAACCTTTTATATTCTTTGTTTTGTCATCTTCTTAATTCACTTTTGCCCATAATCCATACAGCATAACAATACACATTTATACACTATGCTCCACTATATTAACTTATCTCTCCCTCTTTAGGCATATACAGAGCCGTCCCGATGCGAGTGAACCCGCGTCAGAGCAACGTGAAGTCGGTGTACAAAACCCACATTGACGCCATCCACTTTCGCAAGACGGACGAGAAGCGGCTGCACGGCCTGGACGAGGACGCGGAGCAGAAGCTGTTCACAGAGGACCGTGTGCAGACGCTCAAAGAACTGTCAAACAAACCTGACGTGTACGAGCGCCTCTCCTCTGCCCTGGCTCCCAGCATCTACGAACATGAGGACATCAAAAAGGTGTGGAGAGGGAGGATGAGGGAGATGGAGAGCCGCCAGTGCCGTTCAACATATTGCTTGTGAATGCAATGATGTAGCTTTACATTCCCAGGTGGCGATTAGAAAAACGCAAGAGTAGTAATGTAGGGATGGCTGTTTGTCAGGCTGTGTGAAGTAGTGAAGGCGGGTGAGGAGAGAAGTCTAGATGTGTTGTCTATTTCAATAAACTGAAATTAACCTATTCCAGCATGAAAAAAAATCCTTTCTGCATTTTGCGTTAGATTTTACTGATCTTTTTACTTTCCCACTGCTGACTTGTCAACACCACAAAAACAAACTTTAAGATCAGTTTTATTTGTGGCAAATGTTATTTTAGGCATTGTGCCAGTATCTACGGGAACAATCTTATTTTTTTCAAGATCTATGTCATGAGTACAGAATGTGTAATATATTATATATATATATATATATATATATATATATATATATATTTTTTATATTAAATATATATTTATATATTAATATATATATATAAGTTTTATCAGAATCATTTTTATTGCCACGTAAGTAACAGGAGGTCACAGACTTGGAAATTGCTTTGGCTCGGTGCAACAGTCAGAGAGAATAAAATAAAAAGAATAAAAAACACTTCTAAGGGATAAATTTAAAATAAAATTTAAAATAGTTACAATTACTATATACAGAGCACATGGTGCACAAAATGTAAGGTGACAGCAGTACAGTGAAGTAAAGTGACTTTATAAAGAGCAGTGGGGGACTTCTAGAGGGCGGGGAGGTTAAGAAGTGTCAAGTGTTCAAGAGTCCAACAGCAGAGGGGAAGAAACTGTTCTTATGTACATAAGATCTTATGTTTATATACATGAAATTCAGGAATCATGCAAATTAATTTCATAACGCTACGTACTGTGTTTGTTCTTGGACTTGGAAAAGTGTTTATTTAAATGTTGTGTCTGTTTTTAGGGCATTTTGCTGCAGCTTTTTGGCGGCTCTCGTAAAGACTTCAGTCAGACCGGTCGAGGCCACTTCAGGGCAGAGGTGAACATCCTTCTGTGTGGAGACCCTGGTACCAGCAAGTCCCAGTTACTGCAGTATGTTCATAACCTGGTGCCCCGTGGACAGTACACCTCTGGAAAGGGCTCCAGTGCAGTAGGTCTCACAGCCTACGTGATGAAGGACCCTGAGACCCGGCAGCTGGTGCTGCAGACTGGAGCACTGGTGCTCAGCGACAATGGCATCTGCTGCATTGACGAGTTTGACAAGATGAGTGACAGCACGCGCTCTGTGCTGCACGAGGTCATGGAGCAGCAGACGCTCTCTATCGCCAAAGTAAGTGTCACCATTCCTCCCATGACTACTTTCACACGCAGCATTTCTAAAGGATGTTTGTTTTGTGTACAGGCTGGGATTATCTGTCAGCTGAATGCCAGAACTGCTATCCTCGCTGCGGCCAACCCTGTGGAATCCCAGTGGAACCCCAAAAAGACCACTATTGAGAATATTCAGCTGCCTCACACTCTGTTGTCCAGGTGAGGGCACCAAACCATTATTTTGTTGAATATGAAATAATCGTTTTTTTCTTTGATTTCATAACTGCAGATGTCAAGCCAGTAGTTAAACTGTTACATCTTTCAGCCAGCATCACACATAAGATGTGCTAGTTTGACTAATCAGTTGATTAAACACTTGGTAAAAGGCACTGTGTTTGAGACTATTAACAGCTGTTACGTTTGTTCTATGTCGGTACAGTTTGGGGCCTGTCAGTCATGCCCCAAACTGGAAAGCATTAAAGCTTTTGGACTTGACACACAGAACATGTGATGATCTTTTTGACGTTCCCCATTTACTAACTGAAGTGGATTTCCTGTGTAGGTTTGACTTGATCTTCCTGATGCTTGATCCCCAAGACGAGGCTTACGACCGCAGACTGGCTCACCACTTGGTGGCGCTGTACTACCAGAGCGAGGAGCAGATTGAGGAGGAGTATCTGGACATGGCTGTGCTGCGGGACTATATCGCATATGCACGCACATACATCAACCCACGGCTGAGCGAGGAAGCCAGCCAGGCACTCATAGAGGTCTGAACACACACGAGTCATAACAAGTCAGATCTGTGGATGGCAGTGGGGTTTGGGCAATGTCTGGCATTAAGGAATTGAGCACTTAAATTGGTCACTTTATTTGACCCTGGGCTGTAAAATGCGCTACATAATGAAAGGTTACTTATGGACCTTTTATTAATCCCACAGTGGGGGGGGAAAATAGATTTTGTGTTGTCCTTTGGCTAGTAAATTTGGCAGTACCGGATTATAAATCTATTTAAAACATAACTGAAAATATGACAAAGTATTGCACCTACATCAATGCTGGTGGGAGGGAGCGTACTTTATGTATGTGATGTCTCTGCAGGCCTATGTGGACATGAGGAAGATTGGCAGTGGCCGTGGGATGGTGTCTGCTTATCCCCGACAGCTCGAGTCTCTCATTCGACTCGCCGAAGCTCACGCCAAAGTGCGCTTTTCTGAGAAAGTGGAGACCATCGACGTAGAGGAGGCCAAAAGGCTCCACAGAGAGGCCCTCAAGCAGTCTGCCACAGATCCCAGGACTGGCTTTGTGGACATCTCTATCCTTACTACAGGTCAGCAACCACACATATTTACTTTGTGAATTGGGATAGACCTTTGAATATGATTTGTTCATGTTGAACTATTATCTGGGGCCATGTATAAAAGATGTAAATGTAATTAAATTAAATTAAAATGAATACTACATAGGGGCGACAGTAGCTCAGTTGGTAGAGCATTGGCCTGTTCAAACAACAACAATTGAAAACAAAATATTTGACTTGCTGATGCAGAACTTATAAAGGCTCTCAATTTTGACTTGACCAAACCTGGAGCTATGTTTGATGTTTTGATACTTCCTCAAAAGACTGACCAAAAAGACTTGATTTTTTAAAAAAAAGTGAAATTTCATATTTTTCTTAATTTTAGGAATGAGCGCCACTGCACGCAAACGCAAGGAAGAGGTGGCTCAAGCACTAAAGAAACTTATCCAAGCCAAAGGAAAGACCCCTGCCATGAAGTACCAGCAGCTGCTCGAGGACCTGAGGGGACAGTCTGAAGCGGTAAGCAATTTTTCCCCACTTTCCTCAAGCCATGTCCATTTTCCAATATTAAAAAAGGATTCTCTTGTTTTTTTTAGGCCATCACAAAGGAGCTGTTTGACGAGGCACTGCGGGCCCTGGCCGATGAGGACTATTTGACAGTAACTGGCAAAACTGTCCGTCTGCTTGCATAAAACTCTTGCGCTTAGTTTTTTCCTCGTCTTATTCATTGCATTGTCAAAGAAAATTTGTGACTGTAAATGCCTTTTTATAGGTGGTTTGATATGGGCCCTCATGTGTTTCCATTGTACTAAATGTTATTGTAAAGTTATTTGCCGGCTCTTATCACTGTATATTAAGTACTTAACAATGGATTTACAACTAGATATGTAGCGAGCATCCCTTGAATAAATGTATTATATATGCAATAAAATAAATTGTTCAAGAAATGGCAGTTTGATTGTTATTGTCACCATCATGACTCTATGAACGCTTGGTTAGAGGAATGTGGGTATTCTACATAAGCAATCTTGGTAATGTATGCTGGGATGATTAACAACAAAGAAAGCAGTGATCATAGCCTGAGTGTTGTGTGTGTGTGTGTACGATGTGTGCAGACTGCAGCTGGTGGGACAGGACCATAAACCGTATAGAACGACATATAACGGGACTGGGGTTTGGCTTTTGCGCTGATGTCACAGCTCTGTGTGCTGCTGCTCTACTGCTGAAGGAGATGGCCGCGTCAGGTCTGTATGCTCCACATCTAAATACAGGTTTCCGCGGGCCTGTCCACACCAGACCTGTCATTTACACTCGCAACGACTCTCGTGTTTACTCCCTTTTGTTTGGAAAGTGGATCTAAACTGTAGTCTTGTTGAGAGGCTCTTTTTTTTGGGGGGCAGCAATGCTTTCAGCCGCGGCGTTAGCAAGACTAGCTTGATGGCGCTGCACACGTTTTGCCAAGAAAAATACTCTAAATTCAACCCCAAATGTCCTGTTTTTGTTTGGCACATTTCATATTTTTAGATTAACATATTGCACGCCTTTGTTGTGTTTTGCTCGCTTCTAGCTGGATGAGCACGGTCGCAGACAACATTAGCTACATTAGCATTAGCCGCTAACGCTAGCTAACAAGACGAAGCGAAAGCAGATGTTCTTTTAAAGCTCTAGCTATGTCATTTCGATCCTAGGCGTACTATCAATAATAATTAATGTTAATGGCATGATTTCAATAAAGATTTTCTTAGTATGAAGGACGATTGTTGCAAATAATCCCGCAGATAGTAACGAAGCATGCTAGGGCCAAACGTGACTCATTCATGACACTGTTTCATGTAAATATATGTTAATTATCATGCATTAGAAATACTACAGACTGGGCTTTTACTGCTTTAAAACATAGTAGTTTCATGCATGTGTCCAGTCTATGGTGTAGATGGCATTCAGTAAGAGACTGAGCCACAGCCCCTTCTCTCAGCAGGAAGCGTGGCTGATGATACTGCAAAAATAATCCCTAAACTTTGACTTCTCACAAAAACCAAAGCCGTAAATAAAACTCAATGAAAATTCTGGGCCCCAATTTTCACACCTTAAAAAATCTGAAGCCACAGAATTGGTCAGGTGTGGTGAAATATGTTGAAGCTGCCAACACGTACCTACGTATGGTACCTACAGCTAACAATATGATGGGGGGGGTTTTCTACTTCCGGGTGGATCATCAAGGCTATTGGTCCTCACAATTGTCAATCATTCTGATGATACGTGCTCGTCGAATAAGACCAGAGTTTTTTGTTCAAAAAGTGGAGAGGGCGGTTCTTTTCTAAAAATTCTCCTATATACCTTTTAACACTTGAATAATCATAAATAAATAAATCATCAAATGCATTACCAAACACTATGACTATATTTGATTTGAGTAAAAGTCTACAAATTAACCACTTTATTAACTATGGGCCTTCTAATTTTACAGTATTGAGCAATTCATTATGACGGAAATTAGTTTCTGAGCTGTGACTGTTTAAGTGACTCATAATTATCTGGGAAATACGAGGCTGTATATAATCAGAGGTTTTCATTTAAGGATTCAGGCAGTGTATGCACTAGTATCGAACATTTGTAACAATGGCTATTATTTGCTTAATAAACTTAAATTGACATCTGAGCTGTCAAAAATCAACCTGTAGAGAAACAATAAGTCTAATAGGAAATGCAACCTTCAATGTAAAACCTTTCTAGATCAGATTCAAGCACTGAATCTCATATAGAATGTAAGAAACCGGTTTCCATGTAAACTTGCACTTACTTTAGGACATGCAAGTACAAGCACGTTCACTGATTTCCAACTGGGGTGCGGCAAAAGGGGAAACTTAACTTCACCATCTCTTCAAGCTTTAATGTTAGTTAGTTAGATACTTTATTGATCAAATTATCTAATATATATTGGACTATAACAATATTTTAGAACCACTTTATCATTATGCGCCAGTAGTCTCCCAGTCATTCCCAAAGTCAGGGCACACACAATGGCTGTTGTTTTTTTACTGTATATACTTCATGTTGCATTTTTTATGGAAAGCACTATTTTATTCATAAAGACAGTTCCGTTATTTGGGTTAAATGGTACATTCTTCTGCAAAGTCTCCCACCTCCTACACACATGTGACAAAAGTAGAATGGTTATTTTAAAGTCAGCCCGAGTCTCTCCTACAGTTATAGGTGTACCAACTGTAAACTGTACAAAAGGCTATAGTTTGACTACATCTATTGTCATCAGAGGCACATGTAATTCTGTTTTTACTTTTGATCATTTGCATTTGAGCTGTTCTGAATCAATATTTCCATTAGCTGGCCTATTCTTTTTTAGATTCTTTGAGTCGTTGTTTAGATCCTGAAAGATCCGTGAATATGTACTTTTTTGTATACCTTTGACCAAAACAAAGCTGAAGTGATGCCCTGGAGAACGTCTTCAAATGACTTGTTGGGTTGTTTGATGAAAAATACTTTGAACATATTTTAACGTAATTCTGCAGACATTATTTATAGAAATATCTGAGTCCTACAACTTCGTCTCCGCATGTTTAAAGACCTTATGACGGGTTTAAAAAAAAAAAAATAGTGGATATCAAAATTGCATGACAATGTCAATTTGAAAGAGATTCCGGCAAAAAAAATCCTATATTTTATAAAAAGAACGTGTTTTTCATGAATTTAATCAATCAACTTTCAATCAACTTTATTTGTATGGCGCCTTTCCAACACAAGGCCACTCAAAGCGCCTCACAACCCACATAATATCACACAAATCAGAGACATCAATAAATACATTAAAAACAGAATAAAATCACAAGTAATGGAAAAAAAAAAAAAAAAAAAAATTAAAATATTAAAAGCACACACGGGATTAAAATAATAAATAACCACAATGCATTAAAAAAAAAGAGTATCAATAAAATCCTTCAGCCGTATGCACAGCTAAAAAGAACAGTTTTTAGCCCTGATTTAAAAATTGCCAGAGTAGATGCTAGCCTCACATCTTCAGGAAGATTGTTCCAGATTTTAGCTCCATAAATCTCAAACGCTGCCTCCCCATGTTTAGTTCTGACTCTTGGAACCAGTAAGAGGCTACCTCCTGTGCTCCTCAGAGTCCGGGTCGGTTCATATGGGACTAACAAGTACCCTGGTGCGAGGCCATGGAGAGACTTGTACACAAGCAGTGCTGCTTTGAAGTCTATTCTCTGAGCCACAGGAAGCCAGTGCAGAGACCTGAGAACTGGACTAATGTGGTCATATTTCCTGGTCCTGGTCAGGACTCGAGCTGCAGCATTTTGGACATACTGCAGTTGTTTTACAGCCTGTTTGGAGCTGTCTATGCTCTAACCTGTGTGTGACGTCATAGCGGGTTACGCCCATGCATTGAAAACCATGGATCTATGCCACAGGACTGCCTTTTCTCTCTTCTCTCCACTGATGCCCAACACAATACTGCACTCTACAGGTGACAATTGCTCACTACACATAAATTGCCGTTTTGAGTGTGAAAAAGTGTCCGAGGTGGGAATTGAACCCCAGTATCTGGATTAGTAGTCTATCGACACAACCACTGGACTATCTCAGTGACAACAAAATATCACTATCTAGTAGTTATCTTAGACTCGCTGTACACGGCCTTGTCATCTTGAATATCCGCGAAAAAAGAACGAATACCAAATTGTAAACAACTTACAGCAATGAAACGTACCCGTTCTGACGTCACCAAGGGCTGTGAAGTTTTTTTGTTTCTAAGGGCGTTGCTATGGGGTTATTTCGATTTGGGGGGATCAGACAAAAAAAACAACAACTGATTTTGAAACCTTTAGTAGTTCTCTTCTAATATAAAATGGTATTAAAACTGTATTTCTAAATAAATCAAACCCGTCATAAGGTCTTTAAGTCCATTTTAATGCACACAAAACAATGAATCGATTACTACTGAATTAATTGCCAACTATTTCAATATGTGATTCGTTTGATGTCCATAAATGATTCAACTTGATACAATAATTTACATAAACCTCATGCAATACACAATCCCATTCTGCTTTAAGACTCCTGTAGAGTGCCTAAAGTAAAAGTTTAATTTGGATCACCCCTATAGTCAGTTGCTGCACCATACTTTGGCACAACAATCCAAACCACTAATGCAAAAATAACACAATGGAGACGGGAGAATCTGGCATCAGGCAAATCAAAGATGCTCAAATTGTTTTTCTCTATGGACCAATGACTGATGTTTTATTAGTTTGTCATTGTTTGGTTTATAATTAACAATTCTGAGACTGCCTTCAAGACAGCTGCTGTTGTTTTGGGCGCTGCAAAAATAAATTGATTTGATGGGGTTGACAAAAAGAAAAAATATGGGAATTCACGTGATCAGAATCAAAAGCCTCAAACATACCTAAGACCTATTGTTGCAAACCATGGAAAGTCATGGACTGTATATGGACAATGCTAACCTGCTAGCTCAATGATGCCCAATGCAGAAGTGCTCATGGGCGAAGTTTTGCTCCAACTTGGCACAAAGCTAGTCCTGTCTCAACAAATGCTCATATAAGGAAAATTGGCTCCAGCTAGCTCTTGTTCAAATAATTCGGCAAAAACTATAGGTGACTTCAGACTGGGTCAGTCCGGTCCTAATCAGTCTATGGTGCAACAGTCAAATACTTCTTCCTTTTAACGTTGAACTCTTTTATTGTCACCACAGTTAGAGTCCCACGTAATTTTCGCTTGTTGGAGGAGCTGGAGGAGGGTCAGAAGGGCGAAGGTGATGGCACGGTGAGCTGGGGTCTAGAGGACGACGAGGACATGACCATGACCAAGTGGAGAGGCATGATCATCGGACCGCCACGCGTGAGTACACACACACGCACGCACGCACGCACGCACGCACGCACGCCCACACATACACATATACACACACACACCACACACACCACACGTACACACACACCACACACAGACACACACACCACACACAACACATACCACACACACACACAACACCACACACACACAACACCACACAACACACACAACACCACACACACACACACCACACACACACACAACACACACAACACACACACCACACACACACAACACACACAGCAGACTTTAAATAGTGTTCTACTCTTTTGCTCACTCAAAGTTGTTTCTAGAAGGATTCATGCCTATCTCTTTAGTAAAGCTGAGTCGCCATTGCTGCTCTCCTCTTATGAGTTCAGATTCTTGGCTTGAACTTGCTTGACCAGTCAGACTCTTCTAGTGCAGGGTGACAGAAAGAAAAAGCAAAAACAACAAAGAACAATTCAGTACAAAATATATAATGACTCTCTTTTTTTTATTTATTTTTTTTAAGTAGTTTTATGAATCTTTTAGAGGCGGTTTCAAAGTGGATGAATTTTCTCTCCTTTAAATCAGGTGTGGTGAGCTATTTTTAGATTTGAATGATCAACAATTACAGACCGGTATCCAGCAAAATATTAGAAAACTTAATCTTACCTTAAAACCGAATTATTATTTGGACAAAAAAAAGAAATTAAAAAGCATCTTCAAACCGGTCGTTCAATCATAGATCAGAAAACTGTGAACGCAGAACTGGTTTAGTGCCAATATTCAAGATGGCGGCTGCTGTATGTGATGATCAATTGTTTTAGTACAGATTTTAGGATTAAATGACCACATTTTACATTGAGAAAAAGCCGAGAATATCAACATTAGGACATTCACTCCACGTCACTCAAGTGTCCTCATTTAGCGTGAAAGTCAAATTAAATGTCTCGGACTGCTGCTCCTCTCTTTGTTTAGTCTTCTGCCACAGCGCTTCTGCTTTACAAGATGAAATGTTTAATTTTCAAGTGAAGTTTAAGTCGTCAAGTGGCTACTCAACAGGACAAGCCAAGGAGCGTGAATAAATGTGTTTTTAATACACAGAATTCAGAAAGGCGAGAAAGACAATGTTGGGATGTGCTATAGAATGTTTTTTTCCAGATAAATATATATAAAAAAAAAAAAATCCCATTAAAATTTTTTTTTTCAGTGTGTGTATATATATATTTTTTTTCTTTTTCATTTGAGTTTAATAGTAATTCACTCTCAGCAAATAAAATAAGTACATCCATTCTGTTGTATGGCTGTTCAAATAGAGCAGAGTTAGATAAGAGGCCGATAAATATTATTTTGAATCGTATTGAGTTCCATTGAGATCGAGAGACGTTCATTTACTCAGAGACAGAAAGAAAGGATTTAGTGAATGAAAGAAGCAGACCTGTTTATAAAAAAGTTGTCAATATGTGTTGGGGTGTTTCCCTCTCTTTGTGCTGCTCTCTGATAAACCTTTTTGGGCCTGAGCTGAACGAGTTCCTCTGACCACAGCGACACGCCCACATGAGTTTCATTATACTGTGTTTTCTATTTTCTATTCTACATCTGTAATATGAGAACGATTGGGAAACGTGGCACAGGCCGTCTAGATTGAAGGCATTTTTTTCTCAAGGACAAAAATAAGTTGCTAGTCACCAACCAAATGTTTTGCTGTTTTTTATAAAATTGTTGAACTTGTGATGCAGTAATGAGATCCACATGTGCAAATGATGTGTCCTGTGTGTCAGATCATTCCATAGCAGACAGAAGCATGCTATGTCTTCTTTAAAGTATACTGTGGTATAAAAGATGCCACAATATCAAGTCAGAATGATACTATGGACAGTGCTCCTTTCATTTCACTAGTTGTGGGATGACATATAATTCCAGTAAAAAAGATCTACAGAGGAATATTTGAAAGACTTTAGTACTTTACTTTAGTTAACCAAGTTTGTCTGCATAGATTGTAAAAGTGGTTATTACACTCGGGCCCCCTCTCTTTGGGGCCAGGATTCCTGGTTTAATTAAGCTCAATAACATTTGACTGGTTTTAGGCTGTTCTGGGCTTTGCAATTTGGTTTTTAAGTACGTCATGACTGTGTTGGTGGAGCTGAAGTGCCTCAATGGTACTGTGTGTTATTAAGGCAGGGACTTGACATGACGGCTATAGAGCTATTCTTAGTTGGAAACAAAGGAATATGTAATGTAATATATTATATGTAATAAGTATTTGAAGGCGTTCCCAGGCCCACGGTCCCTCCAGCGTGTCCTGGGGAAGTGATTGAAATGTTCATATGACTGGTGCATACGTGCAGTCGCATATCCACACATTCAGAACTGACTGTCGCATTAATATCTCATGTCTCTTATCATCTGAAAGACTCTATCTGGACATTGGCTCAGTTAATATCATAGAACTGACACCCGATTCCGATGGAACAGCAAGGGAAAAACAACATTCCCTAAGAATAAATAACAAATAAAAAAATCCACATCGCTTTTTTATTTTGGTACAAATGTGCATGTGTTTTGTCTTTTTGTTTCAGACCAATTATGAGAACAGAATATACAGCCTGAAGGTGGAGTGTGGACCCGGATACCCAGACATAGCCCCAATCGTTAAATTTGAAACTAAAATTAGCATGAATGGGATAAGCAATTCAACCGGGATGGTGAGTAACAGCCGCTGGTTTTTGTTCATATTTGCATGTCCTTCAATGATAAAACTGAGGATTAGATATGACTTGAATCTGTTATAAAAAATGCTATTAATCGCCCAGCCTTGTCATCATAAAAACGTGTACTGGCTTTGGATGCGTGGTGCACTTTAGAGACAGGCTCATGTGACGTGTTATCAGTCAGTGTCTGCTGCCGTCACCGTGACTGATGCTGTGTTTCTCTCTCTCTCTCTCTCTCTCTTTCTCTCTCTCTCTGCAGGTGGATTCACGTAGCATACCAATCTTAGCCAAATGGCAAAATTCTTATAGTATTAAAATAGTCCTTCAAGAGCTAAGGCGTCTCATGATGTCCAAAGAGAACATGAAGCTTCCGCAGCCTCCAGAAGGACAATGCTTCAGCGGTTAATCGGCATGGATTGTTTTTGACCCTCTGTCTTAAAAAACAAAAACCTTACTCTTTAGAAATATTGTGTCTAAACATCAAGAGGCTCACTCCGCACACCAACAATATCAACGTCCGTGAGAGCGATATTGGACTTTTTTTCTCCCTACTTAGAACGTATGAAAAACAAAAAAATGAAAAAAATGGCCCCTCCCTCCCCGATAGACAGGTGCTGTGACAAAACACGTGAAGTTGCTTTCTGTTTGTTTTTCCGAGCGGGCCGGAAGTGGAAGCATGACGCCACGCAGAGGTCATACCAGACACCAAATAATCATAGTTTACGACAAGAAAGGCATGTAACTAATATCTAGTCAAAAAGAGAAGCCACGTTGAGTTTGTTAGTTCATCATAGCAGCTGCAACTGCTGAAGCAGTGGATGTAGTCTAAAAGTAGTGTCACTTGATATGAAAGTTGGTTTTTTCTTTTTTTTATAAATATATATTATTATTATATATCTGTATTTGACATCAATTGGTTCTGTTCTGCAGCTCTTTGACATGTAACAGACGTTGAAGCCTGTTTTGTCTCCAAATCGATTGCATTATTACTTCTAGTGGAAATGGCAGGTGTATGAACTTGTAATTTTCTGAAATTAAAGTCACTCTCTGCAAAATTATAAACGTGTAATGTCATTTTTTGTCCTCCTACTCTTCTTACACTGACTGGTTTGTCCACTAGGAGGCGCCCTAACACTGGACTAGCTCTCAGCTTTGTCTGAATCACTATAACCACCCACTAAAGCCCTCTTGAGACACATGTCATGTATTTTTTATTAAATTTAAACAATAATATAAAGGGGCTGTATTTGAAATTACATCTAAATCTTTTATGTGTTGGCCTCACCTTAATATAATTGATAATATACAGTTTAAATTTGTGTAGTTATCATTAATTAGACATGTACATTGTATTTTTTATAACATTTGTTTACTTTTTTATTATAGTATATGTTCTTTATTTGAGCAGGGACAGTGTACAATTAAACATTAACACAAAGGAAAGATGTATTGTACCAGGTTATAGTAAAGATTCTAGTTTCCACCTGTAGTCCCTGGGCAGGCTGCTGTTATGTTCATTTAAACAGTAGATGTAGGATGTAGATAGATACATACATGGACGTGTGATACGGCACACACCAGAGCTCTTACCACGGCACCATCCAATTTTTATGCAGTCATGTAATAAAATCCATGTAACTAGTTCCTGGCTCTAAAATAGTTTTCACACACATGTCAATTTTTGCCACTTTCACATCTTAAGATCAGATTTTCCAAGCAGAAAAGTAAAAAATAGAGGACCAGCCTCACTCAGCCCAGATAGGCCAATTCTGACTCACAGGGCTATCAGTTCTTATAAGTATTCAAAAGACAGCATGTTGTCCAAATAAGTGAGTCTTAAATTGGTCATATGTTTTCTGTATTTGTCCCTTTTCCTTCATCATTTAAGAAAGACTGAATTCTGATAAAGTCTGCCATAAAAATAAAAAAAATAAATGGCTGGTATAAAAATGTGTTTACCCAATTTCTCAGCATTCAACTTTCTCTAAATGGAATCAAATACATGGTAAAGGTCTTCCATTTGACTTGACCAAACCCAGAGCTCTTGTTTGGAGTTTGGACACAGATCGAGAATAACTATTTTGTTCATCATTTGTTCTGACCGATGACCTTTTCCTGTTTGATTATTCATAAGTGAATTTCTCCAAGTGAAAATCTAAATAAAATGCACTGAGGGTTGCCTACACTTCATCTCTCTCATGACCTCTCCACATCTAACACATCGAGTCCAGGCAACGACCTGCAAAACATTTCATCATGATTCATACTGCAAAAGATTAAAAATGAGAGGATTTCCTTCTGGATCAATAAAGTGTCTACTCCAAGATGTTAGACTTTTCAAGCATCGATAGCTATTCGTTATTCCTTGGAAAGATGCTGTCTAAGCACTGTCGCTGTTAGTGCAAAAACTCACATTACACATTACAATACGATTTATATATTGAACAATAAATGGTCTTGGAGTAAAGTATTATTGTAGCTATTTATTTGCACACACTTGCACAAACGTTATAAGCTTGTACGAATAAAACTTGAAGAGATTACCCAACAAAGATATTACCAAAACCCATGCACACAAATTCGCGCCGATTACTGATGCAACCCACCTGCTGGAGAGTAGCCATAAACAGTACAAACTTTGTGTGTGTTACTCATTTTTGTATCATTTAAACAAATGTGTGGAGCTATTTTTTGTTTTGGTTTTGATTCATTAAAGAGCTGCATTTCATCTTAACAAACTGGCAACCCAAATGAGAGGCTCATTCTTCTCTCTGATTGGATAATCTTTTTAACATGTCATGTCTGTTGTATATTATTGGAATATAGGGGGATTTTCTACTTCCGGGTGGATCATCAAGACTATTGGTCCTCCCAATTGTCAATCATTCTGGTGGTACGTGCTCGTCAAATAAGACAGAGAGTTTTGTTCAAAAACTGGAGATTTTTTTGCTAAATTTGGGAAAATCCTCATATATACCTTTAAAGGCACACCGCGGACTTTGTGACCTAAAGAGTTGACACATATGAGTTATTTTATATGAATACTTGGGCCAATATACAGCGCTTGACACTTGCAATGCTCCGAGCGGGGCTGCCCTCTTGAAATACCGCCCATGTAAGTTTCGAGCAGACGGACCGTCTGCCACCAGGTCACGTGACTTGGAAGAAAGACTTGCTTTACGGCTACAGGCGCTGATATACTCATGGAGCTAAGGCTTTTGCTACTCATTTTTCACCTGCTTGACTCCTGGTCATGGCTGAGGCAAGGAAATTTTTTAAACCTTCGGAGGAGGCTAAAAAGAGGAAACGCGAAAGGGATCGTGCTGTAAGCTGCATGTCTGTATGAGCGCTGCTCTTCACCTGGTTCCTGGATGTCATCGACTGCAAAGATGTCATTCCACGCAGCACGAGCTAGACGCAGAACTCCCTCATCCAGGATATAGAAGTCCATGTGTGGTAGATTACTAATGCAGCGGTCTGGAGGCTGACCACAGCAGAGTCTCTCAATATCTGTAGGCATGTCTCTACAGTTTGAACACACACACCAGTGCATGCTGTCTGAATACACACTCAAAAGACACCGGCTGACTGTTTGTTGACTTTTGCGACAGTGCTGAGTTGCTTGTGGCCACTAGGGGCGCTAAACGTGAAAGTTGCAGGTCTAGCGCCCCTAGTGGCCAAGAGTTACACGGTGTGCCTTTAAGAATTATTTGTTTGAAATGCAGTTTAGAAAAGGTCAAATATGAGTTTTACATTCAGTCAAATGAAATGAATCAGGTTTTACTACAAACTCACATAAATACAAAAGAATAGTTATTAGAGATTTAAAATTGAATCCTGCCTGAACCCTTTTGCTTCATTATACATCCATAAATGTAATTTTCAGTAAAAATTGACTCATTTTCAAAACCTTTAGTTTGTCATTCTACAATAGAGCCAACTCCAGCTACACCCTCCTCCACAGTAACCAGAGAACATGTAGGCAGATTTGGAGCCAAAACTACAGGCCCCGTGTCATAATTTAGGTTTTATCTCCTGTTTAATTTTGTAACTTGGTCTACCTTAGTTTCACTTCCTGTTGCTTGATTACCTCATGTGTTTCACCTGTGCCTGTTTTTTAACCCATGGATCTATAATAATAAATTTTTTAATTATTCACTAACATTTTTAATTATTCACTCCCTGTTCCGTTATTGTCATTTCTACGTCTTATTTTCTAGTCCTGTTTGGTTCCTTTTCTGATTTTGCTTTGATTTAATACTTATTTTTGCTGTCCTCCATTTTGGGTTTGTTTCATTTCCCCACCATGACCCCTCCCTCCCAGCTTCATACAGCGGTCCAGCCATTTATTAAAACAGTGTTAGTTCAAACTGGTACACACATATTTCCGTCCTTTTAGAGAAAACAAGTAGAGGTTGTAAAGAGGTTCAAACAATATATTTTTTGACACACATTGAACTATAGAGGACTGTTGCTATTTTGATCCAGCGTTCGGTGACCCGGCGTTCAAGGCTCCAGCCGGACGCCATCGTGTGAGGCGCTCTGTGTCTGACCTTTCAGCCACTTCCCATTCATCACAGTTATGGAAGACGCTGCAAAGTCTCTGTCTGTGGGAGAAAGCTCTGTCACTGAAAAATAAAAAACAGATTGAAAATGACAACCCAACAGTCGAGGAACATTTGTACCGACGGGCAACCTTGAAATGATCGACGCCTCATAAAACGTAGATTAATACAATAATAGAGTTTTAAAACAGCGATAAATTATGCGTCCTTCTAATGCGTCCTTGATGATAACACAAGAATCAAAGAATGGCGTTTACCCTGTCCTTGGTCAACAATAGAACCCAGAGCAGTTGTACATGTCTTTAGTAGTAAGGGAAACCGGAGCACCTGGAGGAAAACTACGCAAACACAGGGAGATCATACAAACTCCACACAGAAAGGTCTGGAGGTGAAATCCAACCCAGGAATGCAGCTTATGAACATTTTTGGTCTTCATAACTTCATAATTGTGTGACTATTTCTGTTTCTATATGTGGTTTATATCTATGTCATTAAGTGTATGAAATGATCTCGATCCTCGACTGGTTGCGCGCAATCTCAGCTTGGAGTAAGGCAAGGAAAGGTTATTTGTATAGCACAGTTCATACACAAGGTAACTCAAAGTGCTTAACAAAACTGTACAACAATACAATGCATTACAATTATAGATAATCAACCATCAGGAGGCCAGTCCCTGTGCTCCTGAGTCCGAGTTGGTTCATATGGCACTAACATGTCACAGATGTACTTTGGAGGCCATGGAGAGACTTGTAACAAACAGAGCTGCTTAAAATCTATTCTCTGAGCCACAAAAGCCAGCGCAGAGACCTGAGAACTGGACTAATGTGGTCTTACTTCCTGG